TATATATATATATATATATATATATATATATATATTCCAAAGACCTACATATATATATATATATACACATACATACATATACACATACATACATACATTTTGGCTAGATCAAACAAAAGTCATATAAATAGACACACAAGGCTGATTCTAAGTTTCTGGATTATTATTTTTTTAAGAAGAAAGTTTTATAATGTTTTGCTTTCACAAAACTGTATATTTTGTATGCATAATTGTCTGCTCTGTGTACTATGTGGGTGAATGCAAGAGGAGTCTTTACAGTGTAGGAGTGCTTAAAAAAAGAATAATTGCTCCTTGACATTGTTGGGAGGGTAATTAAAGGGGAAAAGAGACATTGTCAAGGTGCCTCTTACTAAAAGAAAAACAACTCCACCCTCCCCATCCAAGTACAGCATGATTGCAGAAGTTTTTGTGCAGGCAGTGAATATCTGGGTTTGACTTGGTAAAAAACAGTTTAGAAGATTTTTCTGGACCTCAGTGTCTAATTACCGTTTTGGATTATGGGAAGGGAAAAAGGAAGGGCTTAGTCAAATGGTTAGGACTTCTGAATTCAATGAAAACTACTAAGCTAGCAGGTTCCTTAATATTTTTTTTTTTATTAAACTGGGTGATTATTGAAATGTTGAGTTTGTTGAGAATGAAAAAAATCTCAAATATGGTTGAGCTGGATAAGCACAAAGATTGTGTTGGGACCTTGGATAACATTTCTTACCACCAGTGATCTTTCATTGAAATAATATTCCTTAATGGCCCATGCATACTCTACTTTGCACTGGTTGTAACCATGGCAATTAATATTCACAAACCCAGCTAACTTTGGAAGGCCTTTACATACTCCCTAAGTAGGTGCTAGCTGTTGTTCTTCCTTCTTAAATTCCTGTAATGTACAGTGGGACCAGATTGGAAACAGTAATAGGAATTATTTCCAACGTAGTGTATAGCATCTTAACAGACTCACAATAACCCTCCTCATAAACAACCAAGAAGGCTTTTTCTTCCAAGTGGGTGCCATATCAAGCAGCATTTAAGGCTGAAAATATTGTTACAGCAGTGACGTTTCAAGAGATGAAAAACTGAAGTGGTTGAACAGTTTATGCCTATTGGTGAGGGGATACAATATTAAAATATTAACACAATATTAAAATGGAACCTCTTCATTTGGAAAGGCAACTAAAAACAGATATTTGGGGTGGACCTTTTAACAATGGGTTGTTGCTATGGTTGCAGGTCTTGTCCCCACCCTCTCTCTCTGGGGCCTAAGGCTTGATTATTCACAACTTCTTAATGCAGTTTTCTGCAGTCTGGGGGCTGCTGATGTGCTGAGATGACAACTTCCAGAGCTCTTAGTCAGTATGGCAATTAGAAGTCATAGTTCCAACATATGGGAAAGTTTCCAATAGAAGAGAATATCTGTAGCTCAGGGCAAAATTGTCTTCTTGAGCAGATTGGAGCAATATAGGAACAATGTTCTGTTACATGGATGACAAAAGTAAAGACTAAGAAGATTCTCCTATCACGATAAAAACAATTTTTACAATTTGGCCCTGCCTCTTCAGATATAGGTGATGTTTTTATCTGATATTAGTCTATGTATCTTATTGCATTTGATACTGGATTTTATATGTTTTTTTACTCTTTGATCACTTGTAGATGTTTTGTACAGCAAGCAATACACAAATGTTAAAAATGCTGTTTCTGTCAACTAGAACCTACTGTATTAATTATTTTTTTCTTTTTTTCAGAAACGGTTGGTTTAAAAGGAAAGGAGCTTTCCCTAATTTAATATTTTTACACACGTTTTAGAACAGGGGTATCAAACTGCCGGCCCACGGGCTGGTTGCATCATGCGGAGGCCACACCCACCCCAGCTCCGGCAATGCAAAAATTTGCGATACGTCGCAACACGTCACGTGATGTGGCGAGATTGACACCTGTTTTTTAGAGGCTTCTTCTGGGTGAGGATCTTTGGAAGACTAAATATCTCTGAGGGAGTGGATATGGCACTTACTGAGGAAATCACTGGCCAGACAGCAAATTCTGTTCAGTGGAGTTTCTCTGGACAAGGATAGGCCGAGAGATTGCCCACCTGAACTCTGGAAAGCTGTTCCTCATACGGAGACTGCAAAAACTGAAGTTTTTGCAATTCATTCATGAATTCAGAGGCTGGGAGTTGAGGGATTTCAATCAAACTTATAGTTGTAATATGAATAACAGATTTGCAAAAGCCTGACTTTCCTTAAACCCTTTTGGATGTAATTAATATACAACTAGAGAAGATTTTCTGAGAATTTCACTTTTCTTTAAAAAGGAAAAAAAATGGGAGAGATTTAAATTTTTTTGGCAAAAAGCTTAACAAGGATGTATACGAGAAAGTTTAAAATGAATAAATGTGATAGTAAATTTGAAATATTACTTATGGGTGAAAGTACTTTAGAACAAACTAGAATTAAAATAAACACCTTGATGGGAATGCTTTTTCTGTATCATTAAAGAGTGCAGACAATTATCAGATTTTACAAAACGAAAGATAAATGTAATATGAGCCAGATCAAGTACTTATTGACTGTAACTACAGAGTGCCATTTGAGACAAAAATATTAAGGGTACAGAAGACAAAACAGAAAAAAAAGTCAAGGGGAACACAATCAAAAGAACTGGTAGCAAAAAGGTATAATTGTCAATGGTTTTCTTATTTATGGTTATTAGATTTAAAGTCGACAAGCCTTTATGGTTTAGAACATTGTAAGACAGAGTTTGAAATACAGCTGGGTACAAATGAACATTGCTAAAATGTATAAACTTTATTGAAATTTGAATCAGAAAAAGAAATGAAAGAATGCATGATAAATTTTTTGGCTATAATATACAGATTGAACAATGGGAAAAGAGGTGCTGAAAGGATGACATTACATATTCATCTTAGAGAATTTTTATAAACTCTCTAAATGTATTTTGTAAATATTATAAAATGATGTACTATTGGATATGACACAAGAGAAATTGTTCAAAATGTGTAAAGGTACTTTATATGTTAGAATATGTTCTGATTTATGTTGGAAATGTGAGCAACAAGGGACATTTTATCATACTTGGTGGATGTGTAAAGCAGTTACAAAATTTTGGATTCAAATAAATACACTGATTTAGAGGATTTTAAAATGTAATATACAATTAAGACCAGAGGCTTTCCCTTGGGACTGATGGACAAACAATTAGAAAAATGCCAGGGAACTTTTTTTGTATATGATAACTGCAGCAAGAGTTAGAAAAATCAGGCAATATCTACAATGGAGGAAAGATTGGTAAATGTTAGAACTCACTGAGGTGGCCAAATTGAATTTTATTATTAAAAAAAAAAGATTAGGTTTATTGCTGATTGGAAACTCCCTATGGACTTTATGTGAAAAACAGGAAAACTTATGATTTGTGGTTTTGATGAGTAGGCAGAATATATTACAGAGAGAAGAGAATAATGATTTAACTTGAGAGAAAGAAGTAAATTTAGAATTATACTTATAACTGCTGTAAAGTTCGAAAGTCATTATTTTGTATTTTTTTTCAACATTTCTTTTTTTTTTTATTTAAAAAGTTTTACTAACAATTACAAAATAAACTCAATAACCCTCCCCCCACCCCCAACCCACTTCCCAGAGCCAAACACAGGGTATATCAAACATATTAAACATAATCTAATTAAGTTAACAAATATATTAATCATAAGCTAAACAAGTTTATCAATTTATACAACAATTAATATACTTAACCCTTAACTCCCTTTAAACCTTATTATTAATAATATTTATTTTTTAATCATAAAATAAATGGAACTTTTCAGTTCCATATTTAATCTGAATATAATCTATCCATCTTCTCCATACCATAATATATCTTTCTTGTGTATGATCCTTTAAATAAGCAGAAATTTTAGCCATTTCTGCCAGATTGGAAACCTTAAATGTCCATTCTTCTAATGTAGGCAACGAATCTTTCTTCCAATATTGACCTATCAATAACCTTGCCGCTGTAATTAAATTCAACATTAAAATAGTTTCTTTAACATCAAAATCCTCAAAAATCCCTAATAAAAATAGTTGAGGAGTAAACTTTATCTTCCTTTTAAAAATATTTTGAATGTTCCACAAAATCATAATCCAAAAAGCCTTAATATTTTTTCAAGTCCACCAAATATGAAAATAAGTTGCATCAGAACTACCACATCTCCAACATTTGGGCTGTAAATTAGGATACATACAAGATAACTTTTTAGGATCCAAATGCCACCTATAAAACATTTTATAAAAATTTTCTCTTAAATTTTGAGCCTGTGTGAATTTAACATTTCTAATCCAAATTATCTCCCATAAACCCAATGGGATTGGTTCCTGAATATTCTGAGCCCATTTCACCATACAATCTTTAACCAATTCTGTTTCCGAATCCAATTCTATTAAGATATTATAAATTCTTTTTATATGAGCCTTGCTCTGATCTTTAATCTGTATTATCAAATTTTCATCTCCTAATGTTATCCCTACTTTCTTACCTAAAGTCCACTTGTCCACTATTTGTAAATATTGAAACCATGACTATAAAATGTTCTCTTGTCTTAATACCTCCAAAGACTTTAATTGCCAGTCATTACCTGACCATATAAGTAATTCTTTATACAAAATTTTTCCAAAATTCATCCCCTTCGATATCCCCTCTATTGCGTGTCCAGGAATCCCCCAAATAGGTATTTTATAATTTAACCTATAATTATACTTCTTCCAAACTCGAAGTAGGGCACTTCTTAAAATAAACATTTTTTTTTTCTTGCACGTTTAGCTTTCCCTTTGATTTTTTCCTCTTCTCTTTGTCTTTTGTCTGTTTTTAAAACTCCTAATAAAATTATAAAAATTATTTTAAAAAAATTAAACATCTTTTAGAGATTGCAAACCTATGATGGTATTACAAACAGAGAAATAAATTGCCAGAGAACATTTTTTTTAATTTCAGGTATGGTTTTATTACAATAAAAACAAAAATTGGTTTAGATTTTGGTATAAAAGATATGTAATAGTATGTAATCTACAGCCTCAGGTCTCCAGGTCATTACTGAGCAAGTTTAGTTGCTAATACTGTAACCATATACTGTATGTGCCTGCTCAAAGAGTGTATTCAGTGGAGTTTGACCTTCATTAAATATAGATGGTATTGTAGTATAATTCTTCCTTAAGTGAAAGTCATCTTAGCATAACTCATATATACAGTATTGTTTTTAATGACAAGATCAATAACTAGCAGAATTATTTTAAAATGCTGTGGGTTTAACTAGATCGCATGATGTGATTACAGATAGTCCTTGACTTACAACCATTCGTTTAATGACTGTTCAAAATTATAATGGTACTGAAAAAAAGTGACTTATGACCATTTTTCACACTTACAACTATTGCAGCATCCTCTGGTCAGGTAATTAAAATTTGAGGGCTTGGCAAATGGTATGTATTTATGGGAGTTGCCCCGTCCCGGGGTGAAGAGATCACCATTTATAATCTTTCCAGCTGGCTTCTGACAAGCAAAGTCAATGAGGGAAGCCAGCTTCAATTAGTGATCAAATGATTTACTAAACTCTGGTATAAAAGGTTGTAAAATGGGGCAAAACTCATTTAACATCTGCCTTGCTTAGCAACAGAAATGTTGGGCTCAACTGTGGTAATAAATCAAGCACTACCTGTACAGATTTCTATTGAAATATTTTATCTGGCAAAGGTTTTCTAAAAAGAGTGGCTGCATAGCTTAAACCAGTGTTTTGCCTTAGTCTGGTTAATAAACTGGGCTTTCAGAAGAGACGCAGTGGCTCAGTGGTTTAATGACGTCACGTGCCTCAGCTTCTGTCCACCTAACAATTTGAAAGCATGTTCTATGTGAGTAGACAAATACCAGGTTTTCTCCAAACTAAGACCCACTCAGAAAATAAGCCCTAGCCTGATTTTTTGGGGTGGGCCTAATATAAGCTCTACTCCAAAAATAAGCCTGGGTAGGTGGGCGTGGTAAGCACAGGAGACTGTGAGTGTGCAGGGGCTGATGGTGTCCAGCAGCAGCTGCAGCCCGCCAGCGCCTTGGCGCAGCACATGTAAGACCGAGTGTGGAGGCAGAGGTAGGGGGGATGGCAGGTGATCCGGATGGTCTGCGCACTTTTCACCCAGAGGGAGACTGGAAGCTTCATCTGCTTACAAATGGTGCACTTGGAAACCGAGCGATTCTCTCCATTTCCAAGCACCCCATTTGCAAGAAGACAAAGTTTCCGGTCTCTGTCATTCCTCCATTTGGGCAAAAAGTGTTTGGGTGCCTATGCGGCACTTGGAAACAGAGAAATCACTCAGTTTCCAAGTGCCCAATAGGCACCCAAACACTTTTCGTCCAGAGGAAAACTGGAAGCTTCGTCTGCTTGCAAATGGGGGCCTCTACCTCCCAAGTTCCACCTTCGCCCCCTGCCCAGAATTTTCATGTGCATCGGCTAGCTTGGGAGGCAGCAGCGGGGCGGGGCATGGCCCAGCAGTAGTAGTAGTAATAATAATGGCAGAATCTCCCAGGGATGGCACTAGCTGCACATTATTTAATCCTAAGCACCCAGACCGGAGGCTCGAGCTGGTAAGGAGGCGGAGGCTCCAGGGTGGGATGGTGGCCGCAATGGGGCAGGCCAGGTGATGAGTGGAGTGCTCCGCTGCCACCACTGCTTCCCCCTTAGAGCTGTGTGAGACAACTCCAAGGCAGCACCCATCTCCTTTAAGCCTGCCGAGGCTCTGGTCTGGGCACTTAGGGTTCAATAGCACGCAGCTGGCACCGGCCAGGCTGTTCCGGGGAAATTCTGCTGTTACTCATGGCAGTGGCAGCGGCATGCCTTGTGGTCTCCTGCCCCGTTGTAGCCGTGAGCAACCAGACGGTGGGACGGAGTGGGCGGATGGCCGCAAAATAAGACATCTCCCAAAATAAGCCATGTGTCTTTTGGTCCAAAAAAATATATAAGACCGGGTCTTATTTTCAGGGAAACACAGTAGGTACCACTTTGGTGGGGGAGATGAGTTGGTGCTCTGTTCAGGCAATCAAATTCCTGCCAGCTCTGAACTTTCCCGGTTGCAGCGCCCATTTACAAGGCAGCTCTGGGGAAGTGAGAAGTTCTTGGATGACACTGCAGGAAGAGCTGTGTCAACGCTGCTAACATTAGATGTTCTTGCTTTGACAACATATGGAGATGCAGCCTTTTTCTTTCTTATACTTTACTCTTAGAATTAGATGACGCTGGGGGAGGGGGGAATGTGATGGGAGTTAGTTAGACATACAATATTGTAATAAGAGCTGATAAGGCATGACGGATAAAGAGCTGGGCAGAAAGACAGCATTTCAAACTAATTGGAGAATGTGATTTATGACTATTAGCTGTAGGAGGGAATTGTGCTTTGATCTATGTGCTGAAGGGAGGGGAAGTCAGATTTTAGCTTAGACTATATACGTGCCAAAGCTATGCCGCTCGAATAAAGGTTCCTTAAGGTAAACAATGCCTCAAAGTTCTTTGAAGATTTTCATCTTTCGGAACCATGACAAGCTGCTTGTCTTTCTTTCTGGTGCAAAGCCAGCTCGCCCTATTGTGGTGCATCTTGGAAAGCACGCATGTATATCCTACAACAGAGCTGGTAAATTCTACTACTCTGCAATAACATTATGATCTCTTGATTAATGTAACAATGACAAACAACAACAATAACAACAACAATAGGATTTCAGAGCCATAAAATGTACAATCCGTCCTGAAAACTAAGCCTCAACAGGTAATATTTTTAAAAAGAAAAAAAACCAGTTCTAAATCAAATAATGTAAAACTAACTTTGAATGTGACATTTGATTACTGCATGTAAACTGGTGATTGAATCCCCTTTGTTTAAGGAATCTCAATTCCTTTTAGAAATTAGTGCAGTATGTATATGGTGGTACCCATCTAAATATGTAGGCAGCATGTAAAATGAGATTAGATTATTCACGCTCTATATCAAAGATTTGACAGAGGAAGTTTTTCTTGATGAATTACAACCAAATCTACTTATTTTTCACCTTGCATAATAAAATTACAACCAAATCTAGTTATTTTTCACCTTGCACAATAAAAGCAACTGTACTCATCTGAGGTAATGCAAAATGGTGTGATTATGTCTATATTACAACTACATTAGAGGCATTATGATAGTTTTTGCCAAATTCTTAAAAAAGAATAGGTGAGTGGTTTAATTAACTGTATATTAACAGTTACATTCTTTCTATAGATTCAATCTGGGTGTACGTTGGAGGGTGGGTAGAAGCTAAGAAAAAAGATAATGGGAAGGCTTATTCTTTATCTTCCTCAACCCCTGCCAAAATCTGGAAGGAACTACGCTGAGAAGGGCTAACCTTTGCTGTGTGCATGAGATGAAAAAACTTATTTTTAGAAAAATTCCCAGAAAAAAGTTCTAAACAGTCAGCAATTGGAAAGCATGATACTATCTGAACTGACTTCTTAAAACAGACATGTCAAACTCACGACGTCACATGATGTCGTGTGACATATTGGAGCTTTTTCCCCATTGCCGGTTCAGAAAAAAATAGGGTATTAAAGCTCTTTGTAATTATCTTATAGCTATTTTGTTCAGTATAATGCCTCAATTTCACCCAAAATTAAAAACAGAAAGCAATAAGTACCTAATTGCTTTGATTCTGCACTTATATCACACGAAGGCCTTTAAAATAAGACTGAAGATAATTCTTCTTTGTAAACATATATACATGATCCAGATTCTATGTTTCATAACTTATGACTCTACCTTTCCTGCCCTCCACACACAGGCTTGGTACTTGCCAAATTCACTTCCTTCAAAATTCACATCGTGCTAGAATTTTACCTGAGTTAGCCAAGAAACTGTGTCGAGATGCTACTGAGGACAAGGGAGTGAGTGAAGTATTATGAGGGTTAGTAAAAAAGTAGTTTCTTTTTCTAAATTATGGTATCATGTTCCCTTTTCTTCAGTTCAAATATGGATAGAACAAGTTGCTATAAGCTTTAGTTTGCAGCAGATGCATTCAAACATGTTCTCCAGATATAACTTTGAACATTTAAGACATATGTTTACAGAAATAACAATGAAAATGGTTCATTTTTCAAGAAAAATTAGACCGTGGTCACATTCAGCATTTTGAGAAGATAACAAGAGAGACACATTCATTTTACAAAAAATATACTCAAATGTACTCAACATGTACATTCCAACATATTCATTTGTTCAAATTGGCACTTGGAACCCCTGCATAGAAATGGAAGCAAAAATCAAAATGGCGTTTCAAATCCAGACTTCATCTAGAGTCTATGAAGAAAAATTTTGTTGTATCAAATAAGCTTGTTAATAATGGGAGATTTCTTTGGCAACAATTTCATCAAATTAAAAGCCTTGGATTTTTTAAAGTCAATGTTAATGCATATAATGTTTCCTCTCCTCTAACTGGAAATAAGACTTAAACATTGGCTCCTCTCTGACCTGGAATTATACCCCCCATTAATCATAATTTAGAATTGTATTGGCATTTAAATGTTTAAAATTAGTCAATATTCAACATTAAAGCAGTATTCAAAATTCAGTTTTAAATGGGAATAAAATAAAAAATATGTTAGAATGTTGTGGAGGTATTAGATATATTCACTGCCTTGAGTTGTTTATAAAAACAAAGGTGGGATATAAATAAAAATAATAAAAATCTGGCTAATAATAATTTTAAGATAATATAAGTCTTTATAATAACAACACTGCCGTAGAGAATTCAGACCAGAAATGGTCTGATCTTGTCTGCAACGTCTTCTTTTAAAAAATATTATATTTATTAACGTACAACAAAACTTCCAATTTCTGCAGGCATTTGCTAAAAAGCAAGACCTAAATAATTTATTTCATGGATGCTTAAGGGTTTAAGCACATTCCACATATAGCTCAGCTCTCAATATTTATATTTTTGGAGATTAAATGTTATACTATATATAGCACTCTTTACAATCCAAGCACTTAAATGCCTATTCTCATTTTTTTAATATATAGTAAAGACACTATTCTGCATATGTCTAAGGAGACAGTGCATGTTCTTCAAAGGTTAGTGTATTTCCAGTTGGGATATGAAATGAAATAATGTAAGCAGGATGGAGAACTTATAGTTATGATATTCCATTAGTCCAAACCAGGGCTACAAATAGCAAAGAAAGCTGGAAGTTACAGTTCACATCATATGGAAGGTTATAGTTTTTCCAGCATTGTAGATTTGTTAAGTCATTGTCTCTTTCTTCAAGAGAAAATGCATGGCTTTAAACAAGGCAGTTCATAATGTTTTAGATCACTTTGAAATGTAACTTGAGAAGACTTGTAGACTGAAATTACGTGTGCTTACTGAGAAGGCCTACAATGTTTAATGAGGTTTACTCTATAAGATGTTTATATACTTTTCATATAAACTATGGTTATATGATATAACCGTATATCTCTGGTCCCCATGTTATTTCAAGTATATTTTCTATAAAATTCAGTTTTAGATTTTGGCTATAGGCTCTATCAGCAATTATTTAATATGTCATTTAGTATGTCACCTGATTAAAGAGGCCAATTACAATTTAAACTTAAACTTTTGCCTAATCTATCTTCATGTTAGGCTAGGCTATCTTCTACTGTTAAAAAAACATGTTGAATATTGTAATGCAAAACCTTACTACATACAATCATTAGTTATGGAGAAAACAGCATTCTCTCCATAATGGACAGTGCAATTCCATAGGGAAAAATTATATTGACACAACACATAATTGTACATAGTTACAATACTGTACTTACTCTGCTGATGCAATATTATGCTTATTTAATACCTGCACTGCTTGAGCTTATTTAATAACTGCACTGCTTGAGCACTTCCGGCATAGTCAGACATTCTAAACAATTGTATTTAAAATTAAATTCCCTTTACCTGTTTACCCACAACTTAAAGCTGTTTTTGAAACTTTACACTGAATATGAGATTATACATGGAACAATGTTTTAAGCACATGTCCAGCTAAATCAAATAAAATATTCCAAGACAATTCCCCTTTGTCACAGCTGGTGGCTTAAATGGCATTTACTCATTCATCTACTGTAAACATATATAAGCATGGGTTACACCTTTTTAATATCACACACCAAATTTCCAGTTCCCTAATCACCGTGACATTAATTCCTCACCCTTGCGTAATCTATTTTTATAATCTCATGTTATTTTATGCTGGCTCATGTTTGAAGTAAAGATGTGTTTTTGATTGCATAAGATGACCAAACAAAGGCTATTTAATAACCAAAATTGTGTCTAGATATTTTTCTCAAAATAGTTAATTCACTTAACGCACTTTAATGTTAATTCCTGACATTTGTCTTCATCTGTTCAGTCTCTGTGTTACAAATTCTCGGTACATGATAGATATATATACGAGTAGCAGAAACACCACAAAAAAATCATCTAAAAATCCTAATATTCCAAATAAAGCTTCGGGTAGAAAATCCAACGGTGATGCAAGATATAACAAAGCCCCCAGGAGACAAAGGAATATTCTGATGCGGAACATCCAGAAGAGACCACCGACAGAAAACATTTCTCTGAACGCATGACGCAATAACGTAGGTAAATCCATAATCCTTTCCATAATCTAAACAAGACATACATAGTCAAAATTTGTTTGTCTTATGTGCAAGATGTAATTTGCCACAGGAGCATTTAACAGATCAGAGCTGAGGCTTTTAATGTGCAATCAAATTGGATCACTTTAGGGGCAGAGGTGAGGAACTATGAGTTATGGACTTCAACTGCCAGAATTCCTGAACCAGCATGGCTGGCTTAGAAATTCTGGGAGTTGAAGTCCACAAGTCACAAAATGGACACAGTTTCCTATCCATGCTTTAGAGAGAGCTAAATTTCCTTCCCCGGGACCTTTAACTGAATTATCTATAGTGGTCAATAATAACCCAACCTCAATAAAAAAATGCATGGAAACTCTTAATAAAAGACATGCAAGGTTAGATAAGCTAATAAAACCAGGAAAACATAGAAATAACATGGTTGTGGAAAATCTTCTGAGGAGAGCTTTAGTCACAGGAAGTCTTCCACAAAGCCTTCCTTGAAGTATCAAGATAGTCACATCCTTCTCCCCAAAGCTTTGAGCTGATTATTCAAGATTGTCTCTCCATGCATGTACATGCAGAAAATGCTCCTGCTAGGACCACTATCAAGGAGACCTACTTACCTTCATACTTCAAGGTAGCATATTCATATGAATATAGAATATGCAAAGCATATTGTCATTTTATTGGATTGGGAATATTTATTTCTAATGATTTTAATGTTCTTATAATGAAAGACGCCCAGAGTTTGCTTCAAAACAAGATGGGAGGCAAATTAATTTAATTAATAAACTAATAAAAATAAATTTGGTATAAACAGTGCCTCTACAAATGATCTGCACAGCTTCATTAAATAAGAAAGACTGGCATCGTAATTGTTCAATATCAGAGGGAGCTTGCCTGACAGTAGCTTGTCAAAGGTTCCCTAACGAATTCATGGACTGCATGAGATTTGGACTAGAGATCATTTTGCTCATAGCTCTCTCTTCTAACTTCATTAGTAGTTTTTGAGCAAACCTGCTTGGCAATGCAGGTTGCACATTGCTACAAAAACTTATGAGTAAAGAACAACTGAAATCACTGGTCACATCTCTGTGATATAAATTATTATAATATGGATAGTATTACTCAGGAAGAGTTATTGTATGGTTAAAACATTGTATTGCTGAGACAGCAGAAAGGCAAAATTGCTAAAGTTTGGGGGGGAGTTAAAAATTATTCTGCTAGACTCCCTTAGATTTCAGAAGTTTGTATTTTTCTAGCAAAGCTCATATTTTTATCCTAACTGCACACTAAGAATATTGCTATTCATGGTGATTATCTTATTTACAGTTTCACAAATCTATCTGATTTACTTAAAACCTTTTAAGTCCCTCTTCCGAGGGACATGGGATTCTGAAAGCAAGACAAAGACCGCTCCTTCAATAATGCAGCTCTATGCAACATGAACTGGAAAAGGAGATGGGTACTGAAAAACATGGGCACAATTCCCATCCATTCTTTACTTCTGAGACGGAATGAGGAAGTGGCCTTTACCTTAGAAGTCAGCTAGGGAACAATAGCCATGGCTATTGTTAAAAAAAAAATACTGAAATTATCTTTCCACTTGCTCTTACTACCCCAGCTTCACTTCCCCAAGCTGGGAAGATAGCTTGGACTTGTCCAACTCATACAGGGAAATGCAGCATTTATCATAATAAATAGAACACTGCGCATATTATTTTAATTGCTCTAACCCCATACATACCGATCTTGGCTGTCCCGAGAATCTCCTATTGTAATCACTAACGTCATGAAGCACCTGTGCGGCATCCTCTTGTCCCTCATCAAAAAGTGGTAAAAATAAAGTTACCTGAATTAAAAAAAACAGCCATTCAATATCCTCATGCAGAATCCACCTTCCTTTTCTTACACAGTAGATATATATTTAAAAGGGTTTATGGGTAGTCCTCATCTTACAACCATTCATTTAGCCACCGTCTGACGTTACAATGGCACTAAAAAAAGTGGTTCATAAGCAATTCATGCTTATAATTACCGCAGCAACCCCATGGCCACGTGATCAAAATTCAGCCGCCTGACAACTGGCATATATTTACGATGATTGTAGCATCCTGGAGTCACGTGATCACTATCTGTGATTCTTCCCAGACTGCTTTCAACAAGCCAAGTCAATGAGGGAATTCAAATTCGCTGAGCAACTGCAGTGATTAGTTTAACTACCATGACAAAAAAAGTCATAAAATCAGGCACAGTTTACTTAACAACAGCCTTGTTAAGCAATGGAAATTCTGGTTCCCAGTTGAGGATTACTTGTATACTTAAGAATAATTTGTCAAGCAAAAAGTTTTGGGAAGAATGCAGAGGTATTCCTGCCAGGTCTTTCTTACAATCTATAGCATATTATTAGGATCATAGAAATTCAGTTGATTACTTATTATACTTCAAAACTATTTTAACAACTGTGATGTTCAGAAAGGAATAGAAATAGATTAAGAAAGTATAAGAAAATAATTAGATAGGCTAAAATGCAGAATAAAAACATAAAAAACATAAAGAGGGAGTGCATTTAATGGACATACTTGCCAACGGTCTGGAGAAGAGAAATAAGGATTTTTTAAAAACCAAGAGACTAAAATACAAAGTAAGCCTAGTGGATATTTCATTCCTGCGATAACTAGAGAAAAGGCCTCAGGTGGTAATCTTACAGTTTAAGCCAGTGGTTCTCAACCTTTTTAATGCCGGGACCCCCAACCGGCCGTAAGTTGAGGACTACTCAACCGGTCGTAAGTCGAGGACTACTCAACTGGTGCAGCACCGTTTGCAGAATGGGACTTTTGGCAGGCTCAGCAGGGCAGAGACAGCCTGGAGAATTCCTATAGGCTTTTGAATGCCAATAGAATTAGACTCTATTCAAGAGAGTCTATTCTATTGGCTTTCAAAAGCCAATAGAATAAAAGGGAGTAGCACAGCTAAGGAAAAGGGGGAAAAAATGGTGGACTGCGTTGTTTGGCGACCCCTATGAAATGGTCGTTTGACCCCAAATGGGGTCCCGACCCACAGGTTGAGAACCACTGGTTTAAGCAAATAAACATGAAAGGTGATCCAGTGGTTAATCTGACCCCAAACAACTTAAGACATTAAAAAATAAAAATGGACTGGCAACAGTGCAGATGTTAAATATTGACATATTATGGCAATGCTTGTTAGACCTATACAATATTCCAGTTGCTTTGTTTTGAATTCGGAACTTTCTCAACCATTTTGAAGTCCTCTATATAAATTGGAGTAATCCAAATGGGATTTTAAAATTTAGACATCTGTTCTGTGCTGAAGCACTTGCCAAATTAGTGTTCAGTAAAAAGTTCAGAAAGTCAGGAAATTAAGCACTCTATAAACTTTTATCTGAATAGTTGCAGGAAGGAAGATTAAAGGAAGATTATTTCTTATCTGCGGGAACATTACAGATATTTGATAGTAATGTGTAACTACTTATGTTCTGGTTGGCTTTAACTCTAATCCATGAAAACGTTTCTCTCAAGTAATCTATGTTGGTGCTATGGAATGTTTAGTTATTTTTCTATAAAATGTACCTTACTTTAATCTTATGAAATTCGTAATATAAAATCCTGTAAGATTCTACAGAAAATGTTATTATACTCTAGCCACAGATTGTATCATTCTTTAAATATATTAAAAGCCAATGTTAAAGATGACAAGGAAAGCAAAAGACATAGTACACACAGTTAAAAAAAAAGCTTAGGAGCTAAATTTCCCGTTTCCATTTATACTTAGAATAAAGCATACAACAACATTTGTAAAATTAAGAGCTAGAATTTTACATCGAAATATTCATATTATTACCGTTTGTCTGCAGATAGGGCAGTGTATTGCACCTAGCCATGATCCACATCTCCAATATGCAATAATGCAGGAACCTAAAGAAAATAACGTATTAATTTCTTAAAACTCTAAATACAAGTAGTCCTTGACCTACAACCATTTGTTTAGTGACTGTTTGAAGTTACAACGGTACTGAAAAAAAAATGACTTATGACCATTTTTCACACTTACAACTGTTGCAGTGGTCCCATGGTGATGTGATCAAAATTTGGATGCTTAGCAACTAGCGTGTATTTATGACGGTTGCAGAGTCATGGGGTCCTGTGATCACCTTTTGTGACGTTCCAACAAGTGAAATCAACAGGGAAGCAAATTCACCTGACAATCCTGTTACTAACTTAACTTCTGTTACATTCACTTAACAACAGTGGCAAGAAACAACATAACAACTGTTTTGCTTAGCAACAGAAAATTTGGACTCAATTATGGTTGTAAGTTGAGGAGTACCTGTACCTGAATGTGAGTCAGTACCTCACTTAAAAACAGAGGTTCACTGATAAATTAATAAAAAAATTATTTGCCAGTTTAAGACACTGAATCTCAGAAGAGAGGAAAGGACTGCTTACGAACATCACTGAAATATGCATTATATGAATTCTTTGCCCAAATACTAGCAATCCCTGTATCAGTTCATGAAACTTGCATTATATGAGTTGCTGCAAATCTAGTCCAAAGAAATAGAACTTAAAGGTATAAATCAGGCATGTCAAACTTGCAACATCACGTGACATTGTGTGACATATCATGACTTTTTCCGGTTTTCCAGTTTTGTCGTGATGCATCCAGCCTGTGGGCCAGCAGTTTGACATGCCTGGTATAAATGGACAAAAAAATGCTATGTAACAGCCATCCACTTTATACATTTTAAAAGTCATGACTGACTGACTAATATATAATAATAATAATAATAATAATAATAATAATAATAATAATAATAAAGTTGGAAGGGACCTTGGAGGTCATCTAGTCCAACTCCTTGCTCAGGCAGGAAACCCTATACCATTTCGGACAAATGGCTGTCCAGTCTCTTCTTAAAAACTTCCAGTGTTGGAGCATTTACTGCTTCTGGAGGCAGGCTGTTCCACTGATTAATTGTTCTCACTGTCAGGAAGTTTCTCCTTAGTTCTAGGTTGCTTCTCTCCTTGATTAGTTTCCACCCGTTGCTTCTTGTCCTGCCTTCAGGCGCTTTGGAAAATAGCTTGACTCCCTCTTCTTTGTGGCAGCCCCTGAGATATTGGAACACTGCTATCATGTCCCCCCTCGTCTTTCTCTTCATTAAACTAGACATACCCAATTCCAGCAACTGTTCCTTCTATGCTTTAGCCTCCAGTCCTCTATTCATCTTTGTTGCTCTTCTCTGTACTCTTTCTAGAGTCTCAACATCTTTTTTATATTGTGGTGAGCAAAACTGGATGCAATATTCCAAGTGTGGCCTTACCAAGGCATTGTAAAGTGGTATTAATACTTCATGTGATCTTGATTCTATCCCTTTGTTAATGCAGCCTAGCACTGTGTTGGCTTTTTTGGCAGCTACAGCACATTGCTGGCTCATATTTAAATGATTGTCCACTAGGACTCCGAGATCCCTCTCACAGTTACTACTATTGAGCAAGGTACCCCCTATACTATACCTGCACATTTGGTTTTTCTTGCCTAAATGTAGAACCTTACTTTTTTCATCACTGAATTTCATTTTGTTAGATAGTGCCCAGTGTTCAAGTCTGTCCAGATCCTCCTGTATCCTAAGTTTGTCTTCTGGAGTGTTGGCTATTCCTGCCAGCTTGGTGTCGTCTGCAAATTTGATGAGTTCCCCGTTCAGATCGTTGATGAAGATGTTGAAGAGCACTGGGCCCAGAACAGAGCCCTGGGGGGCACCCCACTACACACTTCCCTCCATGTAGATGCAGTTCCATTGAGGAATATATATCCATATAAAACATGTAATAGCAAGAGAAGATCAGCTGAAATAATTAAAATATAATTTTTCACTTCTTTAAGGCCAATCCATTTCCAAAAACAGCATTATTTTGCATATTTCCTCAGCAACTCTTCCCATTTCAAGGAATGTAAGAAATTATTCAGATTTTATTTTTATTTTTGCATACCACAGAAAAGATGTCCACAATTTGTTTCAATGGGAAATGTAGCCTGTTGTAAACACACCGGGCAGGACAAATCAGTATAAAAATGTTGCCTGTCACCAATTATATTTTCCTGGGGGGGAAAAAAGAGAGAAATATAATTAATTCAAGCAGAACAAATTATTTTATTTGTAACAAGTTGCAAAATAGTTAGATTGGCATAATTACAAGAAAGAAATCTCAGACTGGTATGCTTTCTTTGATAAGTAATAAAGGAAGGAAGGAATAAGATCATACAATAGTACACCACAGATACAGGACAGCTCATTCCCAACAAATATTTGGATAAGATGAAATCTCATTTTGAAATTTCTTAGAACTTTTCTGTTTGGATTGCTCTTTGATGGCCATTATTTAGAGGGAGATAACAGGGTTTATTTATAATTCTTATCTGTTTCAACTCAGAATAGCTGCAGCATACTTTTATAACAAAAAGATCCAAGCTTTCAAATTGTGGTTAAAGTTTTAGGCCCCTACGGAGTCCCTAAAGCTTTGCTTCTTTAATAAACATATTCCTGAAAATCCACATCAACATCTAATTTCGAAATTATATAATCAATTTTATTTTTAGCAAAAAGAACTACGGTATCCAAACCCTATCAAGCTCAAATGTTTCTACCTTTGGTGATTGCCTGAGAAATGTTCTGAGATATAATTGATATATATTAAAAAGAATTGTGCATAAATGTATATCTACCTGTTCCGACTGTATTTGTTGTCTAACTGCCCTCACTAGCTCTTGGTTTTCTGGATGAATATCAGATTGCCCATCTCTGTTAAGAGAAAAAATACTATTAATAAAACGTTCAAAAATGGAATCAGACAGAACAATATAAATTCATTGTGTTTAGAATTCTAAGGGTCTCTAATCTTTGCATGCTGTTATTTTAAGAGCTGCTACATTTATCTGAACTATAGAATGAAATCTCCAAAGATAATATTAAATCAAGGTGTAAAATAAATATACTAAAACATTAAAAGTGTTTAATAACCTTTTGCACTTAAGATAAAAGTGACAATGCCTTATTTTTCCTTTGCATAACAAAATCCTTGGCTGAGCATGCTTTTCATTGTATTTCATCACTGATCATATAAATATCATTTGGAGGTAAATATGCAGATCCAACTTTAAAAGCTACAACATCCACAATAAAACAAGTAAAGAAATCGCACATATGAGAGGAGCTCATAATTCTATTCAATATTTTGAACTGGTTAATTTAAGAATTAGTCAGCATAGTAACTATGTGATTCAAATCTGAGTTCTGTTTAAGCTTTACATTATAGTAATACTTTTTCTACTTTCTTTCAATTTCCTTTAGTTATATTGCACATGATTAGAATCTACATGTGGGGCTGGGAGGTTAATCAAAATTTATTTTAAATAGCCTCTATGATAAGTAAGATGAAAAGAAAGCAGTCTAACTTCAATGAACATTACAGCTTGTTTGAACCAAATCTCGCCAACTTGAAAGCATATTGATCAGCAGATCTCTCTGGATGTTTCCCCCAGAATGTGTAACCAATTACCTAAACTACTATTCCAAATAATTTAATTTACAAGAAATGAATAAAATTGATATACTTCAACAACAACAAAACCTTCTATCAACATTTTACTTCGTCTTACCTTAATAGCATGTATGTCAGTGCAACTAGGAATGTGATGCTAAGCACTACCGCCAGCAAAACCTGGTCACTTATTCCTTCTATCATCGAATCGTTATCTAGTACCAGTCTTTGAACTTCAGATTCCTGGCTGGCCATTCCATTCTGATTTCCTGGACTATCACAGTCCAGTGGGAAGTAGGAATAAGAAGCCCTTGAATGAAAATTATCCCAGAAAGTAGAAAGGGAAAGTTACTGATACATAATAAGACAAATATATATATATTAGACATGTACTAAAGGCAGATTCCACTCCCAAGATTTGTATTTTAAAACTAGGAATATTGAGGTATAGCAATAACCTGAGATTTCTTTCAAAGAACATTCTGGGTTTCAATTTGATGAGGAAGTGCACATAGCATTAATGATGGCACTATTATTATGACATTATGAAATATAATGTCCTTGGCTTGCTAACAGATGAATGGTTTTATATTTTTCAGGATGTTAAATGGGTTATTGCTTTTTTTTTCTTATAAATTGTGAATTTTTTATTGCACTGGTGATATTTTTATTTGTAAAGGTGTTTTGATTCTAAAAACTAAAAGCACTTCCAATAAATAATAAAATAACTGAATAACCTAAAACTAGGCAGTGAGAAAACATGCAGTATACTTAAATAGGGATAAATAGCAGTAATATATGTTTGCCTCAAAATATATACAAAGTGTATTTTCCTCCAAATAGCCCAACAAGACCATGATACATTGATACATTTAAAGATGAGATCGTACTTAGATTTTGATGGATTATATCTTACACAGATTGAAATCTCAATTTCTAGAAATTAAGAACCAGTGGAATCTTCTTTCTGGTAAACTAAACCAGAGTTAACATGTTCTGGGTTTCCTCTCCAGATTTCAAGTCTCCACAAGTTAAAAAAGACTTTTTTAAAAAGCAGCTCTTCCTTGGAAACTGATACAAGCTGTCCTTACCTATTCTTAAGAGATTTTTCAGTACAAGAGTTTGACCCTGGAATATGGAAATTAAAATCGATGAACAGAATGACGCTTCTCTGCCATTAAGCAATAGCAATTTCCTGTCTGCCTATGCTTAGAATTTAATGTGTTGTTAATTACATGAAAAAGCCACCCCTATTTTGACTCTATCACTCTTTAGCTAAATAGCCAAATGACTCACATAGTTCAAAAACAGTCACCAAAATGTGGATATTCATTTTGATGCATTTTTTCAAAGAAGTGCAGTAGAATGATGCAAAAAAAAAAAGTAATTAAAAGAACAGGAAAAGAATCGACCAACTAGTCTTGCCCAAACTATTATTGCTCTCTATTTCTGCAATCTTCCACCATGCTTCAATCTGTCTTCCTCTAATCTCCAGAATATGTGCAACTATAAAACTATCTGATAGCACTGAGACTTTAAGGTTAAGGAAAAGACAAAATAGCATTTAAATAAAAAGCCAATTCACGCAGAGATTAATATGTAACTTCTCAGAAAGCCTCTGTGCAAACGCCAAAAAGGGAAATCCTTGCTTTAATACAATGATATTTTTAGATCAAATGCCCACTCTTTTTACCTCAGCTGGAAATGAGAAGACTCATCACTGTGTCATCTTCAGAATCAAATGAAATGTTTCAGATGCTGGAGTTTGAAACCTCTGAGTTCTGCATTGGAAAAAAGAGATATTTTGAGGCTATTTCTTAACTTCTTATTTTAGCGTAGCATTTGTCCTACATTAATTCATTTCCAGAAACAGAGATATAAAGAAATCTATCTTCACATGGAATAAAACATGAGGGTGTAAAAATATCAAGAGAAGAAACTATAAATCACATCTATTTACAAATAAGACAGAAATGAAATATAGGTAGTCCTCGATTTACGACTACAATTGAGCCCAAAATTTCTGTTGTTAAGTGAGACATTTGTTAAGTGAGTATTGCCTCGTTTTATGACCTTTCTTTCCACAGTTGTTAAGTGAATCCCTGCAGCTGATAGGCCAATAACCCGATTGTTAAATGAATCGGGCTTCCCCATTGACTTTGCTTGTCAGAAGGTCGCAAAAGATGATTGCATGACCTTGGGACTCAGCAATGGTCATAAATACGAACACACGATCATGGGGATGCTGCAAAGGTTGTAACTGCGAAAAACAGTCATAAGTCACATTTTTCAATGCCATTGTAACTTTGAACGGTCACTAAATCAACTGTTATAAGATGAGGTCTACCTGTAGTGAAAAGTACAAAAATGAAGTTTTAATTAATTTGGGGAAAAAATAGAATTTTAAAATATGTAGCTGAATTCCTGTTCTCATGATTACAACAATATAGTAGCTATACAGCCTGCTCCCATTTGAATCTTTAACCTTCGTCCAATCTATTTTGAAATAGATCTGCACTAATGTGCAGTTCTTGAATCCCTGAACTGCTAGATATAAATATGCTGGCATAAAAATGTGCTGGCCTGACAAGGCTTATTTTACCTCAGCAACAAGACCAGCAAGTTGTGCTCTCATTACAGTTTTATTGTGAGATATGAGTTAGGGAAAGTGATTGGTGCATTTCTTTGATTTTGCTTCTGCTCCCATGAAGTCTCACACACTAGCAGACATGATAACCTTCTATTGCTGTCTCTAATGTAGATCAGAAATGGGGGAAGAGATACATTTGACAAATGATTAGATCTTTCCATGCACCTGAAAATAGGCTTTCTGCACTGAAAAACCCTCCCGCAATCCTCATAGATATTAGTAAAGGTATGTAACAGGTAGTCCTCAACTTACAACCATAACTGAGCCCAAAATTTCTATTAAGACATTTGTTAAGTGAATTTTGCCCCATTTTACGACCTTTCTTGCATCAGTTGTTAAGTGAATTACTGCAGTTGATAAGTTAGTAACCTATTTGTTAAGTGAATCTGGCTTCCCATTGACTTTGCTTGTCAGAAGGTCGCAAAGGGTATCGCATGACCTTGGGACACAGCAACGGTCATAAGTATGAACCAGTTGCCAAGCATCTGAATTCTGACCACATGATCATGGGGATGCTGGAAAGGTTGTAACTGAAAAACAGTGCCGTTGTAACTTTGAATGGTTACTAAATGAATTGTTGTAAGTCGAGGACTACCTGTACTCTAGTTACAAAAAAACAAAAATCTGCCTTTGCTTCATTATGATACTCTAAGAATGAATGGACAATAGTGAATTTGATTAGACAATATTTCCTGCAACCTAAGTCAACATATTTAGGACCCCGATATTTTAAACTATATATAAAATATGAGACATTGGATGTTCTGTTCCATAGTTCATGGCTTACAGTGGAACTATTCTATAGGTAGAATAGAAACTATTTTATAGATCCTCTGAAAGAGGATCACAAGTCTGTCACACATAAATATAACCATGTTAGTGTTCTAGCAGTACATGAAAATTCTACATTAAAGCACCTGTCCTATCTTTCTTATTACTGAACCACGAAATTTTTTAAAAAAATCAGAAGACATAAATAACAAATCATGTTCATATTAGTGCTAAGAAAATTATTTGGGTATTTCCATGTAATTATCAGTTGAATTCAAATCAAGGTCTTACCAGAAGTAAGTCTGAGAGCTAAATAAAATTAAGTAGAGGACCACAGTGGCATCACCCCCATCTCATTCCCACTAGAAATCATCATGATCATGCTCTGTTGTTCCCATACCTGGACCTGAAACCTTAATGGAAAGGGTCCAGATAATCTACCTATAACAGGACCCTCTGAAGCTGCAGCATAACTACCTTAACAACCTTTTCTAAAAAGTTGGCAATAGAATGAAACACTTGATCCATTGATGGCTTCTTGAGAAAGGAGACTACCACATCTCTCAATGATAAATGCAGCACCGCCTGGACTCAGCTACATATCATTATCCAGGAAGATTAACTAACCAGGAGATTTATAGAGCTAATATACAGGGGTTGAGCTAATAGCACTGAGAACCCTGTCCACTTCCTCAGAACTAAACAAAATCACACTTATTCCAGATAACAGAGTCAGAGTGTCCTTCTATCAATTTTGCAGGATCTGCTGGTGCATATCTGGCTCTATTCTTCCAAGGAGGCACCAAGTCATTTTGAACAGAGTCACCAGCCAACAATCTGAAGATGCTGTATGGGTAGAAAAATAACTATGTTTTGTTGCCATTTATAAGGTGGCCCTTATGGGCAAGATTTCAAAATTTAAAAAAAGATTATTTTCCTTTAAAGCGGGGGTTCTCAACCTTGGCAACTTTAAGACTTGTGGACTTCAACCCCCAGAATTCCTCAGCCAGCTTTGCTGGCTGAGGAATTCTGGGAGTTGAAGTCCACAAGTCTTAAAGTTGTCAAGGTTGAGAACCCCTGCTTTAAAGAAACTTAAAACTTCTCTAGAATAGTTAAAGTACAATATTCTATAATTATTTTATTCTTTGGTTTTGGTGCTTGACACTTAAAAGTGTACCGCCATTCACCCGGAGTAAACTATAATAAGCCAGTTTGAAAGGAAAACTGCCATGGAAATGGTGAGAACTATTGCAGCAATGCCAAAATTCCAAAGAATTCTGTGATGTCTTAAGGGAAATTAATTATGAGATAAGTTTTTTTCTGTGGAGTTTACTTTGATACATTAAATTATTGAAAAAAATGTAGTTGTAATTTTTGTAGTTGAGGATTAAACCTGTCAATATCCCAAACCTAAGAACACCAATGAGCCCAGAGTCATCCTACCATTCCAGATCTATTTACAGGTACTATTTATTCTGGCTAACTGAAGAGCTTCCATTATTGTGTTTACAAAATGTTCTCACTCTAACATACATCACTTTGACTTCAAAAAGAGAACACAAAGAGAACACACTTGGCTATCTTGATTTGTGAATCTGCTAACACAATAAGCCCCATCCTCACTTCTGTAGAAAAAATGCAAAAAAATCCAATTAGTTTTCTTTCTTCATCAACTGCAACTTGATTTTTTTTCATTGCAATTTCTTTTACTAAGATGGCTTTTGCCTAGTTGAAGCAGCTACAATCTACATAAAATTAGCTTTAAAAATTAGCGGTGTTTCTCAATCTTAGCGATTTTTAAGATATGTGGACTTCAACTCCCAAAATTCCCCAGCCAGAATGCTGGCTAAAAAATTCTGCCAGTTGAAGGCAAAACACTGGATTAGCATAAGAAAAACGTAGAAAAATCATATATATTTATGTGTGGAAATGAAAGTCAACCTCCTGAGGTAGAGCAGGGCACACAACTTAATTACACAAACTTGCATGCGGAAGTCCCCAGGCTCAAACTCCGGCATTTCCAGGCACACTTTGAAGTAGCCAAGGAATTACACTAAAGAATGAATATACCTGGGACTGCATTCACCCGATATACTTATTTCTGATTAAGTTAATCACTGCGTATGGAGTTAACCCATTTTTCTGGTTTCGTCTGTATTACTGTAACCGTGCAAGCCTGGTTTTGTACAAACCTATGGAAAATTACACAGATCATATTCCCCTTTCAATTCGGAGTTCTCCCCAAACCTTAACCAAAGGAGCATTTCCCATCCTCAGCTATTGTTACAACCCTCCAGACAGTTTAGATTGTACTATTAGACTTTAGGAATAGCCTTCCGCCCTGCACGCGGGGCCGATATCACGACCGCTCTTCTTCCTGGGCTTCAAGTTACTTCGGATAACTATTTGAAAAAAAAGGTGGGGGGCGTAAAGGGAACCCCAAGGTAGCCCCCTCCCCCGCCGATACCGCGCGGGCTTCCCTTAAGACTCATCTTCGCAACTTGGTCATTTCTGCAAACGGGCGGGACTTCGCAGGCAGTTTCTGCAAGGAGGAGAACTGAGAGGAAACCTGCCTTGCCCAAAGCGGCCAGGGAAAGCCGAATTTTAATACGCTGCAGAAAAACCGCGGCTCCAGCGGCGGACAAACAACGAGGGCAGCTACCCGTGGGTCACCCCGCGGTATAGGCTCCTGCCCTCCCCGCCCCCAGCCTGAGTACCTCAGTCCCAGACGGGAACCCGCGAAGGCCTGTCAGCCCCCAGCAGAGGCAGCGACACGCTCCAGCCAACCCGGCTTCGCTCCGCCCCCTTCGCCCTCAGCGTGACTGGGCCGAGCCAGCGCTTTTTTTTCCGACGCGCGCATGCGCGGTGCGGGCCGGGGCCGACGGAGCGGGCGGATCCCGAAGGGACCTCGGTGACGTGTCTGCGTTACAGCTGCCCTGCCCGGCCCGGCGCGGCTGTGTGCCGGCTTGGGTTGGGGAGGAGAAGAAAGAAACGCGACGGCGAGAAGGCGGAGGTGTCACCGAAAGGCGCCTGTTAAAGCTCGGCTGCCCACCGCTGGAAGGGGGAAATCCCGCCGCCCGCCCGCCCTGAATCATGTTCAACGTCGAGACTCTGGAGCGGGCCGAGCTCGGGGAGAGCTTGCTCACTTGGGTGAGTGACGAAAGGCCCCGGCTGAGCAATGCCGCCGTTGTCGTCAGCAGCTCCACCGACCCGGCCCGGTCCGGTTCGGCCCGGCCTTGCGTGCCTTTTCCCCCCGCTTCGTTCCTGTCACCGCCGCGAGCCGGTCTCGAAGTAGCCGGGCGTAGTTGTTGTCTTTCCGAAGTTGTGCTTTAAAATGTTTGCCTGAAATGCAGGAGGTGTGTGTGTGCGCGCGCGTGTGAACGTCAGACACGGAATGTTAACGTTGGCCCGAGAATCAGGGTGGGGGCTGCAGAGGGTTCTCATTGAAGGTCTGACCAGGGGTCGGTTGTGTTGCATTGTAGGCGAAAGACTCCACGTAGCTTTCTTTTTGTTCTTGGCGGCGTCGGCGGGAATGCTGCTTTACCGAGCTGAGCTAAAATAGCTGTCTTTTCATCCCTTCATTTTTTTCCCCCCTCTGCCTTCCTTGAAATGCATTTCATATCTTTATAATGCTTTAGGGACTTCCTTCCTCCGTTGTTTGTAAAAGTTGACTGTTTGGGCTAGTTCACTACTGGACAGTCCTGGAAAGAAAGGACAGAGATAGCAATAGCACTTATATACTGCTTCACAGGGCTTTACAGCCCTCTCTAAGTGGTTTACAGAGTCAGCCTATTGCCCCCCAAACAATCTGGGTCCTCGTTTTACTGACCTCGGAAGGACGGAAGGCAGAGTCAACCCTGAGATGCTTGTTTTTTAAGACTGTTGCTCTTTGGGCACAAAGGATCAATATTTTTATGCCTACCGAGATTATGTAGAATCTTTGAAATAGTGGCGAATATCTGTATTTGAATATTATTTAGAATCTGTCCAGCCAAGAATATTGAAATGTTATCTAGTTGGTATATCCATACTTAATTTGCTTTCTCCCTCAAGCTGGCCATAGTGGTTTGTTACCACATCCTGTTGTGATTGCATTCTGAATTGGTCTCTTGCATTCCTTTCATGTATAGGTATTGCGCAGGTATTTCTAGTGGGAAAGAGGAGTTATTTCTACAGGACTGCTTGTTTGTTGATGTACAAAGATGCAGTTTTATATTGAAGATGTATTGGGTGTTTCTCTGTATGTTGTAAGGTACCATGGAAAGAGAAGATGAGTCCCAACATGCATAATATTTCAGTGTTGTATCCAAACCAGTCTGTGCGCATTCAGCTAGGTGTGTGGGCATTCAAAATGTTTACATTCTTGCCACACATGAATCCATATTAAAAATGCAGTTATTTGTGATTGTCCTAATCCTCCCAAAAGAAGCGTTAGGGCTCTTTTACAAAGAAAATATTCCATCACTTCAGTTTAGCACACTGGAGTATAAATTGGTAGAGCAAGCGAGACTGCATAATTGACTGCCATTTGCAAATCTATCTTAAAAGGTTAAATCATGGCAACTGGACAGAAGCTTATTAAAAACTGAGACATTTCATTACTCATCCAAGTAACTTCTTCAATGAAAATGAAAATTTGGCTAGACAGAGAGTCAGTCATTGGAAAAAAACAGCTGCTGCCATACATACTGCCGGGAGTTTCTCCCCAAAATGAAAAACTTTAATAAACTTGCCACGATTTAACCTTTTAAGATACTTTTGGCCTGGATGATTGAATCTTCATTTACATGGCATTTGCAAATTTAAGCATGATCTGCTCTTGATTAAATTTATGAAGAAAAACATATTTTTAGAAATAGACACTCTTCAGATTTCATCTGGACTTTAATAAAAATTTACACCCAAACTACAGAGAGGGCGAGTGAGGAGGAATGAAAGTAGTATACTGTGATGTTGGCAAGCCCCATTTCTTTTGTATCTGTATATATATATGAAAGAGGAGAGCTTGCATTCCAACCACACCATGCTGCATTCATTATGTTGACAAAAGCATCAAATGCTTCTGGAAGTGGACAATTCAGTATTGAAGCATTATTGATTTAAAATATTCATAGGAATGTCTTCTCCTGGATTCTATCGGTAATTACTCCATAGTACTTTATTTCATGTGGCATGAAACATTACTAATTATTTTATAATTATATGAAGTTATAGGCATTGGGGGCAGTATTTCTCAAAGTGCAGTCTGAGAACTCCTTGGGTCCCCAAGACCATCTTAAGGGTCTGCAAGATCAACAACTATGTTGAAAAATGATGTGTTAAAAATCCCATCAAACAATTGTGAAAAGCTGTAGTAGCAGCAAATGTATCAATGATCATTTTTAATACAGTAAATATAGATAAATATAACCTAAACAAACAAAAGATTTTTGGAATCCACCACAATTCTTAAAAGTGGGGAGAGGTCCCTAGAGAAAAAAGTTTATAAAACATTGATTAGGGTATATAGTTTAGAATATAATTCACTAAATTATTTTAGAATTTCTCCAATGACTTTTATTAGTTTTTATTGGAAAATAAATTAATAATAATTTTATTGGGAAATAAAGGAGACTGAAAACTACTTTCTTATGTGCTTACTTATGTGACTGCTTATGCTGCTGCCAATTGTAGTCACCAGGAGTAATCTTCAAGGGCAGCCCCATGTAGAGTGCATTGCAGTAATCCAATTAAGAGATGATCAAGGCACGAATCACTGTCTGAAAGGCCTCTTGATTGAGGCAAGGGCGCAACCGGTGCACAAAACGAACCTGTGAAAAGGCCCTCCTGGTCATTACTGCCAGCAGCTCTAAGCCATAGCTGCGAAGCCAGAAGGACCCCCAAGTTGCACACCAGTCTTAACATCCACAACCCAGGGGATCCAAACAGCAACAGTCAATCAGTTTTGTAGGATTCAGCCAAAGTCTGTTCTGTCCTGTCTAGACCTGAACAGCTTCCAAGGTCTGGTCAGTATATTGACAGCTTCACAGGATGAAGATGTAATGTTGGGTTTCATCAGCATAGGAATAATTACTTTGAACTAGCAGATGAACTGACCCAGTGATTTCATGTAGATTTTATGAATAGGAGAGAGTAGAGGGCAGACATACCCCACACATGAGGCACCATGGACATGATTTCTTCCCCCCCACTGCAAACACCAACTGGAAACGACTGCTAAGGAAGGAGGTGAATCACTGAAGCATTGTGCCTCCCATTGCTAACTCGTGTAGCTGGACTAAAAGGAGTCAACAATATTCAGTACTGAAAACTGCTGGGAGATCAAGGAACACTAGATGGAAGCTCCCTCCCCATCCCAGCTTTTTGAAATCTGCCCTGAAAGTCAGCCTTTGTAGATAAAATGTCTCTCTTATGGGCCACTGTTTTTTTTTCCTGTTTCTTAAAACCAAAAATTTTAAGAAGAAAAAAATGAAGGTAGTAATTATTAATTAAACCTGCTTATAATTTAATTAAAATAAAAAGTTACTACATTATAGATAGGGTGAAAATAGTATTAAACCTTTTCATTCTACTTTATATAGTGAGAGCCAAACTGTTATCACATTTCTTATGTCTATGGAGATTCTCAGTCATCCAGGTCATAGTGATCCCAAAGGTGCTTTTTCATGAGGCAACTGGATTTCCCTGTTTTTCTTTGAAGATGTTTCACTTCTCACTCGAGAAGCTTCTTCAACTCTGACTGGATGGTGGGGAATGGAAGGATTTATGACCAGCTGTATGCAAGGAGTATAAATCCTTCTATTCCCCACCATTCAGTCAGAGCTAAAGAAGCTTCTTGGATGAGAAGTGAAATGTCTTCAAAGAAAAACAAGAAAGTCCAGTGAAAAAGCACCTTTGAGACAACTTTCTTATGGTTCCTCTGAAGAGCTTAATTCAGACACCAAAACATTCCTCAGGTTCCACTACAGCTTTAACCATTATTATGAATAGACTCTTTGGTTATCCAGGTTTGGAAAAAGGTATATAATGTAAATTCTGCAGTGAAGCTAAGCATTCAAATAAATCAGATTTTCAAGTACTTCCCTATAATAGCCTAGAAATTTCATAAAGTTGTCATGTGTAAAATCAATCAATTATTTTGATTGGTTTTGATATTGCTCATGAAAGGGATTGCTAATCTGAAATAATGTATAATAGGTAATCATCACAAATTCTCAGGCAATATTGTTATAATGTGACATTATTTGACCCAGAATTGAAATCTTACATAGTTGGGCACTGTAATAAATTTAACTGTAGCATAATGTTTGGAAGATATTTTCAGATTTCTCTTGTTGTGGTTATATGTATTAATTTTAACTGCAGAAATTGTATTATGTTTAAAAACATATCCAAGAGAGGAGGATAGAAATAAAAATATTGAGAAAATCCATGCTGATTTCTAAATGGTTTAGCAAAAATATAAAAAAATAATTTACAGTAACATACAGTATGTAATATAAAAAATAGCACCAACTGCAGAAATAATTTGCTGGTAGCAATTAAAATTAAAAAACAACGGTCTGATCAATATATTTATAAACTTGAGCTATTTATCTTTGTCATGTCCTTTAATCTTCAAATACAGTTCAGAACTCAATGGTTTACAATATTTTTTATTATTTTACTGATACACTTGTGTTTGGCATTATGGCCTGGGACACAAAGAAGCAGATACACAGAGTTAACATTATCTGCAACCTTTTGTGCATTCTTTTTCATACAGTAGTACTTTTGCAGTGAAACAGTATACTTTTGAAAGTTGACTTTTAGCATGGTAACAGCCTAAAAGAGCCATTTGTACACCACAGTAACAAGAAACAGAAGTCCAATTCAAATGTAAAAAAAAAAATTCTAGTACATCTAGTACAAATTCTAGTACATGACAGGGTTCTGGGAAAGACTAAAGGTAAAAAAAAGACTGGAATGGATCCAGTTTGCCTTTGCCTAGAGGTTTGCCTTTTCTGGGAATTTTTTTTAGGGAACAAATTCCATAGTCTGAAAAAGCTTGAAAATTCCTGATTTATTGGATTAAGAATGGATCCTGTACACTCTCTTTTTTCTGTTTTAATTTGGGAATTCTATGTTTCATTGACCAAACTAGGAAATGTACTGAATAAGTTTTAAACTTTGAGTTTTTTAGTTCAGATTCCACAAAAAAATTGAATTTATTGTGCCGAGGAATTAAGAGAGACTACACAAGAGGTGGACTGAAGAGGAAAGAAGTATAAACCATTCAACTCATTTCTGATCAGATAAAACATGTGTTATTGCACTACAAATATGATGTCTGAAAGGCTTTGTTGCTAATATTGGTGTTGTGGAAAATGTTAGTATATAAATAATGAACAATTTTACTCCTTTGATTTTAAGGCAGCTAACAACAATAAAATTAATAAATAAAATTAATAAATAAAATTAATAAATAAAATTTTGCTAAGTCCAAGTATTATGCAGCAGCAACGAACACCTATCCTATTTTGTAATAGTTTTGCTTGATTTTGATATTTACAATAAAAAATAACTTCAGAATCTTTATTCAAAAGTAATTATAATTAATCACAGGAGGATTAGTCTGCAAAGTTAACCAAAGCTTATTTTAATTAAGAAACCCTAAGCTAAGATTGACTCATGGTACAGTTATTGCATGATGCAATTTTTTTGGCAGTATTATAGAAGTGCTTTGACATTTACTTTCTTCTAGGAGATTTTTGTTTGTTTGTTTGACTTACCAGTCTAACTTACAATCATGAGATTCAGAAATAATTCTGCTATCCATTAATAAGCAAGACTGATCTTGTTTAGAATTTGACATGTATCAAGGTTAGCTAGGTGCTACAAAGTATATTAAATTTGCAGTTGAGATGTCAGAAAACTTCTCATGTCCACCCAAGTGTCCTAACCTGTTTGTGAACATTGCAAAAACTGGTTAGAATGGATTAAATGACCAGTAGGACAACAAGCTTGTTCTGTTAAAACATTTCTAAATAAAACCATTAGCATTTTAAGTGAACATAAGCAGGCTAAAAATGTTTCTCCTTTTTTCAGGGTGTTAACTTCCTGTTTTCTTTTTAAGAATTTTGATTGAATATTTTTGGTCTCCAGGGGTGGGAAATCTCGATATGGAAACATTGCCTTTTAAGTAAATTTACAAACATATCACTCTTCATACTTTTATGTGCATTAAACAAATATATTTCTGTTTCTATTAAAAGGAAATTATTTTCAGTGGTATGTGGTGAGAACAATTGTATATGTGAAGCATATTCAAATTTTCAGAAAGATCTCCTGTTTAATTAAGTACCACACGCAGGTTGTGTCAGCTTTTCCTCACTTAAGAATTCCTTGAAACATAAAATTAGACTAGGGCTGTCTAAATATTTTCGTGAAATTGTATATACTATTAGCAATTCAGAATTGTTAGAGGTATGGTTACGGTATTTTGATCCACATATGTTTAAATTTCATAATTTGACAAAAAATAAGTACAGGTAGTCCTCAACTTACAACAGTTCATTTAGTGATCATTTGTACTTACAATGGCACTGAAAAAAAATGAGTTATGACTATTTTTCACATTTACAACAGTTGCATCATCCACATGGTCAAGTCATCAAATTTGGATGCTTGAAAAATGGTTTATATTTAGGATGCTTGCAGTGTCTTGGCTTCATGTGATCACCTTATGCCACCTTCTGACAAGCAAAGTCAATGGGGAAACCAGGTTAACTTAACAACTGTATCACTAACTTTATAACTGCAGTGATTCACTTAACAACTGTGCATGAAAAGTCGTAAAATGGGGCAAAACTCACTTAACAAATGTTTCACTTAGCCACATAAATTTTGGGCTCAATTGTGGTTGTAGGTTGAGGACTTGTAATCTATAAAAATATGTCTTAATATTGATATTTAATTCTTTTGGGAATTAAATTAAATCATTTATTTTTAGGCCCATACAGATTCTCTATATAGATATTTTGAATATTTTTTTAATAAAATATGGAAGTCAGTGAAATTATGGCTCAGGGCTGTAATCAAATTTTTGTTCTTATGTTGCGTTTATAACATACAGCTACACATACACAATACTGAGGTTCTTAAATGTTTGTGAGCCCTTTGGAATTTTCAGTATTTCTGCATAAATGTAATCTAACATGAACTGTTTTCCACACAAGGAAGCCTGTCAACATCCCCGAGTTGAAATTTTCTCTAAAGAGGAATGAGCTAAAATTCCTTAAAAGTAATGTGCAGGATTGATCAACAGTTATCAGAAACATAGCAGTTATTGCTGCCCCAGGGGGATACACATCAATTACTTGAAAGCAAAGGCTTATATAATGGAGGTAGTGACAGATTTTATTTTTCTGGGCTCCAAGATCACCTCAGGTGGGGACTGCAGCCAAGAAATTAAAAGACGCTCCTGGGGAGGAAAGCTATGGCAAATCTAGACAGCATACTAAAAAGCAGAGACATCACCCTGCCAACAAAAGTGCGTATAGTCCAGGCCATGGTTTTCCCAGTTTCAATGTATGGCTGTGAAAGTTGGACCATAAGAAAGGCTGAGCGCCAAAGAATTGAGGCCTTTGAACTATGGTGCTGGAGAAGACTCTTGCGAGTCCCTTGGACTGCAAGGCGTTCAAACCGGTCAGTCCTAGAAGAGATCAATCCCGACTGCTCTTTAGAAGGCCAGATCCTGAAGTTGAAACTCAAATACTTTGGCCACCTAATGAGAAGGAAGGACTCACTGGAGAAGGGCCTAATGCTGGGAAAGATTGAGGGCAATAGAAGAAGGGGACGACAGAGAATGAGATGGCTGGATGGAGTCACTGAAGCAGTAGGTGTGAACTTAAATGGACTCCAGAAGATGGTAGAGGACAGGAAGACCTGGAGGAACATTGTCCATGGGGTCGCGATGGGTCGGACACGACTTCGCAATTAATAACAACAACAACAAAAGGCTTATATACATTTACTAGACATAAGTACGTAGCTTTGGATAATTTTCCTCAATGAATAAATGAACATATAATATTTTTGATTGTTTGATTGTGTTTTCTTTATCTAGTTTTAGGACGTGTGGAGAACTGATAGTGTTTTAGGTCATATTTATGTAGAAGTATTGAACATTCAAAATGTTAACTTTTAAGCACTACTGTACACCTTGCCAGGTTTATACCCTCTTCCATTTAGTGGATGTGTGTTGATTTCATCATAACACGAGTTCACTATTTTTCGCAATTCTACATCAGACTTGTTCTCAACTAGATTATTTCTCTAGTCTCTTGAACTTTAGTCAACTGGATAGATAGTTGTAAGATAAGCCTAGCTGCAATATCTGATCATTTGTTTGCTTATTTATTAACTTTATCTCACCTTAATTTTTTACAACTCAAGTCTCTATATGTAATATTCACGCTTCCTATTTTCCTATAATAACAACACTGTGAAATAGGTTGGGCTAAGAGAAAATGACTGGCTTAAAATCATTAATAATGTCAATTTTTATTAACTTTTTTCTGTTTTATACTCAGTTTTATAATAGTCAGGAGTTATTGAGGAACAAATCAATGATGTTGCAATGCCTCCATTTTTATTAGTTAGTGGATAGATTCTTTAACCTCTGCTTAATAAAAGGAAGTAGAATCTCTTTTAAATATTCCAATTGCTTCTTCTTCCTTTGTAGTTTGGGATCAAGAATAGAATTAGGAACAAATTGAATGGCAAAAAATATTCCTTGCTGTAAAATCTAGTAAAATGGAGGATGGGGCTTTCACAAATGTTCATCTTTGGAGGGGTAGCTAAATATGCTTCCATTGATTTTTAGCTTCTTTCACTTTCTTCCAGACCATTTTGTAGAATGCTTTTCTCTTTTTGGCATAGAATGGGGTAAGAGGAAAGCAGTTTGTTCTCCATTGTCCTCCTCCCCTGTTTTTTTTTTTTTTTAAGATAAGAGAGGTCAAACTCCATGTTGCTTTTGAAAAAAAAATTAAACTATTACATGCAACTACTGCTTTATTGTTATGTAGATATTTGTGATTTTCTTTCTTTGGGAAAGAATCAATTAACACTTTAGTAATTTCTGAGCAGATACAATCCTGGTGAAATCCTTATAGCAAAAGATTTGGCAAAAAGATGAAGATACCTTTGATTCAAATAGACAAAGGATATATTTTAAAATGTCTCCTTTGAACCGAGCTTTATTTCTTACGGAAGATTTATAATTAATCATGATTTTTGTATACCTTATTCAGGTATTAGTGATTTTTGGAAGCAGTGTATGAATAAATATTTTTACATGTTGCTTTTACACATATTATACTATATTTAATCCATTAAAGCTAATTAAACAACAAAGAAAGAATGGCTTTATTACAGATGTGATGCTAAAATAAAGTTTTTCAAGTTTACAGAAATAAATTCACCCATTCATTATTTATAATGTCAGTAATAATCAAGACCTTGTATTTATTTCTTTGGTTTAACTTGTTTACTTTGGTCAGTTCTTTCAGCAGTTCTTTGTACAACTTTGTAGCTTTGTACAACTTCTGAAATCGTTTGATATGCTGGTATAATGAATTTGAGATAGCTTGACTAAATATAACTTTCTTTCTCTTCAGATCCAGACATTTAATGTTGAAGCACCATGCCAGACTGTAGAAGATTTAACAAATGGAGTTGTGATGGCTCAAGTACTTCAAAAAATGTAAGATGATTTTTTTTTGTAAATAAATGGTTTATTCATATTCAGTTTTCTGCATCAGAAAACAAGTGTCAGTTTTCTATTTCATTTTATTACTTCTAGTTTTCTTGCTAGTGGGCAATGAGTTTTTAAGACAGTAAGAATTGAATTCATTGAATTCATGAACAAGCTAGTTAAGGTAAGATCTCAAACTTTTTGTAAGCATAGAAAATACAAATATGTAGATAAGAGAAATGTAATTTAGGAAGAAATTTACATTAAGATCAAACTTTTATGAGACAGTTGTAAAAAGATTTATATTTGCTGAATTACTGTATTAATGTGAAAGAAGGTTAGTCATTTCCACAAAATGACAGGATTGTTTTGGATCTCCTGAGAATATAATATTGAACTTGGTTCCATCAAAGTTTCCTTTACTGGGAGGACATTTTTTTACATTTGGTTACCCAATACAACATTTTCAGTTAATTCAGTGTTAAGTAAATTATTTAAAATAGTGACAAATTTATATGCAAAGGAATAAATATGTCTTGTATAGTAGCTTCCATTAAAAAAAGAGGAACCCAAAACCCATATTCTAAGATGGAAAATGCAAGAGATGGAAAAAAATACATATTGAACAATAAAAATAGATTTGCATGTTCACTAAATTATGCTATAATTGGGAAATAGCAAAACATTGCCAGTGAATATTTGTTTGATAAAATATCTATACTGCTATTTTTCAGAGTAGTATTGGTTTTGATTTTGTATGTTGGAGACAGTGTAAAATATGCTTTTGACTCTGTTGCTGAAATAGATAGACAGAGACAGAGATTCCATATATAGATTGAATAAATAAGGGGACTGTATACAGCCTTTTCTCTTTGTCCTTTTCACCATATTCTGTCCTAATTGGCTTTCTGGCCTGTCTATAGAGAATGACAAGATGTTCTGAGATTTCTATTTTTCCAAGCACATTCTACATAAGTAATGCAATTGAAAGCTTTCAATAAACAATGAATACATACTGACATCTTGTTAGTATTATTTGGCTTTCTCAGTTACCCAGCACGCATCAGCACTAATGTCTCATGTTCCTTGGCTTTTTCTGAAGCCAGCTTGAACATCTGGCATCTTTTCATGTAAGGCTCTAATCTGTGTTGGATAATCCTAACCTGTACAACTTTTATTTAACTTAAAATTTTACTTAATAGAAGATAACAGTAGCAAAGAAAATAATGGGCTGCACAGGTACAGCATAAAGTTGAAGAAAGTAAACTTACATACTGAGAGAAACTAATCCATTAGATATATGTAACAGCATCACCTGCTATTAGCTGAACCCAGAGATAGCTAGGAATTACAGGAACAGTGAGGCATAAGAAAAAAAGGATACATTATTAGATTTCATGTTCCTGAAATTGGATGATTTTGACTGACAGTTTTCTTTCTTCTGATCAGCAAACAGCAGTACACTGGGAAGTAGAGGTAAAACCACTAATTTAGCAATTATTATCAAAGTTATCTTAAGTAGATGAGATGAGCAAGGAATAGGCAGAATATATATTTGAAAAGGGATGTTTCCTAGGGTCTTGAGTTGAAGAAGGTAAGATATCAGTTTTCTAAGCAATTCATAAGAGATTTTAACTATGGTAAGTCAGGCAGAGCAGATTTTGTTATACATTGTTTATTATGTAGTATAATAGGTTAGCTCGTGGTTTAGCATACATGACCCCAGCCATTGCAATAGACAAAATCTTAAGGTGACCAACATTAATAATCTTTGTTATATCAAATTCTATGAGAGCTGGATTATGTTCATTAGTGGAATATAGTCGTGGTCTACCTCTGCTAGGAATATTGATTAAAGGATCACGTGTTAAGGGAAGTTTCATTTCCTATCTTATGGTGAAATGTGAGCGCAGTGAAATGTGTTTTTCTAAATATGCATTTAAATATGTGTGTTTGTGTGGAAACTGAATGTAAAAACTTCTAGAACTAACATTTCAACTTGTTAATCAAATAGTAGAATAAAACAGCTTTTGCAGATGTAGCAAGGCATACCAAAAAAATGTGCCAAATCAGCAATTCTTAAATTGTGTGCCAAGGCATAATGATATAAATAGGATCCTTTGATCTATAAGAACCTATTTTCAGAAAAGATAGCTTGGAACACTTCTATATGAATAGCTAAACTGGTTTCCCCACTTTTCAGTCAGAGAAATGACTTATTCAAAAACAAGCTTGAGGTGGGGTGTATGAGTCTTTCTATATACTAAAAGTAGACCTTAGATGTGAGTAAAGGATGTTCCTTATTTTGTAAAAAGGTGTGTCATGTTAGGATAAATTATATAATAAGGAAATGAAATGTACTGCTAAATTATATAATAAGGAACTTGTTATATTTTACTATCATCCAATTAATAATAACTCAGCAGTGGAGTTTATTGATAACAGTTTAAAAATAATTTGCTAAAGTATGGTCAATTACTCTTCTTGAATAAATCACTGAAAAATCCAAATATTAAATTTACAGAGTGATGTATCACATTTTCTCACATCTGGAAATGTTATTTTATGTTTGTGTATAAAAACATCAATTAAAAGTAATTGCTCTGGTTTTGGTGAACTATGATTTATGGAAAATTGTGAAATCTGATTTATGCTTTTGTTAAATATAAACTTTTATAAATAAATAATTTTCAGAATTACAGATAGTGCTTCTGGTGATTTATTATATGGATTCTGCAAGGGCATAATAAATAGATTTTGATTGGAAGTTTATAGTTTGATATTATCTATTAAACGTTGAGTATAACTTGAATAGCTACCGTATATTCCGGCGTATAAGGTGACCCGGCATATAAGACGACCCCCATCTTCGGCGCCGAGTCACATGCCTAGAAAGTCGTCTTATACGCCAGAAACTACTGTTATTTCCGGCATATAAGATGACTCGGCGTATAAGACGACCCCCGACTTCGGCGCCAATGTTAAAGCTTGTGAAAGTCGTCTTATACGCCGGAAAGTACGGTAGCTAGATAGGAATAAGATTACAGGTAGGACTTAAATAACTATAACTCTGTAAACAATTTATATAGTAAAAGTTAATATAGAAAAGAAAAATAATCTTAATTTATCAAGATTTTGGAATGTAAAAAAGATGGGATAATAATAAAATGTAAACAGTTATATTTAATGTGATTATTTTGTGCTTCATGTTGTATGAAAATATGTTTTAAGTAATTGCTATTCAGATTTCTGGAAACCTTCTCCAAATAACCTTGATTGACATAGACTATAGTGTAAAAGCCATTTTTTTAAATATCAGCACTATAGGACTTTTAGTTGATAAACTTGTAATTTTGTGTAAGCAGAGGTGATGTTATATAATACATACATACATACATACATACATACATTATCATTATCATTTTAGCGATTGTCTACCCACTACAGGATAAAGGCCTCTTCGGCATATTTCCAACTAATACAGTCCTGAGCTTTCTTTTGCCAATTGGGCCCACAATACTTGCTGATGTTATCGATCCATCTTGTTTTAGATCTCTTTCGTGGATGCTTTTAATCAAGTAGGATCCATTCTATGACTGCCCTGGTCCACTTGCCATCCATTCTTCTTGCTATGTGACCAGCCCATTTCCATTTCAATTCTTTTACTTTCTTGATGACATAATATACTTTTGTTTGTTCTCTAATCCATGTGCAGGTCTTTTTATCTTGTTGTGTAATGCCGAGCATATATCTTTCAATGGCTCTTTGTGCACTCGTAACTTTTTCATCAATTATGAAGTTAGTTTCCATGTTTCACTGACATATGTTAGAGCAGGTAGTACATACGGATAAAAAACTTTTCTCTTTAGGCATAGGGAGAGGTTGTTCTTGAAAATTATGTTTAGCTTGCCAAATGCCTGCCAACCACATTTAACACGTTGGCCAAGATATATGTAGTGGTCCATTACGTCTAGTTCTTCAGATATAATTGTTTTTCTTTCTTTGGTGAATTTATTAAACATAACCTGGCTTTATTCTGCTTTTATTTTTTCAGAGATCCAACATATTTTGATGAAAATTGGCTAAATAGAATAAAAAGAGAAGTAGGAGACAATTGGAGATTGAAGGTATTTTTATTGCTTAACTATTATATTGGTTTTTTTGGGGGGGGGGTCAACTTACAGCTGTGTTTGTTTTAATACAATTCTGCAAGATTCAAGTTAGGACCCTATTAAAAAAACAGTAACATGTCTATTCAATTCTAAAAATTATTAAATATTAATAACTCTTATTGTCGATTATTTGAGGCTTCTAGTTTAAACCCATGCTACTTCATGTCGTGTGTATAACATTTTCTTACAGAAATATTTTTTCCTTGTTGGATTTTAACCCAGTTCATTCTGCTTTATCTAGTCTGGATGGGACTATGGAATACTGGTATCCAATTAAAATGAATTGGAAAAAATGAGATATAAGACATCAATTATGCTGAAGCAAGGATTTAAATGACTTCACATTGTCAGAGAGAGACTGTCCCAGTCAGGAAGTGGGGTCAAGCAGGGGAGCAGTCTGGAATTGTTAAGTAGACACAAGAGGGCAAGGTTGCTGTTGAAACTTATCTATTCTTTCCCAGGGGCAAACTGCCAATCTGAGAAATTTGCTGTGAAATAGGCTTCAGCAATAAAGTAACTAGTTTATAGTCTACACATATGGATATGGTTGTTCGCGCCTGACAACTTTGATAAACTCTAATTTAATTATGCAAAATCTTCACTTGTAAATATAAGGTATTAGTAGTTTTATTTATTAATCCCTCTGGGGACCTTTATATGAAGAAGGAAACTACATAAAAGAAGGAAGGGCGATAATCGATATAACTCGTCCTGCCCCAATCAATAGCCCTTATGGAGGCTTCTGATAACATAGTTGCCCCATGTAATACCATTATTTGAAAATTTCAAATGGAGCATATTTTAATATATTTTATGTATTTATATAATTTATATCCTGCCCTATTCCACAAGCCTACAGAATTGATTTTCAGAGGCATTTTGTTCCTTAAATAAATTTATTCTATCATCAACTGTCTTTTTCAAGCCTGGTGTCCCAAGATAAAAATAAAATATTTACGTAGTTGGTCAACCATATTTGTCCGTGAGAAGGCAGATAGGGATACCTTATCAAATAGGGCTTGTTTTATTCTGTCAGAAGACCCAATTTGAATTTGAAATAAATTGCCTAACTATAGAAGAAACATTAATGACAGGATATTTGTTGTTGACCAAGGTCTCTAGCATAGGTTGAAATGTTAAATTATTCCTTTTTATGTTTGCAGTACAGTTTTGCAGAAGGCAAAAGCCAAAAATTGCTTCCCACTGAAGTCTTTTTCAGTCTTACCTGCAGATGTGGAGGTAAAATGGGAGCTTCTCTCAAGTCCCAGACTCCTCTTGACTAGTGAAAATCATGCAATGGGAAGGGAGTGCTGCACATTTGCATTCAGTACTCCGTCTTTATTGATTTTAAATTCTGAAAAGCTTTTGCTGAATCTTCGCTTAATTGCTTCTTGGCAGATCTTTAGCCATAGCAGATCATCGTACACATAAATTACTTTTTTTTTGTTTAATCTGGTTTTGTGATGATTCATGATTGATTTAAATTTCTTGATGGTTCTTGTTTCCATGTAATAACATTTAAGTCCTTTCTCAGACACAAAATCAAATTCTGGGGAAAGTTAAGGTTGTCTTGTACCAGTAGGAAATGATGAAATATTCGTACCACATTTGACGATAAAAATGGAGAAAACTAACAGAAAGATTAAAGCCCGTACTCTTTCCATCAGATTAAGACACGTAAAATTATTAGCACTGCTAATGCATTTAAGTCTTTAGAAACAATATTTAATTAAGAATCATTGTGAAACATGGCCCAAACAACAATAATTATATGGTTGAGACAAGCTGACACATTCTTCTTCAGCTGTACTAACACCTTTCAGCTTGTTATGAAACCAAATAGTGATCTAAATGTGGCATTTTCTTATTAGATAGACATAGAATTATACAACCAATATTGCTGTTGGGTGACCCAAAGACATCTGAATTTAATTGAAGGCTACCTGAGAAGTGATTATTTTTAGACTGTGTTGTTTTGCTTCTTATTTATGCATTTGTCTATTTATTTTCTACAACAAAGAATTTGCTGATTTTTTTCCCCCTGGGGCGGGAAGCCCCAGCGTAGAAGAGCAGAACATAATTGTTTCATTGCAAAGTTTGCTTGTTTGCTTACTTATTTATGGGATTTACCTATCACTTGAAACCAGGATTCTAGGTGGCTTGTAGAACTTACACACAAAACACAAATGGTCAGTCTAAAAGTTAACTGAATAGTAATGAAATTAAGCTTTGATTTAAAGGATTTTGAAGGATGCAATATTTGCAAGAATAATTAACATTACAGACCTAAGATATGTGTATTGTAGTGAAACTCCAGGGAGCAACAAAAATATTATTTAATTTGAATTCTTCATTTTATTGCTTTCAATCCAATATCAGGGTGGCATTGGACTTTTTATTATTATTTGGGACTCAAGACCACATCCTAAGTTGGCACCATATTTTTCTTTTGTTTAGGATAAAAAGAACTTGCTTGAACTCTCTCATGTTTATGCAGAAAGTTTGCTTCCTTCAGTTGCTCGATTGCTGTAACAATACTGAATTCCCTTTCATTGGTCTTGACACTTTGCCAAAAATGTCCTACTTGGAATTACTTTTTTATAAAAATCTGAGGAGGAATTCATATGTAGGTTCTAATCTATAATGAGAAATGTTTAAAAATTGGAAGCAAAAGGTACTAATACCTTCTCTTGTTTTCAAGTTATAAAAACCATAAAATTTCATGGATTTGTTCAGGATGGTCTGAAACATTTAAAAAATGGAAAGAAGAAAACCTAAATGAAATAATCTTTTCAGGCACATCTAATAGCTTTCTAATAGCCTAAAAATACGACTCTCTCCCACCATCAGAAACAACTACTGTTCTATAGTTGAGGCTATTTTGGAAATTATGCTAATCTCAGGAAATACATGGTTTTAATTTTTGCCTTTATATATTTTGTATGCATAGGGATATTCAAAATAAAATGTTTTGATTTGAATAATTATTTTATAAAATAATTGTATGGGAATATGAATCCAAATTCAGAGATATAAAAAAATCACTATTTTATGTGATAATTTTTTTTCTGTTCTTGTGACTAAACAGAATCTAGAAATCAGAAAAGTATGGAATAATAATTTTGTGATTTTTGTTATTGGCTTTTTTGGCAAATCCCCCCTTGCCCCCCCCAAAAAAACAAAAAAAAACCCTTCTGCTTTAAGTTATAATGAATTCTTATAAGCCTCAGTTTTAATTGTAATTTAGGGTAATTCTTTTTTTAAAATAATTGTTTTTCTTTTACTCTAAGGTGAGCAATCTGAAGAAAATTTTAAAAGGAATTTTGGATTACAACCATGAAGTAAGAACTCTTATATGTAATATATTCTGTTCTTTGATATAATATGTAGATTAGTTTACTATAATTGTTTCAAAGATTTTTGATCTTCTTTAAAAAATATCTTGCCTATATTTAAAATATATTTAAAAGAGTAATTTCTCCTCCTCTGTGGTTGGCGCAGCAGTTAGGGTGCAGTACTGCAGGCCACTTTAGCTGACCGCAGGTCAGCGGTTCAAATCTCACCGGCTCAAGGTTGACTCAGCCTTCCATCCTTCCGGGGTAGGTAAAATGAGGACCCAGATTGTTGGGGGCAATGTAAATATATATGTACATTGCTTACTGGTGTACACCGCTTAGAGAATTCTCACACTTAAAGCGGTATATAATAAATAAATAAATTTGCCATATTTTATAAATGTGTAACATGGTTTATAACATATTTTGAAAGGTGATGAATTCTTTGATATATACTTTATCAGTCTAACGAAGATGGTGTGGAAAATGTTTAATAGAATTCTTCATATAAAGTAGTTGACTTGGCAAATATGGTAAATATACGACAGTTCTATTTAGTGATCTCTCCTTAATTTTAATTGGCTAGAATGGCTACGTAGTTTTGTTGGTGAAATAAAATTTCCTGTCTCCTAAAAAAAAAAGTGAGATAAGTTTGATGCAACAGAAATTGCTTTGGTTAACCATATTATGTCATGGGAAAAAAAACAATGAAATTCTGAATCCTTCCATTGGGAAGCTTTTCACTTTAAATACTTAGGTACTTCATTCTGATTTCATAAAAAGAATGAGAGAATAAATATACTCTTGCACTCTGGTAAAATATTTTTAGTAAATCATATTTCATTACACTGATGTTTATTTTAGAGCAAGCATGTCAAACTCGCTACATCACGTGACATCGTGCAACGTATTGGGCCAGTATTGCCATTGCCGACAATGGGGTGGGCGTGGCTTCCATGTGATGCGTCTGGCCCACGGGCTGGCAGTTTGAAACCCCTGTTTTAGAGGAAAAACCCTATGAATTGTTCTAAATCAAAATGTCCTATCTTTATTACTTTTCCTGGGTGTTGGAACTACTAACAGTTCTTGGAGAGGTGGTTCTAGAAGATCTTTTTTTTATCTAAATAGTATATATTTGAAAAATACTTTAGTATTTATATTAAGAGATTATTTGAGTCAGGTTTACATCTAAAGAATGTTGCTTGTTTAAATTACAAGTAAAAGGATTTGGTGTTAGTGCCAACTCTTGTGCAATAGCGCTTAGTCTCATTGAGAAAATGTGTCTCAGCTAAACCTCTATACATTAGTGGGTCTGAATAAGCACTGTATGCAATGAATAGTCAACAGCATGAAACACTAGATATGCTAACTTCTAGATTTGAGCCACTTAAGAACAACCCAAACATTTTGACTCAATTCCTCAGCTGGAGAGCTTAGTTAGATGTCTGGCGTGGGGATGAAGATTTTATTAAAAGGAGATAGATATGTCAGAGACACAGAAACAAAAGCTCTCTGTTAGTTGCTTAGCAAAATGGATTTGCAGTGTTCAGGAAGGAATGATTTATGCATCTGGCTGGTAGTTACTCTACAGAATAAATAATACCATTTTCTCTCATTAGGTTCCTAATCCTGCAATTCTGTTTACTCTGGCCCTGAAACCTGGAAATATGTTAATATATTTTTTATCCTTGCACAGATTTTGGGGCAACAGATTAATGATTTTATCCTTCCTGATGTTAATTTGATTGGGGAGCACTCTGATGCAGCAGAGCTTGGAAGAATGCTTCAGCTTATTTTAGGCTGTGCTGTAAACTGTGAACAAAAACAAGGTTAGTTGGCATTTTATTAAAATGGTACATTATTCAAACTAGATATACAGCCTTTATTTCATTAACAGAGACATCATTGGCATTGTTTTTCAGTTTCTTTGATGAGTGTTAAGAAAATTGACAATTAGCTTTGTCTTCTATTTCAGGGCTTTTCAACCTTTTCAGAGATTGTACTACTTTTAGGATATGGCAATATTTGAGTACCACCAGTGGCCAAGCAGGTGGGCGTGGCCTGCTTGACGCCACTCACTTAAGTCAGCTGGGTCGGAACAGAACAAGTTGCACTGGCTAACTCAATACCCCACAAACTCACCTCCCCAAATTGCTAGCAACCAAGCGCATGTGTGCGCGCGCACACACACACACACACCATATTCCAGGTTTGGGGACTTTTACCAGTATCTACAGAGGAAGGAGAGGGCCTTCTCCTCAAGCCCAGGCATGATTGGCAATTTACTAACTTAGATGTGGATACAAGTCTCCAAGCTTGAAGTGTGTGTGTGTGTGTGTGTGTGTGCGCCCATGGAGGTGGAGGACATTTGCAGGAAGCAGTTTCCTCCTAGTCCAACTTCTGTCTTGACAGATCTCTGGAGAGCAAGAGGAGGCGGCAGGGGAGCAGCGCTCCTGGGACCTGCACAAGGGAGGCTGGCCCTTTTTGAAAGGGAATTCCCATTTCCAATCGTGTGTGGTAAGGTTGCTGGCTTGTTGGGGTAGCCTTCCGTCACACAGCTTCCTTGCCACACCCTCCTCCTCTCCAGAAATCTGCAGGGGAGATAGAGATCTGGAGGGCAAGGTGCAGCCTCCATATTGGCCATTTCTACCTCTCCAAGCCCTCGTCAATTAAACATACATTATATATAAATTAAAACATAGCTAAAAAGAAAACATAGTTAAATCACTCATTACAGCTCTTCACATATTTTCTGGAAAAACCACTTTTATTGATGTTAGAAAGGAAGAGCAAACCTTATTAAGGAACTCTTTAACAGGAAGGGAATTGAAGACCCTAAAAAGTCTTGTTCTTTCTAATCTGCCTTCCCTTTGAGCCTTTAGTTCTCATTATTTTATTATTATGTATTTAAGAAGATCAAAGGCCTCCATAGCTCAGGATACTCACCTTAAAATCAGAACCCAGAAAAATTTAGTTAATCCACAATACTGCCCTATGAGGAATGAAGATAATCTTTGGGCCCTGAGAACATGCAGGTGTCAAGTCAGAATATTAGTGGTGCACCTGTCAGCAACTGGAAGTGCATTAGTCCATGTACTTCTCTTTCCTGTCTCACAACTCAATCCATACATCCTTTAGTTTTCAGCCACATCTTTTTCTCATAAGCTCCTTAAAAAATCAACAAAGTATACTGTAATTATCAGGAAAAATACATCTAGCACTTCTGAATTCTTTTTCCGAGGGGAAAAGGAAAGTTCGCAGCCTGCAGGTTGCTAGCAAAGTCGTCAAAGAACGTAGTTATTGCTGCTAAAGGCTAGAATAAACAATGAATCAGTTTTGCAGCTTTCTTGTTACTATATCCTCTTACCTCCACAATGTGGCCTGAGATTGCACAAGGGGCTAGGCTAAAATCTGGTTCAGTAGTTTGCAGCAAGGTGTTCAGTACAGACCTTGCCAATGTGATTTTAATAGCCCAGTAAGGGATAGGAAAACCTGAGGAAAACTTTGCAATCAATAAACCATGGTGGACTATGCTTGTTTTGCCCTATTTTGATTCTCTTCTCCAGTAGCAGCCCATGGATTTTAGGATTGCATGGCTACAAAGATAGAGGCCTTCAGCCTCCCAATCCCTGCTTAGAGAGGGATTTGTATTTTGGCCATGGTCATACGCCCCCAATCAAAGGAAAACCCCGAATCCAGCGAGCCAAAAGGCAGCCCAGCCACCGTGCCCCTCCGGTTCCTTCTTTTCAGCCCCTGGGCATAGACACAGTCACTGCTCCTCACCATAGCTGGGGCAGGACTTGCAAATACCTCTGTCTGCTTCATCCTGCAAAGCGGCGCTCACCCAGCGCTCCTGCCCACTGATATGCCGGCAGCCTTGACTAAAGGCCATGTGCTCCAGCCTCGCCCAGCCATGGAAGGGGGCGGCAACTGAGACCATAGCAGGTTTGCAGCTTGTCAGGGCCCCTCAAAGGCCGCCCAACTTTACTCCGGAATTTTGAGGTTGGAAAGTGGAGGGGCAGCACTGCGTTTGCAGGCATGGTGGCACCTGGAAAGCCTCCAGCTTCCCCCCCCCCACAGCTACCTCCTTCGGAGCCTTCCTGATCCCTATGGGCCTATTTGCATGGCGGCAGGCAAGAGCTGTGGGGGCGGGGAGCAGGAGGATTTCCACCAGGTGCCACCATACCTGCACACATGGCTCTACCCCTCCGCTTTCCAACCCAGAAATTCCAGAGTAAAGTTGGGCAGCCTTTGAGCGCTCCTGACAAGCTGCAAATCTGATGTAGTCTTGCCTGCCATCTTCTTCCTTGGCAGGGTGAGGCTGGAGCATGCGGCCATTAGTCAGGGCTGCCAGCATGGCGGTGGGTGGGAGAGCCGGGTGAGTGCCTCTTTGCAGGACGAAGCAGAAAGAGATACTTGCAAGCTATGGTGAGGAGCAGCGACTGCGTCTGTGCCCTGGGGATGAGGAGAAGGAACCAGAGGGGTGTGGTGGCTGGGCTGCCTTCTGGCCTGCTGGATTTGGGTTTTTCCTTTGATTGGGGGCTGGGGTGGGCTGGCCCCTTGCTATCTCCAGGGCGGCCCCGGGCCAGATGTAAGCACCCTATGGGCATGTCCTCTCTCCCCCTCCCCCTCCCCCTTCTTTTGTCTGCAACTAACTCCTTTCCCCAGGCTATGCACAGCTTCCAGAAGTGCCAGTCAGCTGGAGCCACATGCCAGTCAGCTAGAGCCCGGCGTGGATCCTGGGCACTCAGGCGGTTCCCGCTGACTCTTCCACAGGCCTGTGCTGCGTTGCCACCACTTCAGTTCATCCCAACGCTACACTTTTCTTTTACACTTTTTTTTACAATGTTTTTCAACCCATTATAAGCATACCACCTGCCAGGTGCCGACGTACCACCAGTGGTATGTGTACCACTTGTTGAAAAGCCCTGTTCTATTTGACCCAGAATGAGTCAGTAGTGAGCCAACATGAAAAAAAAGTATTGGTGCTTTACGATTTGCATGAGAATCCTTAAAGCAGCAGCAGCTTTTTGATCAGATTGCTGTAATGAGTACTTGAGAAGTGCTGTGCTTGCCTACATTCAAAGTATTTCTGAATCATTTCAAACTGATCTTTCAGTGATTCATAGCATTGGTTTAAGAGAGCACATCTTTCTCCTGCTTCTAGATGGCCAGACCTTACTGGTTTATTGTGCTTGATATCAATATTTGTTATTACATTTCATTTCTCTAAATAATATGAATAAAAGAATAACAGAGCTGGAAGAGACCTTGGAGGTCTTCTAGTCCAACCCCCTGCTCCAGCAGGAGATCCTATACCATTCCAGACAAGTGGCTGTCCAGTCTCTTCTTAAAAACCTCCAGTGTTGGGGTACCCACAACTTCTGAAGGCAAGCCGTTCTACTGGTTGATTGTTCTCAGTGTTAGGAAATTTCTCCTTAGTTGTAGGTTGCTTCTCTCCTTGATTAGTTTCCATCCATTGTGTCTTCTGGTGCTTTAGAAAATAGGCTAACCCCTCTTCTTTGTGGCAGCCCCTCAAATATTGGAACAATGCTATCATGTTGCTCCTAGTCCTTCTTTTTACTAGACTAGACCAGCGGTTCTCAACCTGTGGGTCGCGACCCCATTTGGGGTCGAACGACCATTTCACGGGGGTCGCCAAACAACGCGATCTGCCATTTTTCTCAGTCGGCACAGGGGGTGGCACCGCGCATGCGCGCTACGCAGGGGCCGGCGCAGGGGCTGCCGCCGCCGCGCATGCGCGCCGCGCAGGGGGCGGCGCAGGGGGCGCCGCCGCGCATGCGCGCCGCCTGCTCATGACCGGGGTCGCCGGTCTAAAAAGATTGAGAAGCACTGGACTAGACAAACCCAATTCTGCAACCGTTTTTCATGTGTTTTATCCTCTAGCCCCCTAATCATCTTTGTTGTCTTGTCTGCATTTTTTCCAGCATCTCAACATTTTTTTTATAATATGGTGACCAAAACTGAATGCAATATTCTAAGTGTGGTCTTACTAGGGCTTTATAAAGCAGTATTAATACTTCATGTAATCTTGATTCTATACCTCTGTTAATGCAACTTAGAATTGTATTGGGTTTTTTTTTTTTTTTGCTGCTGCTGCTGCACACTGCTGGCTCATATTTAAGTGATTATCCACTAGGACTCCAAGTTCCCTATTATAGTTACTGCTATAGAGCCAGGTTTCATTGCTTCATTGTTTGACTGTGTTCCATATTCTTTTCGCTAATTTCCGCACAAATTACTGGTCTTTTGATTGTCATGAAGCGGAAGTAAAATGCAGTAGCGGTGTGGGATACATAATGATGACTAAAGAGTTGAAAGGCTGTCATAGTATATTGATTTGGTCTGTGCCATAGAAAATATTGCTGTATTGTATTCTGTACTAACTCTGTTTGCCAAAGCAGAAAGATGAGATATAAGTTAAATATGTGTATTAATAAACAGTACTGCCTGCTACAATCTGGTACCTACCTTATATTTAGATGGTATCTCCTAGAATTAGCCTCCAAAAAGTATGCTGATCGGAAATTTTGGGAATTGCACTCTCGATGTAGCTGGAAGACAGTATTTAGGTAGGATAAGATTTGTTAGGTGTTTATATATCATCTTTTCACGTGAAACTAGAAAGTTTTTGTGTTCTGTTGAGTACTGTTTTTCTATTAGGATCACCAGAATGAGTGTCAGAAAGGTAAAATTGTCACTTAACTGCTTGCAGCTAAATCTTTTAGTGAACTGAGGTGGTGCAGCAGTTAGAGTGCAGTACTGCAGGCCACTTAGCTGACTGTGTTCAGCAGGTCAGCGGTTCAAATCTCACCGGCTCAAGGTTGACTCAGCCTTCCATCCTTCCGGGGTAGGTAAAATGAGGACCCAGATTGTTGGGGGCAATGTAAATATATATATACATTGCTTACTGGTGTACACCGCTTAGAGAGTGCTTGCACTTAAAGCGGTATATAAGTCTCATAAATAAATAAATAAACTGAACAATATACTGTAGAATAATTCATTCTGACAATATAGACATTTATATTTTGCTTCCCTTAGTTGTTCCTATAAAACTGATTTTGCAACATGATACAGCCTGTGCTCAAGACTAACTGGAATTTGTCCACAAGGTCATGACCAGACTGTCACGACTGACAGTGTGTCATGTTGCAAAATTGCATGCCCAGCTACAATAAAAGTTTGATAAGTTTAGGAACTATTTTTATGAAATATTCAAAGGGGAAGGGGGTGGATTGGTTATATACATCTGTGGTTTTTAAAGGATGAAAATATATGTCTGCAAAGCTTTTTAATTTTCTTTGCTGTTTGTGTTATGCCATTTTGTGTGGTCTTTCATTAAAGAACATACCTGTAATTTGTTAGGAATGAAATTTATTAGACTTGATTATATGAGACTTCTTAACAATCAGTTTCAGTTCTTCCGTCCTACCTCTATCCCCTTATATAGAGAAATGCAATTTTTTTAATTTAATTTGTTTATTTACTTTACATCTCACCTTTCTACTTGTCTGAAAACTTAAAATTACTAACAATTAAAATACAGAATACAAATATGAAAGAATATAAATTAAATGTAATGCTAAAAGTCCATTAAAAGAATTCATCTTGTGCCAAAATGAACTTCAATTTACTCAGGCATTCAACACTTGAAGTTTGCATTCTTCAATTCCCACACATGTATTTATATTAGTATTGTATCAAGGCTAGTAACATAGTTGCAGCGGAGAAGTATTTTCCCTATTATTGCTTAAAATTAATCCCTTTGAAGAATGTTTATTTTGTCATGCATACATTAAAAGAGAAAATTCACCTATACTAAATGAAAAAAATGAACATTTCAGTATTGTTGACGTAGTTCAGTATGACATAGACATACTGGTCTATATATCTTTCTGAATTTTCTAAGCATGAATAATTATATTCTAAACATGATCCCAATTGTTCTCTTACAGAATATATTCAGACCATCATGATGATGGAGGAATCTGTTCAACATGTGGTCATGACAGCCATTCAGGAGGTAAGGAGTTTAAAAATATATATCTTAAAGTTATATAACCAAATTCATATTATGTGAATCTTTAATAGTTCAGAAATATGATCATAGGTGAAATATTTTTTAAACATAAATTAATCATATCTTCCATTTTGCTTTCATGTAGAATGTTTACATTTTTGAAAGTTAATGCATTCCCTTGCCTATTAATTTCCACCGAATCTTTGAATAGGAGCATATTTAGCAGTAGATATTTTAATAACTGAATTTCATTATTATTAATGAAATAGGGAAGGCTCAGTAACTTAGAAAATCTTTGTGAACTTTCCTGTGAGTAAATACCACTGAATTGATTGGGACATACTGAATGATGTGCTGACACCCAGTTCTGGAATTTCCCCCCCAAAATTACATGCATAGAGAAAAAATGTTTTCTAGGCTAATGGTGGCGAACCTATGGCACACATGCCAGAGGCGGCACTCAGAGGCCTCTCTGTGGGCACACGTGCCATTGCCCCAGACTCGCCTCCCCCCACGACCCCCTACTCATCAGCCCCCCTGGACGAGAGTCGCCCCCAAGCCTGGCCCACACAGAGCAGCGCAGCCATGCGCAGTTTAAACAAGACTCTGCCCTCATGCCCCATCAGGCACAGTTGATGCTGCGGGGTGCAGGCAGAGGGTGTGGCCACCATGGCGCTGCTGGGCTGCCTGGGTGATCTGTGGCGAGCCCTGGAGGCAGTGAGTGGCGCTGCAGGCAGGCAGGGTGGGGGACGGAGTGGGGGCAGGGCAGGGGGTGGAGCAGGGACAGGGCCTGTTTTTGGGCACTCGGTCTCTAAAAGGTTCGCCATCACTATTCTAGGTCTTTTCTGAACTTGGTTTTTTTCTTGAATAAATTTCATTACCCGACTATGTAATATTGACATTGGGAGATGAACTTTGTTTTCTGTTTATATATTGTAGTTTATCCTACCAGGCTTGTATCATCCTGTTTGGAAGGATGAGTTCATTGCTTCTTCTTGGTGCCATGCTATTCTTGCTGCTTGCTGAAGTGATTAGGTGCTCACTTCAAAGCTCTGGTGATGTTATCTAGTCTGGTAATGAAATATCCGGAAGAAGGAAATCAAATTCAGAAAACATCTATAGCCCAACAATTCAACCCTGAGCTACATATTCACACTTTTGAATTTATTTTTGTTTCTTGAATCCTGCGGTGTGTGCAGTAGTACTTAATAGTGTATTGGATTTATCATTTTGTTGGAATAGAAATGTAGAACGTGACCATGTTTCTTGTCACATGTACCCACTACAAACAAGTTTCTTGGCTGCTTTATACAGGACTTTTTGGGGAGTGGGGATGAAGAGGTAGTATACTAAGTAAATCTCTAAGAACCAACCTGCACTAATGTGAACGTGATAACACAGAATCAATAACAAGGATTCAATAGATGCTGGTGCAGTTGAGGCACTTGCTTCTCTGCAATTAATGAAAGTAGAAAAACAAGAGATTTTCAAGAGCAGAATATACAGCTATATATTCCAGTAGTGTCCTCTTCCATCCTTTTAGAATGTCTGTTCACAATTGCCGTTCAGTAATACCACCATTTGAAATTTTTCTATTTGCAAATCAAGTTTAATTTATTATTTTTTTTTTGAAATTGGGGAATTATTTTTATCAGTCTCTGATGTACTCTGTATCTTACTGAATTACCAGTATATTTGATAATATCACAATATTTGTTTTTCTTCTTTGTGGCAACTCTAGTTTATGAACAGTATAAGTATTAGTGGCAATAAGTTACATAAAATAATGTTTCTAATTCTTATCTCTCTCCCTAAAATTAGCTATGTTGAACCAAATAGTAAAATGTAAATTGCTTTCTTGATTAAATAAGGACATACCCCACACCCATAATACAGTACCTTGTATTTTAAATGCCCTTAATTCTTACATAGATACAAATGAGTTTTTTGCTTTTTCTAATCCAGTGTGATCTTATTGCAGTTGATGAGTAAAGAGTCTCCGGTCACTGCTGGAAATGATGGTTATGTTGATCTTGACCGTCAGGTATGTAACATCTACTGCTATTTTTTCCTTCCATTTAGTAGAGTTCAGTTTGCAGAATTTTGGAGCCACCCATCTATTTTGCTTTATCAGTTTATTTTTAAAATGTATTTGGAAAAGTGTAAAGGAAGCAGGCAACAAATTAGTGTCTTATTGGAACTGGTAAATTGTAGGAGTTACAATTAACATCAATAAAGTAACATAATTATTCTGTTAGAATCATTGCCAGAAGGCAGCCTTGACAATGTTACACCACATTTTGATTTTTTTTAATCTAGTTACCAGAAATGAGGTCAAAGCAAAAGTACGTTTGTCAGGTCCAGTGTGAAATTTTGAAAGCTAATTAGAGGCAAAGCTGGAGATGCAAAAACATCTGATTTTATAAAAAACTGATACCACTGATATTGAGTAAAAAAAAAACCCAGTATTTTTTCATATTTTCTCTTTACATATAAAATCAAATTTTTAATTTCATTTGTAGCATTATTTTCTTTCTCTGCCATTTTAACAGTCAAACTGGCTTTATCTCAAAAATGCTATGAGTCTTTTTAAACTAGCAATCAGGTTCTTCGCCAATACATATCTCAAAGAAATTGATTACTTTAGAGAAACGCTACTCATGTTATTAAATGCTGTACATTAATAAATTATTGAATATAATATACAAATATAGTATGGAACATAATTGGAAATATGCTTCATGCCATTATTCTCAATAGGCAGAATTAAACTTTGAAAGATTTGGAATTGAATCTTTTTGAAAAATAATTTACTTAATATGAGTAAATTATTTCCCAGCATTCAAATTAGACATCAGCCTGCTTTAGATACACTATTTATTCTTAAGTTGCCGTTATCTTTTATGGTACTTCTAAAGCCATATTAAAGAGTGCTTGGTTGTTACAGCGAATGCTTGATGTAAGCTATTGTTTTGTAGTAAACAGTTCAACATCACAAACACTTTGTAGTTGGTTGAACTGTAATGGGAGCTACTTTGAATGCAGATATGGAGTTGAGTCCTTTATTTCTCTACTTAAAAATGAGCAAATTGTAGGCAAGAACCTGATAGAATAGACAGAAACGAGATAGTTGGATCAGGTAATCTGACCTGGAAAGAGATCTTCCTTAAAGAAGCCAGTCTTCCCTAGTTTACTGCTGTTCAGACGGGCCAGATTCCCCAGATTTTCAATTATGACTTTGAAATTCATGGGTTATAACCCAACTTATCTGGGGAGGCACCATGTTCATAGAAGGTTGTCCCAGAATAAATATCAAAAACTTTGCAGATTTTATCTTTGTTCCTTGTGTTAACTTTCCTGATCCACGTATATACAAAAACAGTTTATTTATTTATTTATTTTATTTTATTTTATTTTTAAAATTTATAAGCCGCCCCACTCCCGGAGGACTCTGGGCGGCTAACAATAAAAACACATAAAACATAACAAAACAAGCAGTACAAGAACAGTCATCCAGGGGTCAGATTTTATAAACCCCAGACCTGCCGGAAAAGCCAGGTCTTAAGCAACCTACGGAAAACCAACAGGCTGGGAGCAGTCCTAATCTCCGGGGGGAGCTGGTTCCAAAATGTGGGCACCATCACAGAGAAAGCCCTCCTCCGCGGCCCCGCCAAATGGAACTGCTTGGCCAACGGGACCTGAAGGAGGCCCAGCCTGTGGGATCTAACCGGACGAAGGGAACTATGAGGTAGTAGGCGGTCTCGCAAATAGCCTGGCCCTGAGCCATAGAGGGCTTTAAAGGTAATAACCAACACCTTGAATTGGACCCGGAGACCAATAGGCAACCAGTGCAGCTCACGGAGGATAGGTGTAACGTGGGTATATCGAGGAGCACCCACTTTCACTCACACGGCTGCATTCTGGACCAACTATAGTCTCCGAATACTTTTCAAGGGTAGCCCCATGTAGAGCGCGTTGCAGTAGTCCAGACGTGAGGTGACAAGGGCATGAGTGACTGTAAGGAGAGCCTCCCGGTCCAGGTAGGGTCGCAACTGGTGCAACAGACGAACTTGTGCAAAGGTCCTCCCAGCCACAGCCGTCAAATGATGTTCCAAATTCAGCTGTGGATCAAGGAGGACACCCAAGTTGCGAACCCGCTCCGAAGGGGGTATATTTTCCCCCGCAAGAGTCAACACTGGACAGTCGACATGATCCTTGGGAGGCAACATCCAAAGCCACTCGGTCTTGTCAGGATTGAGCCTGAGTCTGTTAACCCCCATCCAGACCCTCACGGCTTCGAGGCAACGGCCCATCACATCGGCCGCTTCACTGAGAGAGCTCGGGGAGGAGATATATAACTGGGTATCATCAGCATACTGATAGTTGAAATCAACAGTTACTTTTTAAGGGGAAAGCTTGTAAAGCTTGAAACATTATGTATAATAAAGTTTGTAATGCCTAAATTTATCTGATTGATTACATACCATCAAGTCATTGTGGATTCTTCCTGACCACATAGGTAGATTTTCTTCAGGATGATATGTCCCTAACTGATGCCATCAAGGTATACCCACCTGTGGTCATCCTCCATTAGAGCTGAATCCAGAGATACATGATTGAAACTTAACTACAATTATCTTTAATACTGTTGTTACATGATTTGTGTTACTTGGATGCTGTGGCTCCTAAGTTAATTAGTGTATGAATATCTGGTACTGTATAAACATATTTCCTAAGATGCAACATTTTGCCATGCGTGCACAAGAGAAAAATATTGATGTAGGTTTTGTCTCCATGAAACAGAAAGCTTTGCCGATAAATTGTCAAAATAAATTAGGGGGCATGCATAATTATTTTAAATATGGATTAATTATTTGGATTACTAACCTTTTTTATTTTTCATACCACTATTTTTAATAAAAATATTTTTTATTTAAAAATACAGTTGAAGAAAACAACGGAAGAATTAAATGAAGCCTTAGCAACCAAAGAAGAAATTGCTCAGAGATGCCATGAACTAGATATGCAAGTAGGCACAGTATTTTGCTGTTATTTGCAGTATTCAATGAACCAGGGGAATGTAGTCTGTAGCCTTTCAGCTCTTTTTTTATGAACCTACAGCCACTGTATAGTTTCCCATTCTGAGGTAGAAAGGATAATTTATGCTCTGACATATGCTATACCTGGATTAGAAAACATCTGCAGATCACCACTCCAAACAGGGAGAAACTGAACAACTCTGCCCATCTAATAACAGTGTTCCCATATTGTGGTTTTTGCCTTGCTCATTGTTACTGTATCAAAACACCCCAAATCCTTCCTATGAAAAGTGAAAGAGTTGGTTTGGTTCATAAGCAAACAGTCTGTAAGGTCGACTGAAATAATACATTATTTTAAACAAACAAGCAAACTTCAAAGATCTTTTAGAACTACTTCTAGTAGTAGAACTCTGCCTTTATACTTGTCCTACATAAGTCTCCTTCCTGATTTCTGTTTCTTAGCAAATCAAAGTCTTTTTTTTTTTGTTCAAGTATACCAATAAATTAGGGTTGGTCGTAAAAAGAACTAGTGCATGAGGAGCAAATTTGTGATCCTGAGTCTTGTTTGCGTCAGAACCAATGGTACACATAATTATTGGTAACTTAAAATCAGTCAATCTTGTATCATTGAGTGTATACTGTTAAAACTGGGAAATTGACCTGAGATAGCACTATATTTTTATTGCTACAAATTCCAGCATCTTAGTTTAGTGAATCATATGAAGGAAGACGAGTCCAAATTTTTGTTTTGAGTAGCATTTTATACCTGGCAATATGGACTTGAATGGACATAGATGTAGATTTATTGCCTTATTAAATATCCACAGAATATTTATACAATACTCTAATATTTTCAGAGAGAGACAGTTAGTGTGGTTTAGTAGTTAAGATGCTGGACTAGGAATAGGGAGGGTCAAGTTTTAATCCTTTTATTTATTTATTTATTTTATTTTTTTTAGGGATGAGTGATTTTGAGCAAGTCAGTGTCTCTCAATCCTAGATTGGGAAGTTGAGAAACATATATCTGCCAATTTGTACTGAACCAGCATAATACTATATGACTTTCAGTGAAGAGGATTTAAGTTGCACTTAATTGATCCTGAATGATGATGGTGATGATGAAGATGATATTTTAGGGGAACTCCATATAATTTGATTCTTAAAATATCATTACAAATCAATGTTTATAGTGTTTCTAAATAAATCTTGCTGGTTTCCTTAAAATATTAGTCCCAAATAACTATAGCTACAATTGCAATCTTATGAGTTCATTGTAGAAGTAATAATAGCAGAATCCTTCAAGGTATTTTAATTTCAGAAGAAGTTACATCCAAATTATTCTGGTTATGTAGTAGGGTTATAGGTGAATGAGTACATGTGGGGATGGATACAGAATATATTTGTTGCACGTGTAGGCAAATACACAAGCCCCAGTTGTTTGTCCTAGAAGGAAGTAATACCGGTAAAGTAATATTTCATTGTAACACATGGTTCAGATTCAAAGCATTGGACTGTTTTTCCGTAATATTACCAAAGTATGCTCTTGGTCAACCGTGGTGCATTTATTGTTGCATTTTGGTTACAGGTTGCTGCTTTGCAGGAAGAGAAAAGTAGTTTGCTAGCAGAGAACCAGGTCTTAATGGAACGCTTAAATCAGTCTGATTCCATAGAAGATCCAAACAGCCCAGCAGGACGTAGACATCTACAGCTACAGACACAGTTGGAACAGCTCCAAGAGGAAACCTTTAGGTAAAGTTCCACAATAATGGACCAGCTATTAAAGAAATGCTTATTTCATTCTTGTCTGCCATTAGAATGAAGAGTTTCCAATCAATTTTACCATTAATTTTATTGTTAAACAAATCAGGATAAAAATACGGCTGCGTACAACAACGTTAATAGTATAATTTATAGATTAATAGTAATAATGAAAAGAAAAGAAAAAAATTACAAGTATCTGCAAATTATATTGAAACAACTCCAAGATATTTATCTTCAATCAATGCCCATTTCAGAACTTGATAAGTAACACATATTCAAACCTTTCAGTTGTATAATTGTTTTATTCAGCCTCAATAAGTTCATCCAAATCTATTAGATAATTGCATTTGCAATTTGTTATGCAATGATTTCAGTCAGATTATATAATCTTTATTATTGTGGTCACCAGCCAACAATATTTAGAAAACCTAAATATTAAAAATAGTAAAATTCTAAAGGTACTTTATGAATAAAATACTATAAATTCTTCTTATTACTAAATGATTATGTATGTCTGTGTCTGTAACACTTTTGGGGTCAGTGACTAATGAGGTGTAAATTAAACCTGTATCGCTGGCATGCTAAGGATTAAAGAAGAAATTTGCTGTATAAAGCAATAAGAGCTGAAATAAAATGTCTATGTTGATGGTGATTTATATCAGGAACTGTAAAACCTTTTACAGTTGCCAATAATCCTAAAAATAAAAAGCCAATAAGTTTGCTGCTTTTATGCCAGTTTTGCATAAAAGTGGTATTGATCATTAATGCTATTTGTTTTGCTGACTTTAAAAATACATAATGAAAAGGCTACTTGAAGTCTTGCTTCTAACTTCCTGGATATATTTCTGTCTAATTTCTCATTATTTGCTGTATGGCTTAGGTAGAGGATCTAATTGGTAGCTGGACCTGAATCTATAGAATACTTTCATTACTTTAGAGAAAACAAATGGTTTTCAAAGGCTCTATGCATATGCATGTTTTTTTTAGTATGTAGTATTATTTATATGGCCACTCAACTCTTAGACGATAACATGACATAGAGCATTAAAAAACAACAACATGGCAGTGACAAATACAACCACACAGGTCACTTGATTGACTTTAAATCAACCTGTAGTCCCCACACCAATTAATAAAACCATGTCTGTGCCTGAATATATGTACCTAATAAGAATTAAGTTACAGTTTTTGCAAATTTTGAGTGAGTGAAAATTTGGTGTTTTTGAAGGTTTTCTGAATATCCCAGAGATTTTTTTCCCCCTTAATTGGCAAAACACTATTCAGTGTTATTTATTTATTTATGTTTAAAAGTAAACACACAGAAGAGAAGAAAACTGCAAATCTTGATTGTGAGTGCTTTCCCCTATGTAATATATTGTAGTGTTTTATTTCAGATTAGAAGCAGCAAAGGATGATTATAGAATTCGTTGCGAAGAGTTAGAAAAGGAAATTGCAGACTTGCGGCAACAAAATGAAGAATTAACAAATCTGGCTGAAGAAGCTCAGTCACTGAAAGATGAGATGGATGTATTAAGGTAAATCATTTTTAACCCTTTAGATTACTTTCTGATATAGTTTCATTGTCTGTTAATTAGAGTAAATCCAACATTGCATTCATTCATTTCATTCATTCATTGGTTCATTTGTTTGTTCATTCGTTCAATAATTTCTATAGCTGTCCATCTCAGTCAATTACTCTGGCCAACTGCAATTGAAAATACTAAAAACATTTTAAAATATAAAAAACACTAAAAACATCCAGATTAAATATATGTAGGAACAAGAAACTTGGCCAGTTAGCAATATAGCCAAGAAACGGGGAGCCTCTAACACATTCAGCACCCCAGACATGGGAATAAAGCCAGGTTTTTAAGGCCTTATGAAAGGCTAACAAGGGTTGGGGCCATTGTAATCTCCGAAGGAAGGATGTTTCATAGAGCAGAAGCCACTGTGGAAAAAGGTCGTCTTTTGGTTCCCACCAGTCAACACTCTTTAGTTGATGGGATCTGCAGCATGCCCATTCTGCTTGATCTAGTTGGATGGGTAGAGACTCTTGGAAAAAGATTATCTCTCAGTTACCTTGCTCCTAAAGTTGTCTATGTTCAATAACACAATTTTTACATGTGATGCTTCCTGAAAATTGTCTATTGGCTCCAATTAGTATAAAGTACTATAGTAAGCAAGATCACTACCACCAATGTAAACTTATCTGGATGCTTAGATTCTACTTCCAGGTTAAATCACTGTGAGAATTGGACATGGGGCTTTACAGTTGTGCTGCTGTGCTCTGTCTTAATTTTTTGGGCAGTAGCTGTCCATTTACTATAGCTTGGACAGTTTTATATTATGCTGTAGGATTATTATGTCTTCATCAACTTGTTCTGAATCCATCTTTTAAATTCCTTGGCAGTTGCCATGAGATTTCAGATGAAGAACTGGCAAGTACTCTAGGGGCATATAGCATTGACAAGAGTGACCCCTCCAAATTTGGAGGTGTTCCTCCAAATACAAAAAGTAAAATAAAATGGTCTTTCCTATTGTTTGTTTCCAAGAGGATTCAAGTCCCAACACTGGGAAGTCCCAATATGCCATTGCTGAATGCAGCCAGGAATACACCCTAACGTTAACCACCCCACTTGGGTCTTGCAGTGAATAAAGACTCCTGGGACATTTCTTTTCTCCAAGAGTATAACTTACTAGACTAACATAATTACAGAAGTAGCGAAGCCAACTCGGATAAAACATAATTAACTTTCCCTTTCCCCCTTGGTGTGCCCATAATTATTTTTGCTTGGGTAACAGGGTCTTTGACATTCCCAGCAAATGACCTTGGGAGGCTGGCATTGTCTCAGGCTTTGAGCCGGATTCTTGATATTCCTTTAAACTCTCCCCACACCCCTCCCACTGTAGCTGATGTCTGGCTGTGAACGGGAGTTGCGAAGCAAGCCGATTTGCAGCCATGACACCTGTCTTCAGTGGAATCAAGAGTTGCTGTATGTATTTTCCTGTCCCATTTCCCTGCAAGTAGCACAGCTTTAAGATATACTTAAGCAGATGAATCTAAGGCCACTCTTCCAATAAACTGAAAAGAGATTCTAATAACTAAATCTTGGCAACACTTCTCTTTCTAGGCACTCATCCGATAAAGTTGCCAAGTTAGAAAGCCAAGTAGAATCGTACAAAAAGAAGCTAGAAGATCTTGGGGATCTACGGAGGCAAGTGAAACTTTTGGAAGAGAAAAACACAATGTACATGCAAAACACAGTGAGCTTGGAAGAAGAACTGAGGAAAGCCAATGCAGCTCGCAGCCAATTGGAAACATATAAGAGGCAGGTGAGGGCAGGAACTAAGAGAAATATATTCTGACAATCTTACAAATAATTTATGCGGGTCACCTTGCCCTTTCTACTGAGAGCCAGCGTGGTGTGGTAGTTTGGGTGCTGGAATAGGCATGAGGTGCTCCCAGACCTGAGATTAGTTTGTTTGCCAAATCCCTAGGTTTTTTTTCCCCCTGATTATGTGTTGAGTGATTTTATCTGGATGTATATGTAATTTTCTCTGTTAAATTGTAATTGTTTTTTTTCCTTCCTTTTTATTATGTAGAGCTAATTGGGAGTCAGATAATTTTTCAGTCAAATCAGAGTTGCTTCGGATGTTCTATTAATTTCTTCCTGTGACTTAGTTTATATGTAAATTAGACAACTATGGCTTTTTACTATATCAAGGTTATGTTATGTTATGTGCAACCAGGCAAATGAATTATGAGGAACATATTTATGCAGCTTTATTCTCAAAGCAAGATTTTAGTATTGGACTGTGATCTTTAATTAAATCATGGGGTAATCTTGAACACAAAGTTCTTTAGTTACCAATTTTGTTTTCATTTGTATCTTGGTATAGTTCCTGATTGAATTCATTTCTGTTTGTTATATATTTCAGTGAAAGAACAGACTTGAATAGGAAATATAACTTTGCTAAATCAAAATGGGGAAATATCTAGTGGTTGTGGGATATAAACTCATCTTATTCTTTCATCAATAAAGTTATATGTTCTTTTCAATGCTCAGAGTCCAATTATTAACATTACTATTACTTAATATATTGCATACTATATTATAATAAATAGAAGAAATAATTAAATAATAAACCATTTGTATATTTCAGAATGCAAGACTGTCATTCCATGTTTCCCAACAGTACTGATTGCCACTGCTATGTTTTAATACAATACTTTATTGTTATGAAAAGAAACCTAAGCAAATTTCTGTATATTCCCTGTGTCTCTTCGTTGGAGCATTTTGAAGCTTCTGTTTAACCTCACAGGAAAAAAAAAATATTTGTTATGTCTGAATTCAGTATAGAATTTAAAAGATTAAGACATTGTAAATGAATTTAACCAGGTTTAAATCCATAGTTGTGGATTTGAATATATCTAATTAATTGAAATGAGAAGCTGAACCTTCTGATCTTGTGGTTGCTTCAGAGGAGAGGAGGAAGGAAGGAAGAAGGAAATTTAAAGGTTGTTGTGATTTGTCTTATGTTTATTACTGGCTCTTAATGAAGATTTACACTTTTATATTGATAAATTGTGATCCCTTTTGCTATTGCAGATAGTTGAACTTCAAAACAGATTGTCTGAAGAATCCAAAAAAGCAGACAAACTAGAATTCGAGTACAAGATGCTGAAAGAAAAAGTAGATAGTTTCCAAAAAGAAAAAGATGTATGTATTCAACCTATAAATGTTGCTGTTCCCTTTTATACCTAAAATATTGATAATTAAAGTGGCTATTTTAAACATAGTGTATATATGTTTATTATGCATGTGTAGTCAGCTGTCTGAATTCTTCAGTTGTGGTTTTCTACTGGTCTTTTTTACTTTTCTTTTGATCTTGGCTTTTTACATAATCCTTTTTTAATATCCTCTGCCATTTGAGGATTCAGTGATACAATTTGTTTGTAACATATGTTCTTAATAATTCAGTTTTGCTTTTTTGAGTTCTTTGTGCAAGTTTTCATTACTATTTTATTCAAGTCTGGGTTTGTCCCATAGATGATTTAATTAATTTGCTAGTTGAGAGCAAAAACAAATTAAGTAACTACTTAAAGAAAACAGATAAGGATGGGAAACAGGGTTGTATCGTTATGACGCTTATGCTTAACTAATACCAAACCATAATTTAAATTTATTTATAAACCTATTGTGTTTTCCTCTGTTTTCTTTTTATTAGGTTTTATATATTGTGTTAATGTGCATACTTTTAGGTCTAGATTATCATGTTCAACTTTTCTTCCAAGTAAAAAAAAATTCTTCCTCATTTTCTTTATCACAGATTTTATAATAAAGTTTGAAATCTATATTTCTGTCTATTCAATTAGATTATCTTTTCTTATAATCCATATACAGTAATAAACTGAGCAGAGTAGAGGATTTAATTGTTCATTAGCCGAGGGATAATAAGTTTTGTGATAGGCTAGTGTACTTAAGCAAACATTGCTCTATTGATAGACCATAATGTACTGCAGTTCTCTTTTACTGTTGCAGATGTATCATGATAATCCACATATCAGTTGTAGACTTTTGACCTAGTTTTTGTTGACTGGATCCTTGCTTCCATTAATATGGAACATTGTACAATATGATTTCTGCTTACTTTATCATTAGTATTTTCTCTGACTATTGTTAAAAGGTTTCATGGAAATATTGGGCCATATTATGTGATACATAATTAAATATTCCTTCCCATTTCATAACTCCGACCTATTATATATTTCAGAAATACTAGTTGACTTGTTTTCCCCTGAATTTTAAATTCATAGTAGATTTTAGAATGTTTAGATATGTAATTAAAACATATTGATATATGACAAGGAAGTATGAGTACCAGTGAAGTGCCATCTGAACAGCTGAGGGAAAAAAAAGTCAATTGGGGGAGCTGGATTTGCTTAATAACTATAGTAATCCATTTAACAACTGCAGTAAAAATGATTATAAAAAATCATGACCAGTGACATGATAACTCACTTTATAATCATCCCGACTTATGACTGAAATTCTGGTTCCAGTTGTGATTGTAAGATGAAGACTATCTGTAACATAATCTCATCCTTTTTGAACTATCTATTGGAATAGTGAAATATCTCTCTTTTTAAAATCTGTAGAGGCTAAGGACAGAGAGAGATTCTTTAAAGGAAACCATTGAAGAGATTCGTTGTATAAAAGCACAAGAAGGACAACTAACTACTTCAGGTAAGATTCTGGAAATGTAATAGTTTATAAGAAAATTATATCCTTTATTAAAACTTGCATCACTTTTTTCATTTTGGTGTCTTCTTGGAGTATGAAAAGGAATAGTACTGACTTAGGAACTATTTGTCGTGTAAATTGTTTAGAATTAGGACAAATTGCTGTTTACCAAATTGTGAATTTTTATTGCAGGCTTGAAAATGTATATATTTAGGGATATTTTTATGAAAGGATAATGTTTTGCTATTTTTTTTACTCTGAATTGTATGCTTAAGTATTTATTGGGTTTGGATAGGAGAGTTAAACTGAAACCACAGTATTTTTTCATCTTCATTTACTATTCTATTCTGTTTAATGTTTTCTTTCTTCTCCATTCCCTAAAAAAGGATTATTACCTTTGGAAGGTCAAGAATCTTCTGACAGTTTAGCAGCAGAAATTATTACTCCAGAAATAAAGTAAGATAAACATAAAATATTTTTATATGGTCATGCATTTAGCTTCATATATTACTGACATTTTAACAGGACTAAGATTAATAGTTCTTACTGATCTTGCCCAGTTTAAAATTTTATCTCTGTTTAAGTTTATTAAAAATGGGTTTAATCTTCCTTAGGCAAATATTTGAATCAATTTAATCCTTCCTTGAATTTCACAAGAATTGTGAGTGCATTTTTATCTCCTTTCTCCTCTTTTCATTTTTTTTAAACTAAACTATTGAAGACCCTGTTGAATAAAAGGAGATGGGGAGTTATACATGGTCTATTTTATGAGAGCAGATTAGCATAAAATAGACCAAAAATTGATGGTATTTACTGTAACCTCACTTGTTTAATTTGTTCAGTTTCAGTTATACTTTCTGTTTTCCTCTCTGGAGCTTCTTGATGCTCTTAAATGGAAATTAATATTGGAGTAATTGAGTCAAGCTAGTATTAAAATTATGTTTCTTAACTTTATGGAGTTAGAGATGGTTTATAAAATATACCAATAAAATTGATTAGTGCATGTTAAACTAGAGCTAGCTAGAAAATAAATATCCTCATTTCTGTCGCTTTAAAAGTATGAATTAGTGTTTTCTGAGTTTCTGTGGGTACACGCGAAAAATAGGAATCTGGAGGTTGTTAACCTTCATTGAATGGCAGCAATGGAAGAGCCAAAGATAAATTGTACAAAAATTGAGCAGCTTTCTGAAGAAAAGCAGGGGGAAAATTATTCTGTTAGGTGACAGGAATGGATGATTGGAAATAAGAAAGAGAATACAAAAATGGGATTGATGCATATAAGTAATCCTCATTTATTGATCACAGTTGGGATTGGAAAATTGGTCCTTAAACAGAATGGTCATTATGTGAAACTATGGCTGATCATTAGAACTTACTTCAGCTTTCCTATCTGTGAAGGTTGCAAATGAGAAGCTTGGTCCTAAAGTTATTTTTTCATCACCATCGTAACTATGAATGTTCATTGCAGTTGCTAAATGAGGACTACCTGTACAAATTGAAAAGGAATGAATCTAAAAACCATAATTGATGTGATTATTTATGGTGAAAAATTGTTTCTGATGAAAGATTGATTTAGTGAAGGATACAAGGGAGATGAGAATTTCTAACAAGCCATTTTTTGCCTCGGAAGTGAGCTTGGGAGAAAATGGATATGGAAGTTAATCTAGGTTTAGTTATACAGAAAGAGTAAGGATTTGATCACAAAAGTAATATATGAAGAAAGAATAAATGAATAAGGGGAAGAACATGAAAATCATGGATGGGTGGAGCTAATGAGATCTTGTAAAAGAGAACAATTAACATAGACTATGTGAAGTAATGTGTAGATACGATGGAAGCAAAATGGTTTGCAAAGATAGAAAGACTGGAGAAGTATACCAATGATGTTGTTGTCAACTGGATGAAGCTATTGGGGGGGGAGGGCTGAAAGTTTGTGACCCTTTTTGGATTCTCATTATTTCTGCATAAATATGATCTAATGCAGTGGTTCTCAACCTGTGGGTCGGGACCCCATTTGGGGTCGAACGACCATTTCACGGGGGTTGCCAAACAACGCAGTCCGCCATTTTTTTCCCCCTTTTCCTTAGCTGTGCTACTCTCTTTTATTCTATTGGCTTTTGAAAGCCAATAGAATAGACTCTCTTGAATAGAGTCTAATTCTATTGGCTTTCAAAAGCCAATAGGAATTGTCCAGGCTGTCTCTGCCCTGCTGAGCCCGCCAAAAGTCCCATTCTGCAAACGGTGCTGCACCAGTTGAGTAGTCCTCGACTTACGACCGGTTGAGTAGTCCTCGACTTACGACCGGTTGGGGGTCGCGGCATTAAAAAGGTTGAGAACCACTGATCTAATGCAAGTCCTAAAATTAGATCAAGAAGACTGAATTAAACAAATTTATTCATTTATTGAGAAAAATGATCCAAAGTAGATTGATGCTGTCCAACATATGTAGGATGGTTACTTCACAATGCATACTTTCTATAGGGATGGTATTGCTCTTTCCCAGAGTGTGACACTATTTCATTACTCCTGCTTTGTTTCCCAAGGGAAAAGCTTATTCGCCTTCAACATGAAAACAAAGTGCTAAAACTTAAACAGGAGGTGTCTGACAACGAGAGGGTTGCTTTGCTGCAGAGTCTCTTGGACGATGCCAATCTGAGAAAGAATGAATTAGAAACAGAGAACAGGTAAGAAGGTGCTGTTTTTCTTTTAGAGTAGTAAGGTGGAAGCGGATTGGAACCACTTGCTTCCACTTTAAAGATATTAAAAAGAACATTTTTTGGCTGGGACTGCACATTATTATTTATGGTAAGGTCTGAAGACTTCAAGGGTATATTGGAGTGGTGAGGTAATAACATCACTAGAGTGAGGGTCAGAATGTGTGTCCTTTTTTTAAAAGGACATTTATGTGTTAAGCCTAATAGAGGCTTTACTATATGCACCTTGCTATAATTTCTGTAGCAATATATTATCCATTGCAGGCTTGCTGCGCCTGTCGCAACTTCACTAAAGCCCTTTTAGTCAGGCTGTTTCAGGGTGACCCAGGATGGCCTTCATGGCTACCGTAATGGTCCTGAGGCACAAGGCCACGCCATACTTCACCCACTCCTAGCAACCCTTTATTTTGTCCTGTTACCATTCTCGTGATGTTGACGTGGGGTTGGAGTTTGAGAGACTTTGAGACTGCCCGAAGAGCAAGAACCAAAACTTAGTATCTCACTCAACACCTGAAGCAGTAAAAGAGGAAATAAAGAAGAAGAGAAAAAGAAGAAGACTATATCCCAAAGATACTTTTTTCATGAAGCAACTGGACTTTCTTTCTTTTTTTTTTTTGAAGATATTTCGCTTCTCATCCAAGAAGCTTCTTCAGCTCTTGACTGGATGGTGGGGAATGGAAGGATTTATACTCCTTGCAGTCAGCTGGTCATTTGCATTCTTTTAGAGAGCCGTTGAAGCCACCTGGAGGTTTATATGTGTTGTCAGGGTCACCTAAGTAGTGCAAATGGGTGTGGAGCCTTCTTGGAACTGTTGAAAGGACTGTGTGATAGATGCCATATCCCTCCCGTTCTGTTGAGAGAAGGCTGTTCAATTTTGACATAGATGGCCTCTTTGACCCCTCTTTCAAACCAATGGTCTTTTCTGTCCAAAATGTGAACTTTGCTGTCTTCAAAAGAGTGGCCTTTGTCTTTTAAATGCACCCTAACCCATTTGCACTCAGGTGTCCCTGACAACACAGATAAACCTCCAGGTGGCCTCAAGGACCCTCTAAAAGAATGCAAATGACTAGCTGTCTGCAAGAAATATTCCACATCCATCCAGTCAGAGCTGAAGGAGCTTCTTGGATGAGAAGCGAAATGTCTTCAAAGAAAAAAGAAAGTCTAGTTGCCTCGTAAAAAAGCAACTTTGGACAACTGTGACCTGTATGACTGAGAATCTCCATAGACAAGAAGACTATATGTGCCCATTTTTGTGCTGGTTCCAATTGAAGCACTTGAGAAACTCCATTGAGAAAAATCATCAGTTTGGAATGTATTTTAGCGGGGTGATCTTGAGCTGTTAGAGATGCTGGAAAAATGAGAACGAGAAATAATATGGAGCCTACGGCAGAAAAATCATCCACTTGATTAAAATAACACTATCTTTCAGATAGTCTGTGATGTACTTATCACATGTTTGTGACTTCATTGACTTCTACCATAATTTAGGAAGAGACGTAGTACTATTGTTTCATAGCACATTAGCAGGAGAATGTGCTAATAAGAAAATAAAACCTTAAAGCCATTATTTCAATAAGTATTTCTAAATACCCACAAGATCCTTGTCAAGCAGATGATTCATTTAGGAGAAAAATAAACCCATTGGTGCTTCTTAAAAGTTAAATCTTGTTTCTTATTTCTAGGCTTGTAAATCAGAGATTGCTTGAAGTACAGTCTCAGGTTGAAGAATTACAGAAGTCTTTGCAGGAGCAAGGATCAAAAGCTGAAGATGTAAGTGGAAAGATACACAAATACATGGTCCCAAATGTTCTAGTGCCCCCTACTTTCCTGCTAAAAATATTTTTTTTTCTGTCAAATTTCATTACCTTCATATCTAAAGGCAAAATGATGTCATTTTCAGTTTCTATGCTTTTAATTGATGAAGTACCTACTTTCTGCCCCCCCCCCAATATTCTTAGTGAAATCCAATTGATTTTCTCAAAATAAAAGCTGATGGTTAAAAAAAAATAGCCTACATTGGCATTCAGGTCTCTGTCAGAAACCTGATGGGACAGTCAAAGGAACAGCTGAGATGGGATGGGATTGGAGTAGATATTTCCAGCTGGAGGCTCAGCTGGCATCTATTTTTAAACCTATACACGTGGCAATAGTAAAAATTACAACTTTTGGGTAGTTAATAATTTACTTGATATAAAGATTTATTTTCTGACCTACAAGCAATATATATCAACGTAGTGCATAAATTGAAACTATGATAACATGAGAGTATGGTTTTTCCCTTCTAGAAATAATAAACGCATTGGAGCAAATCAAACAAATAAGTTGCTTAATATGTTCGCAGCACAAGTCTACCCTAAGTGCTGAGACTCCCAATGCCCTCCTCTTTAATTTTGTGAGCAAAACCACCTTAGATTTGTACATTCAATCATTAAGGAGAAACTGTCATTTAAAATCTGATTTATTATACAAATAAAGAACCTGAGGTTTGGATAAAATATATTGTAAGCATTGTGTTGGTCTCCATCACAGATTATATTTTAGGCGCATTTGGCAAATTATTGTCACATATTGCCTCGAAACCTTGTCCATGCCCCCCAAAAATTGGGATTATAATGATCCCTTTTTTATTATTCCATATTTGAGTTCGCCTTTTTGTAAAGTTAACCTTGTTTATTGTAGCACCTGCTTTGAGTATGAACGCTCACTCCTATCCTTAACACACCTTTGTGGTAGTTTTTCAGAATTCTCTAGTGGATGAGATAGGAGAAAGAAACCTTAGCGAGCACAGAAAGAGAAGATAATGCGCATGCTCTGTGAGAATGCCTTGCTTTAATTGTATTATCTTCAGAAAAGATACTAAATAGTTTCTTCTGTTGGCTGCTGTTCACTTCGTACTAAACTGTCGCCTCTGTCTCTTGGCATGGGTTTCTGCGCAAGGCTATTGTGAGTATGGCTTCCTATTTATTTCAACCTGCTCTGAATCAGTCTCATTTGTGGCTCAAATGTTTTTTTTTTTAAAAAAACACCATTTAATTGGACAAGATTTCAGTTCTTTTTTGCATGCTACCTGTGTTATCTGTGCGTCGTTTGATTATTTTTGTATACATTGTCCTTCCGGCAGCTTCTACACATGTCTTGTGGCATGTTTTCGTAGAAACGGGTATACAAGTGATTTGAAATGTCTGAGGTTGCACCTAAATTAAGAATTTAATCCATTAGGGGTTTCCTCAAATTACTTTTCGAGTGACATGGACCTTATATTTATATTTAGTTGAGATGGTTTAATATACAGTAGTGGCCAAAATTGTGGAAACCTTTTGGGAAAAGTGTATTTTTGAGGTTTGATGGCTAATAACACCACTTTTTTTTAGTAATGCCATACAATTATATATCAATGGAAAGGTAATTTAATAAAGAATGTAATACAACAAAGTTTGTTCAATTATCTGTACTGTGTTCTATTATAGCCAAATATCTAGAAAGAGGAAGCACAACTTGCTTAGGTTGGTATCAGGTAGCTTTTCTTCATTTGATTGTAGCCAATGAGCATGAGTGTTTAGAGAGCTAATCAGGTTCATCTTGTTTTGGCAGTGAGCCAATCAGATCACAGTAGGATTCAGTTATTGATGTCATGTATTGAAGCTGAGAGGAGGACATTTATCAGTGTGTTATGTGATCGCTATCAAGTTGGTTGGGGTTTTTTGCGTTCTTTCATTTAGTGAGCTTGCAAAACATAATAAAATTAAAGTAATGGTGCGAAGAGTTGACTGGTTGCCCAGAAATCGATGTAAAATAGTATTATTAAGTGAACAAGGCTACAGTTATAAAGAAATTAGAAGAAAAATTGGTGGAAACTTAACCAAAGGTGGCATTTCTACTGTACACTTTTCCCAAAAGGTTTCCACAATTTTGGCCACTACTGTAGTATAAAATTCCTTCATACAGTAGGAATTGATGTGAAATACTAGTGCAAGTAATCAAACTATGGAAAGGGCTTTGGTGTTGTCATGTGTGAGCTAACCCAAATAAATACATTGTTGGTTTGTGAAACACTTAAAACACCCATGGTAATATATATCATCCATAAAATGTCCATGGTAAAATTTCAAAAGACATTTCAGCATATAGTCCCAGCTATAATGCTGCTAAATTGGATTATATTTACAGTTCCTTCATCTCAGTCCACTGAGAATCAATCATGTCTCTCTGTCTCTGGAAAAGAGATAAAGGGAGCATAACTCTTGTTGATTTTTGCTTGAACCCTTAGTGGCTTTTGACACAGCTGACGCCAATATGCTCCTGGATTATCATTGGGAGTTGGAGTGTTTAATATGTTGTAAATGGGGTTTCACATTTCAGAAAGAATGGGTCCAGAGGAGCTTTTAAAGTCATCATTATCATTGGAGGTCCAGGTGACCTCTGTAGTTAGGACTGCCTATTGCTATTCATTGATATATAAATTATGTCCTTTCTTGTACAGAGATAATCTAACTATACTTATTCACATGCTTGTAACTTCATACATAAATTATAGCAATGTTCTCTATATTGGTCTGCCCTTGTATTCTGTACAAGTTGCATCAGTTAGGTTGCTGAGTGACACATGAGCTACGCTCATATTATGACTCTTTTGAAGTAACTGTTATGGCTGCCAGTTAGTTGCTGAACCACTTTCAAGTTTTTGGTTATGACATATTAACCCCTAAATAACTTGACCCAAATTGCCTTCATATTACTAGACTGGGTTAGTAACTAGTTACTAAAATCATCAGACGTGGTCCTGCTCTGTAAACCAAGAGTTGCTGAATATTGGGTGAGCGTTCTCTCACCCTGACTTTTGGGGGCAGGGGGCACCTGACTTAACAGTTACACATTACAGAACTTACCCTGTAGTTACACATTCAGAACTTACCCTTTCATCCAATCCTTCTCAATTTGAATGTTGGAATGAAAAAGAACATCTTTTATTGCATCTTTTAAGGACTGTTTTACAGAATACTGGTTTATATTATTTTGCATTGTTTTAAGTATTTTTAATTATTTGTATTGTTGTTTTTATTATAAATTACTTTGAGATGCTTTGGCATATGAAGAGATAAATAAATACCACGAATTTGCATATAAACACGTAAGGAGCGAAAGTCTAGTAAAGTCTGTAAATTTTTTGTCCCAAACCTCAATCATGCTTCAGTTAAAAATATAGATAAAAATATACAGCTTTGTTTGTTTCAAGTAATTACATTTTTCCTTTCATTTATAGTCAGTCATTCTGAAAAAGAAACTTGATGAACATCTGTAAGTAATAAAAATTTTCCTCCCGTTTTTATAATAACAATAAAAAATACTATTTGTATTATATGGAGAATAATTAGGATTGAATCACTTAAAATTGCTTAGTATGTTAATATTAATTCTGCTCTGACACTCTTATCTCGTGGTGTGAATACATAGTGTGTATTCTTAGTTTAATAAACTTATTGTAGGGCTCAGAAATAATATTTAATAATTTGATAAAATGTTTAAAACATGTTTTGAACTAGGAATTTTCTTATTACATAAGCAAGCAGAATAGATATAATTATTAATTTAAAGGAGTAATATCTTTGTAAGAAGTCAGTACTAAAGTGAATCTGTTATCACCAAAGTTTTGTCAACTCATACTGGCTAATTAGGAAAGAAGTATGTGTATATATATATGGGATTAGTGTGGGAGATAACGTGTGTGTGGTTTTATATGTTTTCAGTGTGTATTCATTGTCCCTCTCCTCTCCCCAATACTTACACATTCCTGCTGGTGCCAGAAATTAGGTAATAAGCTACACTAATTCTGGGGCAGCTGGACTTATAGTTCTATTAATTTATAGGTATGATAACTCCTACCTCTTAAAAGAAAAGGGATTTCTAATGAAGAGGATTAATTTTTGACACTTAATGATGGGGTTATATTGTTAACAGTATTTACCAATCTCTCTGTGTGTATATAGTCTTAGTATATTTGTATAGAGTACTGTAGCATACTATATTTGTATATACTAACTTTTATTTGGGTCGTGGAATAAAGTTCCAAGTAATGCATATGCAACAAACATATGGATAGAAATTTATCTACAAGATAAATTGCTAATACATACCAGATAAATAGCTAAGAGCCTTCAAATAACAGATCTAATGAAACCTCGAGTCTCCTTCCAGCCATCATGATTAAATATCATAATTAGACTGGGGCACCTTACTACTATCCATACTAAACAATGTTCAGGAAATAGGAAATCAATTGAAAGCCTTAGAAGAAGAGAACTGAATGAAAATGATGGTTCCTCTTTTCCTGCAATAGCCTACCCAGGGCCTTTCCCAGTGGTGGGATTCAGCCAGTTCGCACTACTTAGGCAGAATCGGTAGCTAATTTTTTGTTGCCCAGGCCCAGAATGGACTTCCGGAAGCGGCATCCACACAGAGAACTGGGTGTTCACATATTTGAATCCCACCACTGGCCTTTCCCCAAAGTTCCCCTGCCTTCCAAAGATAACCCAGTAATTTCCTGGGAACCTTAAGCAGCTCTTGAGGGATCTCCGTGTGCAGAGCTCAATGTTCCAAGAGGTTGACTCCAGTCTCTTGCCTCCACCATTGATCTCTTGCTCCCCTGCTAATGGTGGTGGCTGCAGCATTCTTACTGGGTTCTCCTGCCGCCATTTTTTGATTCCCAAGGACATCATTTCTTCCTCATAGGCTTATCAACAGAAATGGAACTGGGCATGGTTTTGGTTCCTCCACTTTCCGTCTTTTTCAGCATCTCTTTTCATTGAATATTCTCCGACCCAGCATAAATCATCTGTAGCCATATTGACAATCTCTAAAGTTCACATTCCCTTGTCTCTTTACTTTCATTATTTTTTCCCTTAATTTCACCTAATTCTAAGTGCCCCAAAATAAAAATCAGAACAAACATAACAAGCAGCTAATACTAGCTTCTGACAAAACTCTTATTTCTTTGCCGAAATCATTCACAGTTATGGTATCCTAATTTCTTCTGTCTTTAATATTGATCCAATTAAGAGTGACAAAGCAGTTGTTTTATCTGTAAATGCTTTTCTTTTTTGCAGTGAAAAGCTGCATGAAGCTAACAATGAGCTTCAGAAGAAACGGGCCATCATTGAAGATTTAGAACCTCGTTATAACAATAGTTGTGAGTAGTTCTTTTTATTTCAAATAATTTAATCGTAACTGATTTTTTTTAAAGCCCAAAGGTATTTGTTTTTATTTTCCACCAAAGCTGTGAATAAAGATCTTAAACACAGCTCTTATTCTAAGCTTAGTGTTTCAGCTAGTTGCTATGTAGTATTGGTTTTTGTTAATGAAATAAAACCTGGTTAATTGTTCCTTTATTATTTGGGTCATATAGTAGCACATGCTTTGAATGTAATTCACTCAGTAGCAGAAATGAAATATACATAAACTCCTCTGTTTTCTTCTTTCAACATCCAGCAGTACATAGAGACTCCTTTGGAAATTATCATACAGGTAGTCCTTGACTTACAACCATTCATTTAGTGACCTTTCAAAGTTACAGTGGCACTGAAAAAAGTGACATGACCATTTTTCACACTTATGACCATCACAGCAGTCCCAGGATTCAAAGCTTGGATGTTTGGCAACTGATATGTATTTAGGACAGTCACAGTGTCCACGGGATCACCTTTTGCAAAGTCAATGGGGAAGCTAGATTCACTTCACAACTGCAGTGATTCACTTTACAACTGCGACAAGAAAGGTTGTAAAATGGGGAAAAACTAAAAAAAATGGTCCTTGCTTAGCAACATAAATTTTGGGCTCAATTGTGGTCGTAGGTCAAGGACCACCTCTACGGTTGCTCTGGGGAAATTCTCAAAGTAGATTTTTGAACACTATTTACAACCCTTTATGTAATAATGGTCTGAAGCTATGACAGCCTTGGAAGAAGTGATTTATGGTCCATCCTTGAAGGCAAGACTGTTGGGTTGCCTCAGAGGTCATCTGATCTCAGTTCGGGCACTTTGCAACTGGCTTACATTTTACAACAATGGCAGTCTCTTCTTGTTGCATGATCATGCTTTGTGACTTTCCCAGCCAGTTTTTCCTACACAGAGTCAAGATATGCATGAGAACAATGGCAAAAATGATGGTAAAATTGGGTCTAGTAGTGTGATATCTCACTTTACGACCGTACTGAATTACAGTGGAAATTCTGGTCCCAATTGTGGTTGTAAGTCAAGTACTACCTTTATGCACTCACTGTAAATATGACTTTGGTTGTATTGCTTGTTTGGAAAGATAAGTAGAATTTGTGCTTAATTATATAAACATTTAAGGCAAGGCTGCTACAAACATATTTGCTTAATGCAGATGCCACCCACTTCTAATTTGTAATCAGAAGCAGAAGTGTCCTGTTCTACCTTAACCCAGTTTTTAGAATTCCTTGTAGTTACGTTCAAATATATATTCTAATTTTTATGTTTCTTCATTGTATTTAATCTGATTTAATCTGCTGTTTAGTATGTCTAACATCTCAAAACTCTTAAATCTTTGCATTATTCTGAAATATGACATCTTCTCTAAATAAAGCACTCAAAATAGAAGAATTGCAAGAAGCTTTATGTAAAAAAGAAGAAGACATGAAGCAAATGGAAGAACGATACAAAAAATATTTGGAAAAGGCTAAAAGTGTAAGCATTTCATGTTTTGCTAACATTGTCCTCCCTCTACAACTTTGACAGGTAGTCAAATAGTGCTAACATAATGTAGAATAGCTAATAATTAGTCTCGGAATTGCAGCTCTGACTGCTTTATGTTACATTGTCTTATTATTTCATTTAAACCTATTTTCAAAATACTAAATTACAACCCAAGACGACTGGATAGATATAAATGTGTGCTTATGTTTGTGTCTGTATTTAACACATTTATAAAACAAATAGAATTTCTAATCCAAACATGCTGACTACTATGAGAAATCGGTGAATAGAGTCCAATTTGTTATTAATATACTGTAATTACCATATTTTCCGGCGTATAAGACGACCCCCGACTTCGGAGACGATTTGCATGGTTAGAAAGTCGTCTTATATGCCGGAAACTACCATATTTTCTGGCGTATAAGACGACTCGGCATATAAGACGACCCCCGATTTCAGAGATGATTTGCATGGTTTAGAACAGTGGTTCTCAACCTGTGGGTCGGGACCCCATTTGGGGTCGAACGACCATTTCACGGGGGTCGCCAAACCATGCTGTCCGCCATTTTTTTCCCTTTTCCCTAGCTGTCCTACTCCGTCTTGTTGGTGGCCACACCCACTTGGGGGTCACCACAACATGGGGAACTGTATTATGGGGTCACAGCATTAAAAAGGTTGAGAACCACTGGTTTAGAAAGTTGTCTTATACACCGGAAAATATGGTATATTGATATTGATACTGATATTAATCATTGAATGGCAAGATAATTTATTTATGAACTGTCACTTCCAGCATTTGTTATTTACTATACCTCTATCACCATTTGCTGCACAACCTTGTATCTTTTGTTAATTCCATTAAGTGCTGAATGAGGAATGGGCCTTGAAGGTAATCTTCCCTTGCACCTGCCACATTTAACAATCAAAATTTCAACTGCTGGATTGAGCAGAATTTATCTCGGGATGTGCTACTGTTTGTTTAGTGAGAATTCCAAGCAGGAGATCTTCGGCAGCCAAATCCAAATACATATATTCAATCAAATATGGAATTACTTGTTTTGAAGATTCATTGTAAAAGAGAGGAGAAACACGAGAGCCAGCAATAACAGTATAGGTATATTGTAAGGGGTAGAGTGTGAAAAAACAGATTTCACTTTGCTGTGAATCTTGGTGAAAGATTCTAGGTCAGCCATCATTTGCCATTCTATCTTAGCTCACAAGGCATTTTCTCAGTTATTCTAATGTCTTCCATACTGGGTACTTTGACTTTTCTCAACTTGCTTGATTCATGATGCATTCTTACTGTGACTTCTCTTGTTTCCCCATCAACTTGTCCAAAATTTAAAGCTTTTCTTTGTCAGGTATTTGTTCAACAGCATCACTAGAGCATTCAGGCACTCAACACAAAAAGTTACCCCTTGGAGGGATAATAATGATGATTTTCGTTTTTATGAAAAAAGACTTTCAAGCTCACATCTTTGGTAGCCAATTTCTCCTCTCCTCTCCTCTCCTCTCCTCTCCTCTCCTCTCCTCTCCTCTCTTCTCTTCTCTTCTCTTCTCTTCTCTTCCACCCCTAATATATATTCATAAGAATATGGAAGAGAAGTATTAGGAAGAGAAATCTAGGTTAGGTTCTTCATATGTCCCCAAGTATTTAAATTGAATATTTTTTAATAAAATTAGACCAGTTGTACCTTGTGGTAGGATGCTTATGCTGTTCATAATTCCTCTAAAACTAAAATTTATATATTTCTGGATGTGCTGTAGACTCTGTAAACTTAAGCAATTCTAAATAACTTGCCAAAGATACACTGTCTCAGTAATGCAACACAACCTCGGCATGCACAAGATCTTAGATTGAATCTGGCCGTCACCTGCTTAGATCGTTTCCTGTCCAAGACCCTGGATAGCTGTGCCAATCAGGACAGATGGTTCTGGACCAACTTCTTGTGTTCCTATGTGGAGCTACCTACATAGCATGTGTTTCTTACTTTGGCAGGTCATCCGTACTTTAGATCCCAAACAGAACCAAGGTTCAGCACCTGAAATTCAGGCACTGAAGAATCAACTGCAGGAACGTGAGAGGATGTTCCATTCCTTAGAGGTAATTTCCTATGAAATCCGGTGCACATTTAAACCAAATTAAGGCCCGCTCAAAATCAGGAGGTCTTACCTCAAGTAAAAACACACACAACTGAATCTTCTTGGCAGTTACATTAAGCACGAGAGACAACTATTATGTTTTTTTGCCCTGGGCTCTTAATTGGAAATAACGAGCTTCCATGATGAAAATTAATAACCGTACACAATTTCATGAATAATTTAAAATTCCACAATTTGCCACCATTCCACACAATAGAAATAAAAATACGCAGTTGAACGCTGAGCACAGTATACTCCATTATAGTATGCATGTGAAATCATGAGAAATACTTTTTCCCCCCCCCACCAATAGAAAGAATATGAAAAGACAAAGAGTCAAAGAGAAATGGAGGAGAGATACATTGTCAGTGCCTGGTACAATATGGTAAGTAGAGTTCAGATTATAAAATAAGAGTATCAGCAAAGTTTAATGAATTGCTTCACTTCTGTAGTATGTTTTTCAGAACTAAATTGACATTCAGACTTCAAAAGTGATGTGTCGCCTGGTATCTTAATAGTTCGAAGAACATTGTTCCCTTTATAATACTCAGTTTTGAAGGATATATTTTTCCACTTCAATGCAGCCTCAAGGTGTAAAGGCATGTAAAGCAAAGTATTATCTGTATATTGATATAGTTCAGCCCGCATCCTGTGTCACTGCCTCCCCAGCAGTTTCATGGAGTCGGCATGGAAAATTAAAATGAACACTAAGGAACCCTTTGACGTTGTTGTCTCAGAACAGAGGTCCACTTTTGGAAGCAACCAAAGAGAACTGTTGTAAGAGGGCACCCAATTTAGAATCAGAAAGTCAGAAAGGACCATGATTGATGTACAGAACCTTCAAGAGAATCAGGAAGGTTATATTTCCCTGTCTTTTTTTTGACATAAGGGAGCTTCCCCAGGGTGACCAAAACATTCTCTCTTCTGAAAATGGGATGAAATTGGTATAAATTATATCTAAGACAGTGTTTCTCAACCTTGACATGTGGCATGTGGACTTCAACTCCCAGAATTTAAGGCATGTGGACTTCAACTCCCAGAATTCCACAGCCAGCATTGCTGGCTGTGGAATTCTGGGAGTTGAAGTCCACATGCCTTAAAATTGTCAAGGTTGAGAAACACTGATCTAAGACCATCTGCTTAATCCAAGAAAACCTGTACTCCTTTTATTGGAAACAGTTCAGTGGAGTGGGTTAATAGGTTTGGCAAAGAAGTAGTGTAGCCCTGTCAGCTTCCCACACCAAAACTACATGCCTTTTCTTTTCATCTCTTTCTCTCTATAGGGGATGACTCTTCATAAAAAAGCGGTAGAAGACAGACTTGCTAGTACTGGTTCAGGACAGTCTTTCCTAGCTAGACAAAGGCAAGCCACGAGCACAAGGAGAGCTTATCCGGGCCATGTCCAGCCAGCCACAGCAAGGTAGAAAGAGTCCTTGCCTTGCCTTTTGAATGGAAGCCATCCTGGAATCAAGACCTACTTCTGTTATAAGTGACTGCATTTCAGGAAAACTTAGCCAGCATTCTTTCAGTATTGTCTCTTCATGTCTCATTTCCAGAAGAGGTTTTTTCTTTTTAACTTTCTTCTTTTCTGGAGTCTTCCTTTCGTCTTTTAATGTGCCAAAATGTTGAAAAAACACCTAATGGAGGGTATTAATGGAATTTTCCCATAGCCTCTTTCATATGCAATTGTCATCTCTTAACAAAAACCCAATAATGGATGAAAACAAATTTAACTTGTCCCATTGTTAAACGGTATTGCATTCTTCCCAAGGCTATCAGTGTATTGAAAGAAATATGCCTCTTTTCTTTTTCACACTAATTTGATTTGTTTGAATTGGGTAATGTAATTTGCAACAGTGCTATATAGAAAAACGTGTAACATTATTTGCAAAGATTAGATAGACATGCTGGCAGACATTGTAAGAACCCGATGAGACATGTTCATGAAATTATTTTATGCTGCTCTTACTTTGTTTCCTTTGGTTTTATCTGGTTGATTGTTTAAATGCTTTTAACCACTGCTGCTTTAAAAAAATATTGCCCTCCCATTACTGAGGAGTGTTTTTGATAGGACAGTAAGAAGGATAAACCTATTTGACATTGGCACCGATGTCTTCAGGTAGTCAAGATAATTCTGATATGTAAACTTGCTCACCTGTTGTGCTATGTGCTATTTCATGCCTGTGCAGTTATGGCTCTTTCAGAAGCAGGGTTAGTATTTCTCTGATTCTGCAAGTTATGAATTGTGGTTTCTGAGCTTATGTTGACTTCTTAAGAATATTTCAAGAGCCTTGGCTCTTTGGTCAAAGGCAGGTAACAGTCCTGTTTTACTTTCTGAACTGAAAATGCATCTGGATTTGATCACCATATTTGTTTAGGTATGGATATTATTCCCCTCATTTTTGTTAATACAGTTATATCGTGCACAATAATTTTCTGACTTAAAAATACTTGTTTTTAATTCATTACCGCCTAAGTACATGAAAGGAGTTTTTGAAATCCGCTCATGTAATGGTGATAAAAAATAAAATGTGATGCCATTGGTCCTTCTGTAGTATGGTTCCAGTATTTGATAAAGTAGACCAGATGTCATCCCATCTGCAGAAAAATCACTTAATAATCAATGTAAGGCTAATTTTCTTGATAGGCTTTTACACTTATAAGCAAATTTACTAGATCAGTGGTTCTCAACCTTCCTAATGCTGCGACCCCCAACCATGTGGTCGTAAGTCGAGGACTACCTGTATTTCCCTGTAGGTGAGGCAGGAGGAGGCGCGCACGCTCCACCTCTCTCCTGCGGCTGGAGCACATGCTGGGCAGGCCGAGGGTGCACGCAGGCCGTCGGCCGGCAACCGCCTCGGCCCAGGAGCGCCGCGCATGCGTGGTGCCGCCCCCTGCGCCAGCCGAGGCGTAGCTGGCAAGCGGCAGCAATGGCGCAGGCCGACCACCGACTGGGCCACCAGCTGGCCCAGCCCAAGGAAGGTAAGCCACCCCCCGGGCCCCACGCGCACCAGCAATCCTCCCTGCACCCGCCGCTGCCCCGCTAGCCTTACCTTGGCCACCGCACATTCGGTGCAGCAGCAGGCAGGCCCAGGTGCTCCTGGGTGGCCATGGCACCCGGCAGCGAGAGCGCAGGGCGACCACCAGCTGGGCCACTAGCAGGCCCAGCCCAAGGGAGATAAGGCACCTGTCAGGCCCCACAGGCGCCAGCAACCCTCCCTGCGCCCACCGGCCTCCCACCTCCCACCCCTGGCCCTCTTTTACTTACATTTAGTAGTTGTTCAGCAGGGAGGGGTGGAAATGTCCAGAAAGCTCGCCTTAGCTGCAGACAACTTGCAGCATCGTTTGCAGACTGGGACTTTTGGCGGGCTCAGCAGGGCAGAGACAGCCTGGACAATTCCTATTGGCTTTTGAAAGCCAGTAGAATTAGACTCTAATCAAGAGAGTCTATTCTATTGGCTTTCGAAAGCCAATAGATTCTATTGGCTTTCGAACACCAATAGAATAGAGTCTCTTGAATAGAGTCTATTCTATTGGCTTTCAAAAGCCAATAGAATAAGAGGGAGTAGCACAGCTAAGGAAAAGGGGAAAAAATGGCGGACTGCGTTGTTTGGTGACCCCCGCGAAATGGTCGTTCGACCCCAAATGGGGTCGCGACCCACAGGTTGAGAACCGCTGTACTAGATAGTCATCATGCCCTTTGTGCTGATGCAAAAAAATCAGATTTTGTTGATTAAACTTCTTTTGATAAAGCCTATACAGTACTTACTCTTTTGAGGATTATAGTTGTTGAGTTGATCCAGTTATATAGAAGGTCTAACATTCTTAATTGGCTAGTTCTGTGCTTTTGTATGCAAAAGCAGAACAAAACTCATGTCTGAAGATGTTTTTCCTGCCAACTATTATGGTAATCTAATGAAACCTGATTATTTAGTCTTGCCTGAAAAAAAACTTGAATGTATGTTTTCATAAACAGATCTATCTTCTCTTCTTTTTCAGTCTCTTCACTAGCTCTCCTTCGTGATGAGTTGTTATTGAGGTTTTTACTTAACTTTATTTCATGTTTTTAATTAATCGTTTATATTTTTCACCTTTCATGAAAGCACCTTGATTTTATTTCCCCATTCTGGCTAGTTCAGATCTACTTGCACCGAAGTGATGTCTGATGCAAAGTTTAATTTTTTTAAGCTTCAAGGCATTGTAATTTTAATATTTCATTGATTTTGATGTCCAGAGAATAGAGCATGCATTTCTGTAAGTTAAAAAAAAATGAAAATCAAATATCAAGAAAGCCAAAGAGAGTTAGCGGCTGGTATTTCCTATTGGGATATTAGTTGCATCTAAATCAGTACAGTATCCTTCATTTCTGAAGGAGTCAAGTATGGCTGACTTTGTTGAATTCAGGAGCTGTGTAATTTATTGCCATATGCAGGCTTTCTGGCTACGATAATTTAAAGGAAAAATCATGTAGGATCTTCAAACTAGCCTATACTTTTTATTTGAAACATTTCTTATAACACTATTTGCAACATCAAGGTTTTTAAAGAGTTTCAAAAAAAATCTCTAATGGAGTTGTGTTAAAAGTTGGATTCTATTTTGTTATATTTTATAATTAGGTATTTTTCCTGTTGCAAATTTTTTTTTCTTTCATACCTATACGTCTCCTAAACAGGACATGGCTAAGATATATCTGTTGTGTTTTTTTCTATTAATTGTGATCTTTAATGTATGAACTATCAGTTAAATCTGAATTCCAATTAGATACTGGAAACTTAAGGAATTCTAGGAAATGAATGCTGGTAACCTGCTAGCACACCAAATATTTAATATTTCCTAATGCATTCTCGAATGTATCCTTAGGGTAGGCACATCAGGTTGAAAATATTAACCATTAATTAGCCATTAAAATACATTGGAGGGACATATTTCATTTCAATATTGGGTTATGAGCACAATAAACATGGTCCATATTTCTGGGAGAGGAATGTTTGATATGAATTCTTTGTTATATAATTTACATGGATGGAGAATGTAGGCTGCTGCTTCCTTATTAAGACAGTCGACAATGGGTTGCTCATTTCTATTATCCTTGTTTTACAGCAGCAGGAGACATCGTTCCTTAGCTAGGAGATTTTTTTTTTTTTCAGTCTTACATTTTTGCATACAGTCTTTACCTTATAATGAGCTTCAGGCCATCTACATGGTAGTCCTGGCCTCATGTACTGATGTCTGAAGCTGCCTTTCTGCCAGAAAACTAATTAAACTTTCAATTTGGATTCTGAAAGTCTGACGCCGGAATATAATTCAAGATGGACTAATTTTGTGTATGAAAATACACCTAATTAGTTCAGCAATAATTTTTTTTTCTCAAATGATTGCCCAGTTTGAGCTGGATATTCAGAAAACATTTGGACAACTAGAGAACTGAAGGCGATCAAGGAAAAGCAGATTTGGTTAACATCAAACTGCAAGAGGCATAGTGTAAGAAAAGCTGTGGAAAATTTTTGTGGAAAATAATTTAACAATTTCAAGTGATCAGCTGTTTTACATCACTTTTGACATAAAGCTAGGTGTTTTATGTTGACAGACTTCAGTAGAAGTCTCCTCTATAAAATAGCCTATGAGCTCATATATGCAACCAGGCAGAGAACTGCTAGATAGAATTTCCTTTCTTTCTTTTGATATATTGTCTAGTATAAATATGCCCAAAAGATCACACCATTGTGGATTTTCTGAGGGCCGATAAATTCTGTAGACTCTTTTTGCAAAGATATCCTCACATCTTAGGCTGCATTCACTGATATTATTAATCTATATTTCATCATCTTAAGCCAGCTATTTAGTAACAATCATCCCCAAATTTGCTAAATTGCTTAGAAAATAAGGGTTACATTGCATCTTTTTTCCCCCCCAGTCTGTTCTAAGTTAGCTGAATTTTTCATTAGTTACTATCAAATAGCATATCATTTCTGAACATCTGTTTTTTTTTAAGAGTGGAGTTTATTTGCAAGGAGAAGTATATAGAGAGACAACCATATCATCTCCCACTTTCCCACCAAGCAAAACATTGAAGCTCTAGAAATAAAGATGGTTAGATGGCCAATAGCACACAATATGTTAGCATTCATTGGCAGTGCTATTTAGCGACTTCCGTTCTTCCTGTTAACAGTATTAACATACAGACCTCTTGCAATACACACCTTTAGACTGAAATACGTTTTCTAAATGCACCTTTATTTACTAGTATAATTTTAAAAGTGCACTAATGTTCAATATTATATATACCAGAACACTTTTGTTGTTGTTGTTATTGTTGGAGAAAATGGATAGGAAGAGTTGCCAGTTCCTTTCCAGCTTTTAATTTAATACCGAAGCCTTGTCACTCAATATATGCAATATTGTATATACTGAGGCTGCTTACTGTCTTAATACATATAGATCCTTTTTGTTTTGTTTTGTTTTTATGCATCTCCTTCTGCAGACTTGTACCCTTCCTTTTTTTCTATCCATTTATACATGCACAAGCAGCTCTGGAAAGGAATGTAGAGAGCAGGAACACTTAAAAAAAATTGTGCCTTTCCTGCATTTCAGTGTTATGTGATAGAACTTCGATTGTTCTTTGGGTTGAGTGTATTTATCTTAAGATCTCTGTCCTTCATCTATGTTACCTTCCCTTTGGATTGCACTAATGTATCTTTATGTTATAAAATATTGCTGTTAATCATGTAGACTACGTTGACGGTTGGAATGCATTGTGCTGCCTTTAAAAATTTTAAAGCTGCTTTTTTCACACTCTTGTATGTATCTTGCTTGTTCTGCTGTAGCTTTCACTTTATATTGAGGCAGATGTAGGACACGTGGCACTATGGGAGAAAACCTGAGGGAATATTGCTTAGTGATTGTATTTGTATCACTGCTTTTACCATCTCATGGATAGGGATGAAGCTTTTGGAACAGTTGGTCAGTTTTATGAGAACTGCTTTGAGGAGATGGAAGGGAGGAGGTCAGTCTCACTCCCATTAAGCCTCATTGCAGGAGCAACTGCATCTGAAACAAGTTTACAATTTGATCAGCATCATGATTTTCAATTGTAGCTACATGGGAGAGGTAGGATTTGGCCTCGACACCCCTGGCTGCTGGCTTCTATTTTTAAGCCATAAGAAACCATCTACCTATGCGTTCAAGTGAAAATGAAGGCGTGCTTAGTACTGAGGGGTTTCAGTAGGAGTCTGTTTCTTTTGTGAAACTTGACAGTCCTCCCATTCGCAGGGGCAAAGATGTCGAGACACAAAACTTAGAATGGGTTGGCTTGGACTACGGCTGAAGAGAGATCGTTGACAATTCCAGCCCGGTTACCATTTCAGATAAATTGATTGTGTCCTAGATTAACATTCAGCATCATAGATAAGGAGTAAAACTAGTACTGAGTAGTAAGGGTGTCTCTGACTAACCCTCTCTACCAGCCAGACTGGGGCAAAACTTAATAGTGGCTCAACAGTGAAGGGCTGGGAAAGTGAGGCCAAAATGGAACGTTTGTCCTCTTGCAACTTCAGACTCTGAGGTAGAGTCACTTCCCGGTTGTGTTGATTCATTTGGGGGAGGAATTACGATTTATGACACTTAAGATTTTTTTTCTTTCAGAGAAAGTTTACTGCTGGAATTACTGAGTTGTTGCAGGTACGTAGACAATAACTAGGAAAAAATGCTTGGCTGGACCTGGCAGTTGAGAAGTCAGTTCTGGAAATTTGGCTTTCAACATTGTCAGTCTTTTGAGTTGTTTTGGTAGCAGTGCCATAAAAATGAAATTATCACTGTCTCACAATAGAGTGGCCTTCCTTATTTAGATACCTCCAATTACAAAACCACATATCCTGCTACCTTCGTTCCCCTACATATTCTTGTCTGTACTGTATTAGCTTCTATGAAGGAAGGACTTGCTTTGTAGTTGTTTGGTGAGTTGCTTGGTGTTTTTGACCTGATCTTAATATATGTGCTTGTGGTTGGGAGCTTTTTTGTATCATGCCTACATTTTTATTTTTTTCTACCTACAGAAACCCTTTAGACCAGGGGTAGGCAACCTCGGCTCTTTTATGACTCATGGACTACAACTCCCAGAATTCCTGAGTCAGCTATGGTGACTCAGGAATTCTGGGAGTTGAAGTCCATGAGTCATAAAAGAGCCGAGGTTGCCTACCCCTGCTTTAGAGCATTGTATAAGGGAAAAGAATATGAATTTTGTGGTTAACTTCCATTAGGCAACCTTGCCTGTCTACTTGCAATGATTTGGGCTTTCTTTAACATGAATATGATACAGCTTCCACTTTTTGAGATCCTAAGCATGTATTCTCGACCTATCTGTGTGTTTCAATAACAACTTGTTTGACTGTCCTGAGCTACCAAAATTACTTGTTTGTCACATTGCCAATAAAATGTATTTTTTTTTCTGTAAGAATGAAATTCCAGGATTACTAGATATTAATTTCCCCCCAAACTATGATTTCTCTTCATACTGCTATTGTAGTGATTTTAAAAACCTATCTGTATATAGGTAAACAAGATAATAACGGTTGTAAGTTCAGATATCTTTTGTGGGGAAGGAGGTCGGGATGTTTCCCTTCGGTCCGGAACATACTTCCAAGGCTACAAAACCAGTGTACAGTTGTTAAACAAGTTGTAAATAAAGGCTTCTATAAAATGTGTGTTGCTTTTTTATTACAAGAGAACATCTACCTCGTCACGACCAGCAGTCTTCTAAAAACCATTTATTTTTCTTCAGAAGAGGAAATTCTCAGGAAATTGAGACAGTCACTTGCCCAAAAGTGCTTAGTTTTCAACACGGAATATGAATTCCCATCTTCTTTGGTTAAGTCAAATACGCTGTCCTGTGTACTTAAGTCAAATATGCCATCCCCTATACTTGTATCAGGTGTTCTTGGATCCACTTTAAGAACTGCTGTTATAGTGAACAAAAACAATCCTTAGAACTTAAACGTACAAGAATCTCAAGCCTACTCACAGAAGCTCTTGTAGGATTTAAAGCAGATTTCTTTGCAAAAAGTTATACTCTCCTTTTGTAGAAGAGCAAAGAAACGAGTGAGTGGGCTTTTATATTCCCTAGGATTTCTAATCAGTTGGCGCAGCTTTGTTCATGACATTTCCAGGACTCCCCATCTACTTTAATGGTAGGGAATGGAAGCCTCGGTGTGGTAGGTGATAGAAGGAAGCCATCGATAACCGTCTTTTGGGGTGGCAAACTGTCTTTTGGAGTGGACTTCTCTCAGCTGTCTTTAAAGTAGCCTGCCCTAAGCCTTTGCAGTCTTCTGTTAATGGAATGCTTCCGTGCTGATTTGCCAACACAACTGGAATCTCAGTGTGGCTCTTACCATTATCAGTAGCGCCTCAAGACTGGTCCTGCTATTATGTTTTGCAATTAGGGCAGACTGAAGATTCCTCACAACGAATAGATGCAAAGCTGATGCTTAAAAGGTACTGACTCAAATAAAAAGTAGGAGTGGACACCAAGATAACAAGTGCCTTGTTCCGTAGCCGGCCCATCTCTGATAAAATACAGCTCTTACTGTGCCACCCTGCTTCTGTTGCCATTCCTAACACTGAATTTAGCAACAGTAACATAACCCAACTCCTGGCAGTGACAAGGGGGTCGAACTCACCAGTTAGCTCTGACAGCAGCTTAGAAAAACCAATAAGCAGAGGCAGCAAGACTGCTCCAAGTGCATTCTCAGTGTTATCCAATGTTTTGCCAACATTGCCTATTTAAGTAAACATCTCAGGTCCAGTGAAAGCTACATTAGACCTCCTATACCCCAGGACAGAGATCAAAAATGGGCTCTTTGCAGGACAATTTGGGGGGCTGTTATGCTGTCCTTTATTTCTCCTATTGTTTCCTAAAAGATATATAGGGACATTTTATTTTTTTGGGAGTGGAAATACCCTTGACATTATCCAATTGAAACTTTGTAGTGGTTAAAGGACTCCTTTTCATTATATTCTGCACTTTTTAGGTTTATGGATTTTGTTTCCGTAAGCCTGGGATGAATCAGGTTGCCATTAAATGTTGAATTTCAATCTCAAAACATACTTTCTTCAGATCAAGAGCCAATTTGTACAACCCACCATACAGTATACAAGTTTAATCCAATTGTTAAATATGAAGGAAGATTTAAAATGTTTATAACGGTCGCACTTTTATCTACAAAACTAAAATTCACTCCATCTCCCTTCTTACCAAGTCACGAAATTACCAGTGCAAATCTATGTCAAAAAGCACTTTGTTAAAAAAAATGCTGGATGCTGACAGAGTTCAGGGAGGAATTCCTAGGCCACAGTCTCTGCTAGGGGTACCACAAGGCTTGGTACTTTCATCTCCTATTTCTAACATCAACACGAACACCAGAGTTGCTCCTGGTGAGATGCGAGGCTATACAAGTCTGATTAATAAATAAACATGAAGTCTCTGGGTGGGGTATCAGCCTATTGTGAAGATGAAAAGCTATTTCATGCCATGGAAGAATCATTCTCAGGAAGTTACAGGGGAAGTGATGGGAGAATGGATTAACTCTCGGTTTTAGCCCCCCCCCCCAATCTCTTTAGACCTTCCATCTGGATGAGGTTGCAGTTACATGTGCACCATTCCTGGACCAGGACGCCCTGCTTAGTCACACATGCCTTGGTCACTTCCCAATTAGACTACTGCAACATGCTCTACATGGAGCTGTCTTTGACAGTATTTGAAAGCTTCAGCTGGTGCAAAATGCAGTGGTGTGAGAAACTACAGATGCATCTTTAAAAATATTTGATCTAAATTACTGGAACAGCACTATATAATCACAAAGTAGAGATACGATTTTTCTCTATTTTCCATACATGTAGAGTAAATCATCCAAAGTTAAACATGTTGTTTTAGTGAGACACTGCTGCTGTGAGAAATTCAAAACAAAAACTTGTTTGGTTGTAACTGAATCCTGTTGAAACCCATCATGTAGAAGGAGTTTAATTCACATATGAACTCTCTTGTGCCAATAAGCTAAAAATTGAAGCTGACAAAAGAGGAAATTACTGCTTGCATTAAATGAAAAAAAAAATGGTCTTTTGACTTGAATTCCTAAGTTTTATCTGATGCAAACTTAACATTTCTGAACCATTTTGTAAATAAAATTTATCTTAAAAAGTAATCCAGGGTCATAAGGCTACCCTGATACAGGTAAAAACAAATAGCTGTACTTTCAAATCAAATGATTATACAAGCTCTGAAAAGTCATACTAATTTTGACAACCTTCTCTGTAAGATTTTAAATCAATTAAATATTTTAACTGTCAAATATCGTTATCAGTCTGAAATGAGGCAACTGACAACACCGTGTTGAATTGTCAAAAATAGGCGCTATTCATGGGAATAAGACAACAGAACCAACCAAAGACCCAGTACATAATCTAAGAATGTGTTAAATATATTCCTAATAATTAAAAATGAGAAGCTGAGCTTTTTCAGTTTTTGTCAAAAGAGAATATGAGAATTTCACTTGCCCAATTTCTTAACAGCAAACTGCAATTAAAAAGAACGTAATAACCAACCTGGTACAGTCAGTAGATCTTTTATGTCTTGTGACACTCTAGAATTCGTTGAATGGCTCTTTCAGCCAATTCAAATTAGAAGAGTATTGAGTTCATTTTAGAGTAGAAACTTTCAGTGCCATGAATCTGCCCATTCGCGATTTGAAGTTAGACATAACAACAATATTGACTGATGGCTTTTTAAGTGTAGCTCATTTCTGGAAACGCTCCTTAGGTTGATGCTTGAGGACTTTATTTACGTATTTATTTTTACCTCGCCTGTATTATTTTTCTAAGTAACTCAAGGTGGCGAACGTATATAATACTCTTCATATTTTCCCCACAACTACTTTGTGGGGTGAACTTGCTTCATATTCCAAGATTTCCAATAAGATCCAATTTTATGCTTTTGTGGAGCTTTTATTGCCTCCATTTCATGCTTTTTAAAGAGACTGTTGTTAACAGCATTTTAAAACAGGATACGTACTTCTTTACAAAATTACACGAAGTAAAAACCCCAAAACATTTGAAAGTCCCTGGCCACTTAAGCTCCTACAAACATAGAAATACTTTAAATGAGCATATGGTGTTAATGTAGCATCTTAATTTCGGTGAAAGAATGAAACATTTGTGGTCAGAACAGAACACATCTTCTATAGTCAGCAAGCAAGCCTCAACAAATCACGTACAGTCTTTTTTCCAATCTGTGCCCAAAGTTTAAAACAAAGTTGTGTGTTCAGGGAGAGTGAGAGAACCAAGACTTTCTCCAGTTTAAGCCTACTTAAAGCATCATTGTAGAGACCTGCCTAGAATCAATTTGTTTCAATAACACAGCAACATCAAAGAATCAACTGAACAAACAGTCTTGAAAATGCTTTATTGAACTGTGGGTCTTACTGTAATGTGCAGGTGTGTTTGAAAAGACTACAGCTTGAAAACTGGTTTTTAAAATCCTCAACAGTTTTTTTTTTTTTAAAAAAAAACCCTACCAGGTTAAACACCCAAGTTAACCAGAGGGTAGCTATAGAATTCCCCCTTTAGAACATTGTTTCAAAGAGTCAAGAGAAAAACAAAACTAGTACTGTATTTTATAAAGAAATAATTGGAGTCAAAACTGACATCTGTCAATAGATTTTACCATTTTAGAGTAGCATCCATGTCAAGACTCTATCCTGCTATTTGAATCTGGATTTTTTTTTTTAAATTTTAAAAAGCTTGTAACGTGGCAGAAGTGGAAGAATATACAGGCAAACGAGGGGTGAAGAAAGTGAGAGAACCAGGCAGAAACATGATTGTGGTCTAAGCCTAGTTTAGATTTAACCAGAAGCGGTGTGCAATTTTGTCTTTATTGTCTAACTTTACATTCCCTTTCCCATAACCCCACCCTCCCTCCCTCCCTAACCACAATACCCCCACCTGTCCCTGCCTTGGGGTTATTATGAAAGTCTATGCACAAAACACTGTACATTTTATACATACAGGATTAATAGTATAGGCATGTAGGTGGCATGATTCCATTAAAAGGCTTTTTTTTTTAAAAAAAAAAGTTTTATGCCAGAAAAAAAATGAAGAAATAATAAATTAAAAGGTGCTGGAATTAGCATTAAGAATGCAGTTGCAATATATTGACAAAAGTCTGGGAATCATCTTAAGCTCTCCTGATACTGACAAGTCTCTGCAACTAGGAAGCAAATACATAAATAACTAGGCATATGACCAAGTCTGTGAACGTTTTAAAAGAAAACAATTATGATCCAGGTTAACTTTTACTTTAAGACAGTGAATAAATGAACCATCGACACCTGAATAAAACATGTGTTAACAGTTTGATTTAAAAAAAAAACAACCATAAAAAGAAGGAAAGAAAACCTCCTTCAAACGAAGCTGAACAAGTTATGTTGATTCCAAGGTACACAAAAGTTTCTGTTGCCAAGCTTGGCAGTGGGGTCTTACTTTTGTGTTTCCCGGTGATGCATAAAAACTAGGCTGATTTATTCCATACGTAAGTTTGATGGTTAAAGAGGGCAACATTAAAAGACACACTGAGCAAAATGCCACACCTTGAAAAACAACAAGCAGTCCCACTGCAGAGCTTGCGCGATGTGCCAACAGCACACGAGAAAAAGGTGGTTCCGATATACATTATTCAAAAGCTACTTGATGGTCACACGTCACTAAATGAGCACTAACGTCTTTGTCTTGTAACCTTTGAATAATAGGAAAGCTTTTGGGGGAGGGAGTTGTTTGTAGTTTTACTCCCTTGTATTTAAAAGTGTTTTTAAATGACAAGGTCACTAAAACTCATGCACGCTGCAAAAAACCTCATGCAGTAAAGGTAAACCATCCAAGCAGTTTTTATTCATTAATATTCATAAATACACACAGCAGCTTCATTAGAGATTTCTTTTTTTTTCCTCTTCAGTTTGAATGTGGAGTATTAGGAGAGCCTTTTGCATGTCAAAAGTACAGAGCACAGAGGATTCTCCCCTCTGTGCCGAAACCTACATTTACCTGCTAGAAGTAAAAATTATTTTAAGTGGAAATGATTATCATATATATCTTTTTCTCTCTCTCTTCCTTTGAATGTACACAATGTAACAAGAGTGACAGACCTGAAATTACAATCACCAAAACAAACCCAAGATAGTTGTTGTCCACTTTCATTGGCAAATACAGCACAGAGGACATTGTCTGCGAAGGGGGATGTCATCAAAGAGGAGGTGGGGGAGGCTCGTTTCCTTTATTACTCTCTTTTAAATTTAGATTTTCTAAAGCAACATCTAAAGGCATAATATCTACACAGCCCATAGCACCAAAATCGGCAACCTCCCCACGTTCATCCTCGTCAGAGGATGAGCTTTCTTCCCGCATCAAAGTGGATAATAGGAGCTCTTGAACAAACAGGCTGCGGTCAGCCCGCTCACTCTCCATTGACTGACGCTCGACTTCAGACATCTTGGGATCATTCAACCTGCATAAAAGATGGAACAGGATATAGCTGAACAGGATCGTGTGCGTCTCGCTGTAGGACTAATAAGTCTAAAAACCCACGTCAGGCTCTGAGGAGGGACATTAGAATTATAGAAGCTTTGCGTTTAATATGTACGTCCATAAGCTGGCCAGAGTTGCTGTTCTAATGCGGGCAGACACACAAGCCTTTTATATAAATTATGGGGGATTGGGGGGGGGTCAAGAAGAAAAAACAAATCCAAAGTTTGTCTCTAGGCCTCGCTTGCGTATTATTCCCATAAAGGAAAGGGAAAGGGAGCAACAGTAGTGAATAGTTTCTTGTGGCTTATGACTAATAACCAGAGCTTCTACCTTTTGATCCTGTAAGCCGGGGGTCTTCAAACGTGACCCTTTTGTGACTTGTGGACTTCAACTCCCAGAATTCCTCAGCCAGCCACGAGGAATTCTGGGAATTGAAGTCCACAAGTCATAAAAGGGCCACGTTTGAAGACCCCTGCTGTAAGCTCATTATTGACACCAAGAGTTGAGGAAGATCTGGAGAAGATGTATTTTTTTAACAAGGAGGAAGGAAGGAAGACTCTTTGCCCCTTACTGTTTAATACTTTCAAGGGACAATTTTAAGATATTTATTTTGGCTTTCTTCCATTTGAGGAAGGTGATCTTTCCCTTATCTGAGATGATCTAACCTTTCAGGCTGTTGGGTAGCAGAAGGCTTTCTCACTGCTGGTCCCCTATCTCTGGGACTCTTTTCTTATGGAGATGCTTATGGTTTAATTGCTTTTGGCAAAATATTTTGCATATACATTTATTCCAGACTGCATATAGTAAGTACTTAAAGAATGTTCAACTGAATGTTTTTGTTAAACATAATAAAATACAATTAAAACTTGCAAATCACCTTGCATCCTAAAAAACAAGAGATATTGTGTTTAGTGGGGAAATGCTAAACTAGTCAAGTTCCAGTTCAAACATGGAAGTCCCAGGTAAATTTAGTTTAGGTGACTCATTCCTGCTCAATTCAAGTTAACTCACAAGGTGACTATTGTGGGGCTGAAGACATCCTACCAGGAACTTATGCATCATAGGTTCCTTGAGGGAATGTGAGATACAATAAAGCAAACAGACGAGAGGCCTGAGCACCTTAAAGAGTACACAAGCCTTCACAACTAGAATTCACTGTGGCACACACACACAGACACACACACACACAAATTTGAAGAAGAAAAATGAAACATTCAAGATTACATCCAATATGTATAGTGGGGGTTAACTGAGGTTTATTGAGAACTATGATTACTTTGGGCCTGAATAGAGAAAATGGTTATTCTTTGTGGTCTCTGTGCATCACTCATGGGTTTGTGCCTGCACAAAGCATCATCCTGGAAAGTTCCCCAGCTGAGCGTTTGGTGAAAATGCTGCTTCCTTCTTGCCTTGGCTAAACTCCATTATATCCTTTCTAATGGCTGCTTTGGCACCAGTTCAGAGAGGTATTCTCTCATCTTTCTGACCCCAAATCAGCTTATTCTCATGAATTTTTATTTCCTTTTAGATTCCTTCTCTAATTCTTCTATCCTATCCTTCTTCTATCTCGTTGTCCTATCCATTTTTCTCAGCATGTTTGCTCACTCAGGAAAAGCCAGTTAGATTTCATCTACTTTTTCCAAAATACCAGATAAACTCTCCTCTACCTATGATCATTCTCACTGCTTATTGTTCTGGAGAGGGGAAATATTTGTCCAAAGTATCGGCAATGTATGCTTCCTACCTTCCAGGTTTTCTGAAATCCATGGTCCCAATTGAGAAGTTCTCTTTGGGAGTACATACTGTGGCTACATTTCTAGTCAACTAATCTAGTGATTCAAATTGGCCAACACCTGGCCTCTACAGTTGTAATCTTGAAATACCAAACCTACAATCAGTATTGGAGACTTCCACTGTTTTCTTGCCAGCAACATTATCATCTTCAATTCAGAGACCACATTTTCTTGAACCAATATCAATTATAGTTGCCTCTGAGATATGATTGATCTATCTCTGCTCTAGTTAGTAAAATATTTTTTTTTAAAAAAAAAATTTTTAAATCAAAATTCAAAATCTACTTCTTAGGAATTTCTTACCTGTCCCTTAGCAATTTATTGTCTTACTGGCTGCTGGCACTATTTTGTTATCAGCTGACAAACTTACCTGCTCCATCAGCTGTTCATGGTCACTTCACCAGAGCTACAGCAACTTCTGACTGCATTTGCTTGAGGAGGGCTTCTTCCCAACATATGTAGAGTTGCTGGCTTGTCCACACCTTCCATGTTTGTGAAACATTATCAGCTAGATATCCAAGTCAGAGCAGATGCTTATAGTTTTGCTGTTGTTTTAACATAATGCAATCTGCCCCTCCTCATAAAGCTATACAAAGCTACCGTAAATGTGATAACGGATTAACAACAAACTGTGTTGCTTTAACTGCAGCTCTTCCACTGAACATCTCTATATGCATTGAACCCATCCGCCTACACCACTGTAGATACCTCTACCATCACTGAATGTGGCAGCAGTGGAAATCTAGGAACTGAGGAATTTAGCAAAGCCAAGGACTGCAAATATACATGGGGAGGGCAACAGTGTCCTGCCAAGAAGCTCAGCTTAAATAGTTTCCCAAAATTCTTTGCATGGAGCAAAGCCATGTGTGTGAAGGCACAGATGACCATTAAACGGAACAAGAGTCTTGTTGTTTCTTATTAAATAATAGCTCCGACTTCATTACCATTGTGACCATTGTGGGATTGGTTTCATATATATGGGCCCAACAAGAATTAAGATCACATCTCGACTTGGGTTGAAAGTCAGAGCAGATTGGGAGCGAGATGATGGTAGTGGGGAGAAGGTAAAGTGAGATACTCCATTGTCACTGACGGATCATTCCCGAGTGAGGTTTGAGTTGATTGAGCCTAAATCCTGGAGAAAAAGTGGATCCATCTGGGTGATCTGAGCCAGACAGTCAGGAAATCCTGAATGCTCTGAGGGTTTTCTAGATGATGTGACCGGTGATTCAGTTGAGGCCCAAGAAAACTAAGAGGGGCTACTAATGCAATTATAACTAATGCTGTTATACTATACGGAATCCCTTTGGGTTTGGGTAATATTTCCCTTTGGGTTCAGGTAATATTTCCTAATAACATATTCATAACTAATATGATTGGGCACAAGATAAAGAATCATTTTAAAATAAATAGATAAAGAGATCCCAATAGTTCTACTTGTAAATTTAAGATGATGTATTTGTGCTGTAATTCTACATACTGTATTAGCATCTACATTTGATATTCTTTCATTGAAAAATACCTTTAGATTAATAGTAGTGATGTTTAAAAAGGAAATATTTTCCTACTTGCTTCTTTATGATGTAATTTGTGATATGACATTTGGGTCTCCATATTTTTTACCAAAAAATACAAGTATTGCCAACCGGCGGTAGCATTTGTGCCGTTGATGCTCTTAAATCCTATAAAATTGCTGTCCAAATAGACGAAGGATAGCTTTCACATACTGATTTGCTGAAGAATATGATGCATTCTATACGACCCTGACTATATTATTGTGACTATATATAGAAAGTCATAGTACCTATCTACATCTAAGCCTTTGTTGTTACATGCTTTTTTTAAAAAACAGGTAGTCTTCATTTAACAACTGCAACTGAGCCCGGAATTTTCATCGTAAATTGTTGCAGTCATTAAGCAGATCACCACCTGACCTGACTCGATTTTGTGATCATTTTTACAATGGCCCTAAAGCAACTTACCATGGTTGTTAAGTGAATCGCGTGGGTCACTTTCTGAAAATGGGTGGTTTTTGGTGGCACAATAATGTAAATCATGGTCACATGACCACTGAATGCTACAACTGGTTGTGAATGGAGCTGGCTGCCAAACGCCTGAAGTGGAAATCACATGACCATGATGTGTGGTGTGTGTGTGGAGGAGAAACAGGCTTTAAGGTAACTTTTCTGAGGTCCACTGTAACTTAAATTAAGTGATCTGTCATTAAGTGAGGACTATCTGTATTATTATTTGTGTGTATTTGTGCCTATGTGGTTCTTTTCCTTTTTCTAGATTTTCTAGATTGTTTAAAAAATACATAATACGACTTCAAAATTTATTATGTTGATGCCAATATCAAGGAATGTAACAATTCTTAAAAAAACATGCTACAGAAAACAAATTATTCATATTTACTTGTAATGATATATCCATGATAAATCATTAATGCGTTTGTGTGTGGGCTTATTGAGTAAATTTTAATCAATAAAAATTATACACCCACAAAACCAAGTTGAACAAAATTTAAACTTCAGCTTCACACAACTGCCAAACCTTTCATCTATAAACAGTCTTCAGACTGTTGAGTAGTTTTCAAGACATATGTTCAACCTCTAGTGTTCCACTTTACTTTAAGCCACTTGCTGCTCTCTGGAATATAAGCATACAGTATCTCCCTAACACACGCAATTAGTCATAGAAAAAACACACTTTCAATGTTAGCTGGATATTCCACGCTGATTGAAAACCAAGCTTCAGGGGGAAAGGATAACATCACAATACACAAAGGCAACTTTGCATGTATAGAACAAAACAGAATAATCATGGTCATCTCACTAAAATGCATTACCTGGTAAGGAGAAATTGAGAGTTCTGGATAGCCTGCTGATTACTTTCTGCGTTAGATGTGTTGGTTGTTGCTGTAGATTGTGTAACAGTGGTGGTGACACTGCTAGTATTCGTACGCCTCGTTGCATTGCGTGCAGTCTCCAGTTGTTGCCTTGCTGCCTGTGCATGTTGTCTTTCTAACTGCAGCTGCATCTGCAGCTGCTGTAACTGAGACGCCGAAGGGCCAGAGGAATTGAGCTGTCCCCCTGCAGAACGCCTTACACCAGACAACTGAGATAAAAGCTCTGTCAACAGAAAAAGAGAAAAAAAGACTAAAATCTACTCTAACAAAACCAAGGCCTTGACCAGTACCCAGAAAACTCCTTTCCATTAACTTTAGATTTTACTGCCACTGTAATCCTAAATAATCCTAGATGCTGACAACCTCTCTAAGATACGGGCACTCTTGGTAAATGATAATTTCAACTAACAATATTGAAACAGGGCTGTTTCACATGGTCACCAAATCCTTGGTTTTTAGGAAATTAGCTTTCCTTTATTCAGAACACAGCAATGTGCAAGGAAAAGATGCAAATAATCATAAAACCCTTACCAGCTATAGGATCCATGGCTTCTCTATTGCTTGGAGAATATGAACTCTGTGATGATGAAAATCCACCAGTGGAACTGCTAGTAAAGTGCATGTTTGATCTACGTGCGCGGGGGCCACCCAATCCTCGACCTGGGTGAAACATTCTACGTACATGCCGAACACCGCTGGATTCATCGTCACCAGTGAGTTAACGAAAAAGCGTCAACACAAGAGTTGCAAACAAAGAACACCTTAGTGCTTCCCCCACCCTCGCCAAAGAACTGTAAAGACCAAGAGAAAAACTATTTAGCTAAATGCTACTTCATGGATTCATTTTTAATTCAAAGTTATACAATTAGAAGAAACCTTAGACTAAGGCAAAGCTATACAATAAATCATCATCATGAAGTAAAAGACAAGAGAGAGCCCCACCTTGAGGGTTTACAATAACTTTGAAGATTTCATGGGCAATGATTTGAAATGCCCATATAAAATAGCCCTACTTACGTCCTAGAATAGAAGAATAGAATAATAACTTTATTGTCATTTTAAACATGCACTAATTAGCATACATTAAAATGAGATCTCGTTGCATACAGCTCTCCAAGAGTAACCACCTCCACCATGGCATCATCACATCTAAATAAAGGTTTGGATCGAACAATCTGCTGTATTGTGCTCTTAAGTAACTTGAACTATGGCTAAAAAACACCCTCATCAACAACAAAACCATAACGTTATCCCTGTATTTGAAAAACTAGCCTTTTTTATCTGAAGAGCTCTTGATTAAACAATATGCTCTGTGTGCTTAAACAATAGTTGGTAAATTAAATCACAGCAGTCAGTTCATTGTTGCTTCCTATACCGAAAGCATGTTAACAATGCAGATATATTATAGAACACCTAAGTTTAGATAATTATAACTTGCAACACCAGTTACTATACTGAAAACTATTCACCTAAATCAGTGGTTCCCAACCTTTTCTATACCCCGCACCCCTAGAACGCTTCTGATATATTCTCGCACTCCTTACAAAAGTTCAAAATAATGGCAATGAATTATGCATATACACTATAATTTTGAAAACCCAAGTTTTCCCACCCCCTGGAATATCATCTCTCTCCCCCCCCCCGGCTAGGAACCCCTGGCCTAAATAGTTCCTCAGGAACAATACTTCAAATAAGAATTTATTAGTACAGGCAATCCCTGACTTACAACAGTTTGTTTAGTGACCGCTCGAAGTTACAACAGCACTAACAAAAGGGACTTATGATCGTTTTTCATACTTATGACTGTTGTAGCATCCCAAAATCATGTGATCAAAATTCATACTGACTCATATTTATGACGGCTGCACGTGTCCTGGAGTCATGTGATCACCTTTTGCGACCTTCTGACAAGCAAAGTAAACAGGGAAGCCAGATTCACTCTACCACCGTGTTACTAACCTATTAACTGCGGTGATTCACTTAACAAGAAAGGTCACAAAATGAGGCAAAACTCACTTAACTAACGTAAGTGGTCGTACGTCGAGGAATACCCGTACATGTATATTCCATCTTTCTTCTAGGAGTTCAATATGGATCTCTTAGGAATGGGGCGTTGTCTTACCTGAACGCCTTTTCTCAGCACGGAGATGGAGAACTTACTAATTCTCACAACAATGTTGGGCTGAGAAAAGACTGGCCAAATGTCACTGAGGGAACAATATGGTAAACAGGATTTTAACCTGACTCTCCTAATCCAATCTAATGCTTCAACCACACCTGTTTAGATGAAAAATTTTGAAGTCTTTCTTTAAGGGTTAAAAATAAACTTATTCTAAATTTAACCATTGGACTCCATTTGGCACAAAGTGATCAACCACAGCTTCTTGGACATAGCCAGCAACTCCAGTCTTGTTCACTTGAATAATGCCTACACTGTATGTTAATAGAATAATTTAGTTCAAAATTAACTTCTTTTATACATTCAACAATAATTATCCTGTTCTTTCTTCTTAATTTAGGAAAGGATATTAAATCTCTAGGAGCTCTGTGTTCCAGTGTAAGATGAGCTGCAAAGTCATCCGTTACGTGATTGGGATCTCCTCCAGGTAATGCTGCACATATTGGACAAATCTGAAAGTGACAAAAGTTTAGAAAGTCTACCTGCATTATGGTCTTCAACAGCAAGAAATCTCTAGCAGGAGCTGCCACAAGAAAGATAAAAAATGTATGCATACAAAACTAAATATTTCATCCATCTTACAGTACTGCCAATTTATACATCAAATCTGATAGATAACTGTAATAAACTGTTATCCAATTCTGATTTTTTAAAGCAAGAATCTAACAACTTTGCCACTCCCGATTTCCGAAGTGACTTTGCCAAAGCATTATGGAACAAAAGTTTATAACATGGGGGGGGGGAGGACCATCAGTCATCATTTATAAACAGACTGTCGATTTTTCAGAGACAAAGAGGATTCTAGATGGCTGTGGAAAAATGTGGCAGCTGCCTCTGATGGTTTCTGGAATGAGCCCATTTCCAATTGGGCTCCATTATTATCTATTAATTTAGAAGTATATGAATTTCTAAAAGAGAATCGAGCACTTGAATTAGATATTTCAGTATGATTATGCTTTGACATCATCCTGCAGATTTTTATAGCATTCAGTAGCTATGAAACATTACTGCCACCGTCAACCAAAGCTCTTGAAAGCTGCAACTGCATAAACTGATAAATTAAAGATGACGAAATAGGTGGGGCACAAAAAAAGCACTTGTATTTTTTAAGTATTAGTGGTTCTAGGGTTTTTTTGTTTTTGTTTTGGTAATTTTGTGTTAAAGTTCTATGTATCCATTCACTACTAAGCCAAACAAAACATTACTGATACCGGTTTGCTGTATTTATTGTGTACTTTCTGTTTTTCTTATATTTCTAGGGCATATTACAACATAAAACATTAGCCTACACTACTTTCTACGTTTTTATTCTTTAGGATTTCTAATATGTTTGCATATGTCTCAGAAGTATTCCAGAAAATGGGTGGACCTTCCAATGTGCCCACCCTTCTAATTTAAATAGATAAAAAATCAAATTGGAAGAAGGACCTTTGTGCCTGCCAAAAGGAGTGTCTGCAGAAATTGCCATGCATGCAGACTTTGCCCTAGAGAGATCTCAAGTATAGTATTAAAAATTCCTCCTTATAATCATTATGTATGACAGTATCAGCCCTTAAAGCAGCATTAAGTCTATGCTATCATCTTTTTATTAAAATGCTCTTACAATAAAGAATTAATCAGGAAAATATTCAAAGGTAACAACATTACAAAAATGGAAAGCTCAACATTTTTATTTCATTGATTTAATATTTAAAAAAAACACTATGAGAATAAAATTGTAGTGCTTAAAAATGTGAATACAAAAATTAAAATCAAGGTTACTTCAACAACAATAAGCCAATAGTTCGATCTAGAATACGCATTCCTTATGACAGAGTTCCATGACTGGTCTGCCGCTATTGAGAAAGCTCTATTCCTGGCCATTATATCTTGAGCTAAAACTATTGTTCAAACTGATCTTACTGCGTAGGGCAGGGGTCTTCAAACGTGGCCCTTTTATGGCTTGTGGATTTCAACTTCCAGAATTCCTCAGCCAGGCACCCTGGTTGAGGAATTCTGGGAGTTGAAGTCCACAAATCATAAAAGGGCCAAGTTTGAAAAACCCCTGGCATAGGTGTATGCTATGGAGGCAGGTTTTAAACTGCCAGACTCTGAAACTGTTTAGAACCTGAGAGTATCATACCCTTAAACAGAGCCCTATAAGCAATTTTTAGCATCCAATATAATAACTGAGTAGCTGTTTTCGGTACTTGGGGGCATTTTAGTAAACTAATCAAGAAATGGTAAATATCAGGTGTTACTGCGACTAAGCAATCCCAATATAGATAGGGTGGAAAATGGCATGCCAGCCTAAGTTTGGGACATGCCATTCAGGCCATTTCTGCCTCTAACGATAAGGCTTGAATCAAGGAGAGTTATAGATCTGTTATTTCAGAAGAAGCCCAATCTTGTTAACAGAGCATTTTCCAAATTTCCTGATTTAAGATTCCTATCCACATTATTTCTATAATTATCTAGATGCTGGGTTTTTGCCCTTATCTGGTCCACCACTGGCTCCCGGCAACTTTCAAGCCTCTGTACAAACTTTCTGTGGTTCAGATGGAAAGGAGAAGTAGAGTTCAGTGCCATCATATACTGGTAAGACAGCACTCCAAATTTCTGAATAATTGTTCCCAATGTCTTTATGTAGATATAAACAGCAGGGGGAAACTATTAGAATCAAGCACTTTGGGCCAAAATATAAATTTCTCATTGCCATTTCGCTGATGGCAACTCTGCAGGTAGAAATAATGCCACCTTAACATATTCTTGTAATATTCTGTAAATAGCCTAAGACTTTATTCGTGCAGATGCACTAAATGCATGTTTGAGTTACAACACGAACATAGCTTTCTAAATACACCTAAGAACTGAGATATACAATAGCCGGTCATGGAAATGATCAGAAGACAGGCAATCCTAAACTTAATTTACCCATCAGCTTGGATGACTTTCAAGAAGGATTAGACAAAATCACAGAGAATAAAAACTATAAACAAGTAAGTCAAAATAGCTTTTAAAATTTCATCCCAGAATTCAATTTCCAAAAATAGAGAACTTGTGTGGAAGAATGCTACTGGTTTCATATCCTGCTTGTGGGCTTTAATGAAGCAGGCAAGTTGGCACAATATGTACAACATTTTAGACTAGATGGCCTTTGAGCTAATTCAGTTCATTTGAGCTGCTCCTATTAAAAAAAAGAGTTTCTTTTTCTAATAATGTATGTTATTTTCATAATAAACAAAGTTATATATAACTGAAGGGAAAGAGGTCATACAAGGAAGTTTTTTTAATTGACTGCCACTCAAATCCAACACCAAATGTTTATTTGAAATGTGTATCTTAGTACTTACCTATAAAGACTTTGTTCTCTTATTACTAAGGTGTTTACATGCAAATAGATTCTAATATGTGTAACACTAATACCTTCTATTATTTCATCAGCCTTAAGAAAGTAAAAGTAAACAATGTTCTTTTAAATTCTTGCTTATAATGGAACAAAGAAACTGTATGGATGTTAATGTAAACGAAATTAGCGAACCAATTTTTTTTCTGGATGCCCCAACTCAAAAAATCACCAATCAAATTATCAAAACTATCATATATGTGCACTATTTTTCTGAATCTCATAAAGCACACAGTGAAACATGAGGAGTCTAAATACAACAACATAGACAAGGTAGGATAACAGGAATGTGTGCAATAACGTAAATGAAATAATTGACTGACTGGTGTTGACTCTTAAGTGACCACATAGATACATCTCTAGAATGATCCCTCGAGATCCCCAAAAGGTACATTCACAGCTGGCTGTCCTCTTCTCTTTCCTTCCACTTTTCTCAGCATTATTTATTTCTCAAGTGAGCTGGGTCTTCACATAATGTGTCCAAATATGAGACTAGTCATTTATGTCTCAAATTCAACTTTTGTTTCCAGAGAGGGCCAAAGGAAAAAATAATTGCCTGCACAATTCTAACATTTGTACATAAAAACATGTCATGGAAGTATCTTTTCCAAGGCTTTCACTACTGCTTTTCAAAGTGCAAGTCTGCATTTTTCACTGACTCTAAGGTTTACTCTAATGATAAACCTATTTCTCATAATCACACATTGTTTACAGAATAATAAGCCTTTACCTTCATTTATATTTTCCCATGTAAAAGCAACAGTTTGCGCCGTCTACGTTTGGGGATAAATCAATGAATTGTACATGTAACGATTCTGCTACCTATTGTTTTCCTCTAACAGGACAACAGGGAAAGTATGTGCTTTATATTATTTTAAGGCATTTATATCTCACAAACTGTGCAAAGAAATCTGGGCACCTCACAACAAAAAATATTAATTTCTGTTATTAATTCAGGAGTATGGCTATTATAATTACCACTTCTGTTGATGTTTCTGCGTGTTCTGAAGTAACGTGCTCTTGAAGAGATGTTTCCGTATAACCCATTTTTCCACAATATGGACAAGTAAAAGACTGTGGCTGCTCTACAGAGAAAGCTTCTCCACCATAGTATAAATCTGAAATAATAAAGTACATGACAATTGCAGCCAAAACCAATTATCACCTTGGAAATATGGAAAATATTCTTTTTTAAAAAAGTTTTTAAAAGCTATTTAGCACAACATACAATTTACTGGACTGACCCTTCTGAATATAAATTATTAATATATAGTATTCAAAAGGAAAAGGGAAATAAACCACATATAGCTTCAACTAGCCAACATTTATACTGTCCTATTTTTTCCCACTGTGATTATATGTTATAATCATATTATTTTAAACTATAAGAATCAAGGGTAATGTTATCTGTAACATGAATTTATAACACAAATAAATCCAAGACTACTAAATACTGGTAGCATCTATTTTCTCTTTGCTTCCTGTATTGAGAGAACATGAATGCCAGCAAGTATTAAGATATTTTGAGGTAATGATATACAGTACATCATTGTTTCCTCAAAATCTTACAGCATTTAGACGGTTGGACTCGTAGGGAAGGTTCATAGCTAAACAAATAAGAGAAAATTTCAAGCTGAAATATAAATAGCCATTCTTCACCTTTGTTCAAACTGAAATCCGATAGTCCACAGGTTATAACCACTTGTTCAATGACTGTTCAAAGTTACGGTGAGGCTGAATGAGTAGTAATTATGAACTGTCCTAGAAGTTGCAGTTTCCCAATGGTTGCAATCCAAGTACTTGGTGCCAGCTTGCAATTATGATGCTGTAGCATGCTACGGTTACATGATTACAATTTCCAATGTGATTGTGATTTCTTGCTGGCTTCCCTCAAGCAAGGTCAATGGGGAAACCAGCAGGAAGTTAGAAGTTACCCCAGCCAATTTTCACCTGTCTGCAGTCTGTAGCACCTCCCCCCACCCCACCCACTGGAGCACCTGCCCCTCCCCCCTGCTGCCTGGAATTCCAGTCTCTTCCTGTTTAATGACTGATATGATCCTGGGGTTATGATAGCAACCAGGACAGCCATCGCTAAGGGATGCAGTGTGACAGCATCACTTAATGATGGAAACTTTTAGTCCCAATGGTAAAACTCTTCTTAAATTATCCTGGGCATATATAAAAACTTCTCAATTCAAATCCAAGTGGAATCATTTGCTATGTGCCCCCTGACAAGTGACACACTGAAAATAACATATGCCACCAGTGAACACTCTGGGCCTTGTAAGCCTTCTGCAATACTAAATCTTATTTTTACAGACCACAAAACTGCTCCAAATAAATCTCCAAATGCCTTTTTCATTATCCAAGCTGTTAAGTTTCCTGGATCTGCAACATGACTGCTATCCATGAGAGAACATACGTAAGCTCTTTGGCTAGCTATGTGGCCAAAAAACTTCCTAACCACCATGGCTTTCTCGTATCAGCTATATATTTAGTGGCCTCATCTTATAAATATTCAAATGGCCTATCTGCAATTGAAACAACGCTCAGGTGGATGTGTGCTTTTTCCCTAGAGCAAATTCTTGCCCGTTTCTCATTTAAAATTGTGCCAAAGCAGTCTGTTTAGCAAAATATTAAATCACAGTTAAGGAACAACAATAACTCTGATCAACTAATATTTAAAACCAACAATAGAGAGGGTCCTTGACTATCCCAACTACAATTGGGAGCAGAATCTCCACTACTAAGCAAGGCAACTGTTAAGTGAGTTACACCGAATTTCATAACCTTTTTTGCCACAGTTGTTAAGTGAATCACATGAACATCAAGGAAAACCAGCTTCCCCTATTGACGTTGCTTGTTGGAAGCTGGCTGGGAAGGTCATAAGATTGCAATCACATGACACCAGGATACTGCAACCATCTTAAATACATGCTGTTTGCCAACCACCTGAATTTTGATCATGTGACCACAGGGATGTCACTTTTCTCAGTGCTGCTGTCCTTTTAAACAGTTGCCGAATGAATGGTTCTAAGTTGAGGACTACCTGTATATTTGCTATTATCGAGATGCAGTTAGAGCAGTGGTTCTCAACCTTTTTAATGCCGCAACCCCCAACCGGTCGTAAGCCAAGGACTACTCAACCGGTCGTAAGTCGAGGACTACTCAACTGGTGCAGCACCATTTGCAGAATGGGACTTTTGGCAGGCTCAGCAGGGCAGAGACAGCCTGGACAATTCCTATTGGCTTTTGAAAGCCAATAGAATAAAAGGGGGTAGCACAGCTAAGGAAAAGGGGGAAAAAAATGGCGGACTGCGTTGTTTGGCGACCCCCGTGAAATGGTCGTTCGACCCCAAATGGGGTCCCGTCCCACAGTTGAGAACCAATAAAGCATGAAAAATCATGCTTGCAGATAGACATATTAGTCGTGGCTTGCCACCGGATCTTCATTTGTTTCACCAGTACCTGAATAATAAGTTAAAATTCATACAGCATATACATGACATGTTGTATCTCACCAGATTTACATTAAGTAGGTCATTTCACCCTCCTTAGACCCAACACTGTAGTTAAGATTCCTTGTAGCAACCACAGCCAGGAATCGTGGCTTACAAAGTCACTGTTCTATGTCAGGGGTGTCAAACTTGCAATGTCACGTGACGCGACGTATCACGACTTTTTTTTCTCATTGCCGGCAATGGGGTGGATACAGCTTAGCCATGATGCATCCAGCTTGCGGGCCGGTAGTTTGACACTCCTATTCCATGTGTTATCCAAGTTATGAAATTAAAAAAAAATAAATCTCACTTCCTGCTACTGGACATTAGGAGCAGATCCAAAATAAAATCAATCTTTGTCCAGTTTTTCCACTGCTCCCAGTTCTGATTAGCCATCTCCCTCACACTCACCCATGTACAATGGCTCTAGTCCAGTGGTTTTCAACCTTTTTAATGCCGCAACCCCCAACTGGTTGTAAGTCGAGGACTACTCAACCGGTCATAAGTCGAGGACTACTCAACTGGTGCAGCACCGTTTGCAGAATGGGACTTTTGGCGGGCTCAGCAGGGCAGAGACATCCTGGACAATTCCTATTGGCTTTTGAAAGCTCATAGAATTAGACTCTATTCAAGAGAGTCTTATTCTATTGGCTTTCAAAAGCTAATAGAATAAAAGGGAGTAGCACAGCTAAGGAAAAGGGGGGGAAAATGGCGGACTGCATTGTTTGGCGACCCCCGTGAAATGGTCGTTCGACCCCAAATGGGGTCCCGACCCACAGGTTGAGTCCCACTGCTCTAGTCTCAAACAAACCATCTGCCTATTTTTATTTTTTACAATCCCCTGGAGGTCAACCATGTTTCTGGGGTATCACAGGTGGTGGGAGACAGAAATAGATGGAAACTATTATCAACAGCAGTCTGTCTCTCTCTGAATCATTGCCTGGGTGTCTCATGATTAGCCAAAGCGTACTGTGCACAAATATCTAATGGCAGGTTAGTGTTAATACACCATCATAAAAAGATTAAATTGTGGTTTCAAGCTACACTATTTTGCCAAATAATAAATTAAGATTTGATTTTGCTATGGCTTCATAGATGCGAAGATCAAAAACAGCTGAATGCATTTCTACCTGCCCACAGATGAAATCTTTTTACGATGTTGAAAAGTGTTCACAAAGTGCCTACAAGACTGAAGTTAGAAAGAGATGGGCTATTTTTTTTTTTAAAAAAAAAATTACAATCAGCCTTTTTTTCCAGAGTTAATTCAACAATTTCCCAATTTAACAGATATGCAACATTATTTTGGCCTCCCCAGAAACCATCAGAAGCAAAACATTAAGCTTCCTATCTTCACATCGCTAACATTTATTGAATGCTGAACTGACAACCATAATGTAAATTACAACAAACACCCTAGATAAGTATATTAATCGTAGTAAACTATGATACCTGTGTAATAATAAGGTAACAGCTCTCTTTACACATAGCATGAAAAAAAAGAGTTGCTGGTATGACTGGAGCATTGAACAGACTAGAGGACCAAAGGCATGTTCTCTATCCACATTTTTTAAATTCAGCAAAGATATTGTTGTTCTTTAAAAAGTTCTTAAAAATATAAAGAACTGGACATAACTAAAGCTTTGCTGTATAACATGCCTAATGACTTTTAAAGTTTGCCTTTGGTTCATGCTATCAAAACTGCCACAAAGCTCCTTTCACGTATAGTGAAGACAAAGTGGTTGACAGAATTGACAAACACCCAAGCTAGGCAGACACAGCTGCTGTATTGTGATAGGAGCATTGTATATGGACTGCACAGTGACACTTATGGTTATGAGCTGCACTGAAAGAACAACACAACACAGCAAAACAAAATTCTGTTGGGAGTTGAGGAAGTGTGCGGAACAAATGTAGATTTCGATGTAAAGTTAGATGAAAAGTTGAATTGCTCCACTAAAACTATGTCAATCAGAATGTGGTGAGATGCCAAAAAGGTTACCCATCATCAATTACAGTCTCTCTCTTGATATGCTGGTTGATGGCATAATACCAGCCCTCAGGAAAATGCAGTCAATTCCTGGCAGGCTGTCCAGGGCTCCACGGGTATGTTCAACTATTCCTTCATTGACTTGGTCAGGTAATATGCAATGACTGGCTGAATGTCATCCTGGCAGATGGTCTGGTTGCTTATCTTTTCTGTAATTGTGCCTGATTTCTGCTCCACAAACTTTAGCCTCGTTGCCTTCTGAAGGAAATCTGGGTTGCTGCTAGAAACGCCTTTCTGCCTCCTCCCTCCCCTGTTTTTGTCCTTTACTTTCTTTACAAACATGGCTTACCAACTCAACTCGGTATTTATTCTGGACTATCTGCTCTGTAGTAATGTGATTTCCAGAAGGGTTTTCTTTTTCAGTAACAGTGGATATGTGATTACAAACTGAATTGGATAAATTCTACACAGTAGCTGGATTAGATGCTATTACAAAGGACTGGAAATAATTTAAAAATCGAATTATGGATCTAGTTATGTAAAATCAAGATGGAGTTAAAAATAAAGTTAACAAAGAGTTTGTACTATTATTTATTTATTTATTTATGAGACTTATATACCGCTTTAAGTG